CTGCTGTTTGCCTTACTGACTCAAGACAGGTTCTCTCCCTGACCCAGAAGCTTGGAAGCTTGTCATTTCCACTAGACTGGCTGGCCTGTGACCTCCTAGGACCTAACATCTCCACACCAAGGTGCTAGGGTAATGAGTGCACACAGCCATCCCCAACAATTTCCATTGGTGCTGAGGATTCCAGCTCAGGTCCCCATGCCTGCAAAACAAGGGATCCTAGCCCTCTGAGCCGTCCCCCTAGCCTCAAAATATGCTTTTGTTTTTAATAAGAAAAAGTGAATGGGTTGCTCAATACTAAATAAGCATCAGTCTTGAGATAAAACTAGGTACTGAACGTAAAAAATCTGTATAGAGGCCTGGCAGTGGTGGTGCACGCCTTTAATCCCAGCACTCGGAAGGCAGAGCCAGGCAGATCTCTGTGAGTTTGAGGATAGCCTGGGCTACAGAGCAAGATCCAGGACAGGCACCAAAGCTACACAGAGAAACCCTGTCTTGAAAAAAAAAAATCTGTATAGAAAACATGCAAACTTGGGCAGGGTGGTGCCTTTGGAAGGTTGAGGTAGGAAGATCCTCAAGTTTCAGGGCCAATATGAGCTGCATTGTGAGACTCTTTGTCTAAATAACTAAATACACAATTAAGTATTAAGGAAAGAATCGAGATTAAAAATAAATCAATAAAATGATAAATTTGATTTCAGCTCTTCACTGGAGCTGAATCTAGTGTCCCCTGCCTGGCTACCTCAAGGGCGGGGCATATATAGAATGGGGCTGCCTGACCACTTATAATGGTTTTTCTTCCCTTTGTAAATTCCCTCATTGTTTCAGTGGCTCTGTAGTTAATTTTTTTCTATTGAGATGAGGCTAACTAAAATCATCTGACATAGAAAAGGAGGAGGTAAAGTTAAAAGGAAACCTAATTAGCAAGTTAATTATATTAGGAAAAAGTGCACGGGTTATATAAATAAGCGTTGATGTATGCATGTATGTTGGCCCTTGTTTAGGGGCTTGTTAAGGTTTAGAGGTCAGATGAGCTGTGTAATGATGTGTTGGGAAAAATAATAATAAAGCCAAACATCCAGACTTAGGAATGGCTGATGAGCCGCTAAGAGAACTCCTTATTAAATCCTGCTGTAAGGCTGAAAGGGTGATTGGAGCTGCTTCAGAGATAGCCACCCCCCTCAAAAGAGGGAAAAAAATAGTAGTGAGCTGGAACCAGAGCCAACAGAATTGCTGAGGAGGAAAGTTTAAAAGCCTGACCACAAGGGTCCTTGGACCAAAGAGGTGGCCTTCTGCCGGTAATGTCACAGTCTACTGGCTCGCAGGGTCAGTATGCTGAGCAGCAAGAAGAAATACATTGTCAATAGCAACTCTGGGATTAAAGCCCAGGTGAGGCTAAGCTCCTGTTTGCCAGTCTTGCTGCTGCTGCTGCTGCTGCTGCGGCCATTACTGTCCAAGGCAAGCTGCTTGTACTCTCCTTCCCCTCCTGCCTGGCCTTCATCCTTCCCTCGGGAGTGTGGTGAGCTACCCATTCCTTCCGGCTTCTCTCCTCCCTCTCCTTGATGTTAGGCAGTGCTGAGGTGGGAGAGGAGGGGTGCCTGCTGGGACTCTGGCTTTGGACAAGGTAGGAAAGTTAGGTAAATGTTGGTAGATGCTGCCAAGGTGCCTTAACTGGCCGGGCAGATCATTGTTTTACAGAGTGGGATGGTACTGGTGAAGGTACCAGAGACGCCTCATTTAACTCATGTTTCAGTTACCAGTGAAAAGTAAACCCTTATTTATTGGGAAATTGTTTAACTTACTGTATTAAGTAGTTTCTCACTAATATTCTTGTATATTAAAAACACGGGAGGGGGGCCTTGAATTTAATGAGAATTAGCAAGACCTGTTTTCTATGTACAGCCTATTTCCTTAGGGATCACCACAGCTGAAAGACTATAGGACAAGACGCTCCTGACATACTTGAAGTGACATTGCAGCTGGTGTCTATGTGACTTCATGTTACTGGACTAAGTAGGGGTAACTCAGAGGAAGTGACTGTTCCCCTCTAGTGGTAGATATGTACACATGCGTGTCTGTGTGCACACACATGTGGCTGTTACATCAGTGTGTGTGGTTGGCATAGGGAGGGAGGGAGGCGGTGTTCCATATCTGAAGTGAGATTTATCTTTTAGGCTTTTTTTCTTTTTTAAGGGGGGCACTGCTAAAGACACTGCATTATTGTGGCCTTTGGAAAGACTTTCATTTCTTTCCTTGACGGACCTCTGAAAAAGAGGTTGATGAACTGAAGGTCAACATTTGAACCCGACTTCTATGGCTTCTTCACCTTTCCCTTGCCAGCTTTTTCAACCCTTAAAATTACCTTATACAGACTTAATGCTAACTATGCTCATTAATAGTCCCTCTAATACAGACAGTGAAGATAGAATAAGCTCCTCCAGGCTCCTTGATTCAGCATATGATTGGGTGCATAGGATATGGCAAGTATCTGATTGTGCCTGAGAATATAAGGGTGAATAAAAAGCAGCCCATATGGAGCCTATAATTCACAGGCTTACAGAATACAGAAAGGAAGACAGTGTGTTGAATGCTGTGTTAGAAGTCCATAAAGATTCATGGACCCCCCACTGGAGTACATAGAAAGGGCACTTTATCCTTTTTGGAATAAATTGGTACTTTACCAAAATAATCAAACTTGTCATTTTCATTTTGCAATGAGCTCCTAACCCAATGAATAGCCCTGTTACAATGAAAACAATTTGCAAACTCAGAAGCCTGGCTTCAGGCTTTACTTATTTATTTTTTGTTATAGCTGTGGAAATGCTATCCCTTCCCTCAGAGGCAGTGAGTGCTAAGCTTTCATTTTGGCATTAGTCCCCTTGTCTCAGTGCTCAGTGACTCAGGAGTTGCCTCTAAGTGCAGGAGGTGCAGCCACCGATTTCCTTCCAATTTCTGCCCATGGAGCATCCATTTGTTTATCACAAAAGTTAGAATCCGTTGTCAGGTCTTTGATTCTTTTCTGTAAATTTTTCTCTGTGCCACCTTGAATCCAGAAGAATCACATAAGCAACTGTGTAAATAAATGTTCAGTTAGGAAAACCTTATTAATAAAGTAAGTGATAGGAACTTTGATTAGTAAAGCACCAGCAGCAACCATCAACTGTAGATAAAATTAATAAGAAAGTCACTATCAGATATTTTTCAAATATAACCTACAGAGTGTGATTTGAGTATATAATCAGTCCAATCATCTACTCCTTCCACATCTGTAGTCACTGTTAATAATCAAGCGTATGGCTTTTAAAGTATTTTATGATACTAAGTATTAAAAATTAATTCATTTACTGGTATCTAAAAAGCTAAATATCTTAGAAAATCTTCAGCAAATTAAAATGGTTACCTGCTGTGGGGGAGGAGTTAGTGGGTTGATCAAATCTCTGCTGTGTTTCACAGACAACGCACTGTCTCATTTAACCCTCTCCAAACCCGGGATGGAGCACTTTCATTTCTGTTGTATTTATGGGAAAATGACGTTCACAAAATCATCTTGACCAACATCACAAAGCTTATGAATGGCATGGCCAGGATTTCAATGAAAATGTAGGATGTTCTGTCTGAATGAAAACCCTTTTCTAAAATTAGCATACCACACTAAGAAGCTTCAAGGAAGCTTTCAAGGAAAGACCGTCTGTCTTTTTGTACCTTGCTGATTTCTCATCTAGATATGTGGATGTACAGAGAATTTCAAAGGTTTCTTTTTCCAGCTTTGCATTTTCAGTGAAACAATAGAAAGTGTTTCTGAATATGACTTACTTTCCTAAAAATTTAATTTAATCATAATACTGCTTCTCTCTGTGTCACAGTTTATAATGTACAAAGTATATAGTCATTAAATGAAAGACTTAAATTTGATAGAAATTGGTGAAGAATGAAAAATTACTCTTCATTCCAAAAAAGTCCTTTTTTGTTTGTTTGTTTCTTTTATTACTTTTGGAGACAAGTTTTCGTTGTGCATCCCAGGCTAACTTTGAACTCCTTCTGCCTTGGTCTCCTGAGTGCTGGGATTACAGGGGTATACCACCATACTCAGCTCCAAAGAAGTCTTCTCCCATTCCCCTACCCCCCCCCCCCCCCCCCCCCCGCCCTTCTCAGTACTAGGGATCCATTCCAGAGCTTTTTGCATGCTAAGGAAGCACTCAACTTCACCTATACTCCTAACTGTTTTGAGAGGAAGGAGGGGCCAGGGTCTGGGTCAAACTCCCATGTAGTTAACATGACTTTGAACTTTTGATTCTCCTGCCTCCACCTCCTGAGTGCTGGAATTACAGGGGTGTGCCACCATTCCCAGTTTAGGCAGTGCTAGAGACTATACCAAGGTCTTGGTGCATTCAAGGAAAGCATGCTACCAACTGAACCACATCCTCACCACATCCTCAGCCTCCAAAGAGTCTTTGTATTCCAAATATGGGTTTGTTTAAGCAAATAAACTGCATTCTATAGTAATAACATAAGCTGTGAATGAATTGCTTCCTCAAAATAGAGGTGAGTTTTCTTCCTATATAAAGTAGTGGTTTGAATGAGAAAAGCCTCCAAAGGCTCATATGTTTGAAAGCTTAGTCATCAGGGAGTGGCACTATTGGAGGATCAGGAGGTGTGACCTTGTTGGAGGAAGTATGTCACTGTACAGGGTAGGCTTTCAGGTTTCAAAATCCCATGCTAGGCCCATTTTCTTCTTCCTCTCTGCCTATGGGTCAGGATGTAGCCCTTAGCTAGCTACTACTACAGTGTAGCCTGCATGCTGCCATGCTCCCACCATGATGATAATGGACTAAAGCTCCAAAACTGAAAGCAAGCCCCCAATTGAATGCTTTCTCTTATAAGAGTTGCCTTGGTCATAGTGGCTCCTCACAGCAGTAGAACATGACTAAGATGTATAACTAAAGTTCTTTTCCTTTCTATAACAAGGGTTCTTTTTTCTTTTCTTTTTCTTTTTTTTTTTTTAGCAGATCCAGTTTGCTGACCAGAAGCAGGAATTCAACAAGCGTCCTACCAAAATTGGGCGTCGATCTCTGTCTCGTTCCATCTCTCAGTCGTCTACTGACAGCTACAGCTCAGGTGAGTGCTAAGCTGCCTTAACCCCTTGTCAAGGTTAATTGGTATCTGCAACAGACCTTCCATCTATCTAAGGCCAATCATTCCTGATAATTAGCCTTCAAAAAATACTGTGAATTAAAACTGAAACCAAAATTCTGGATGGAATCTCTGGATTTCTTGGGAACTGCAAGTTTTATTGACATCTCAGTTTCTGACAGAGCCAGAATGTGAAATGAATTGTCAAGTAGTCTATAACATTTTAAGGTGTGTGTTTGGCATGGTCTAAAGATCAGTAATAAGTAATGATTTAAAATTTTAACTCCAGCTCAATCTCTTCCCTGCCCAACCAGAACCATACATCTGTGTTCCTGAAAGGAAACCAATGCCTACCTTCCCACACAAGCACCTTATGTAGAGAGAATACTTTAAAAATACTGTGTACCTAGAAGAATGTGGGTGATACCTTGCTTTCTAAGTAAGCTTGGAGTGCTTGTATATAGCCTATTGATGAATGATATTAACTGGTCTTGTCCTGATAAATTTGGACCTTGTAAATTGAACTATATGAAATGCCATCTGTACTGGCTAATTTTTTTTTTTTTTTTTTTTTTTGTTGTTTTGGTTTTTTTTTTGGTTTTTCGAGACAGGGTTTCTCTGTGTAGCTTTGCGCCTTTCCTGGATCTCGCTCTGTAGACCAGGCTGGCCTCGAACTCACAGAGATCCGCCTGGCTCTGCCTCCCGAGTGCTGGGATTAAAGGCGTGCGCCACCACCGCCCGGCTTGTACTGGCTAATTTTATGTCAACTGGACAGGCTAGAAGCATCAGAGAAGGGAACCCTAATTGAGGAAATGCCTGCATAAGATCAGGCTGTAGGCAACCCCGTAGGCCATTTTCTTGGTTTTGTTTTTGTTTTTGTTTTTTTGTTTGGGTTTTTTTTTGGTTTTTCGAGACAGGGTTTCTCTGTGTAGCTTTGCGCCTTTCCTGGAACTCATTGTTTGTTTTTTTGGTTTTTCGAGACAGGGTTTTCCTGTGTAGCTTTGTGCCTTTCCTGGATCTCGCTCTGTAGACCAGGCTGTCCTTGAGCTCACAAAGATCCGCCTGGCTCTGCCTCCCGAGTGCTGGGATTAAAGGCGTGCGCCCCCACCGCCCGGCTGCCATTTTCTTAATTAGTGATGGGGGAGGGCCCTGCCCATTGTGGGTTGTGCATAAGAAAGCGGGCTGAGCAAGCCATAAGGAGCAAGCTAGAAAGTAGGCAGCAAGCACCCTTTTATGGCCTGTGCATCAGTGCCTGGCTCCAGGATCCTGCCCTGTTTGAGTTCCTGCCCTGACTTCCTTTGATGGTGAACAGCAATGTGGACCAGTAAGCCAAATAAACCTTTTCCTCTCCAACTTACTTTTGATCATGGTGTTTCATCACGGCAATAGTAACTCTAAGACACCATCTTTATGTTTTAAAATGATCATGTGTTTGTTTTATGCCCCTACATATGCATGCACAAATACGGATATGCATTCCATGAGCATGAGAGCCTTGCCTGTCTCTGTCACAGGTGTGCCTGTATCACAGGTGTCTCTCTAACACATCAAACAGTATTTGGATCATAGTAGATGCTAACATTTGCTGTGAGGATGACAGTAAACTGAGGAAAGATGATCTAGAGATGGCCTTTGCCCACCCGATCTACATTTACCCTAATCTCAGCCCACAGTGAGAATGGCAGGCTCATACTGGGGAAACTGATGGTTTTAGAAGTCAAAAGTTTTCAGCCTAATATATCTATTGAAGGATATTAATTCAGGAGCAGGGACTCAAAACCCTGGTTTTGGAGACAAAAGTAGAGATGTGATCTGGTGAATGCTGGAATTGTGTGAGTGTGGCATCCCTGGCAAATGTCCGTCTGGCTTCATAGAGCGAGCATTTAAATGACCGGGTCGCCTAGCTTATCTAGTCATTTATTTCCCAATAAACTTAAGCCCTTACATAATCTCTAGTACTTAAATATTTTACTTAGAAATAAAATTTGCCATTTTTATTCCCTATCTTTTTATGATACTAACCCAGATATGCTCATCTGGATACATTCTAGATGGTTTTCAGAAATGTTGTCTATGCATATAGTAGTCATGGTATTTTCTGACCTAATCTCTAGGAAGTATTATTTCCATAAACTCAGTACTTTTAATTTTATTTGTTTAGTTATAATTTTTTTTTCAAGACAGTCTCTCCACATGCCCTGGCTGTCTCAGAACTTATTATAGATAAGGCTGGCCTTGAACTCACAGAGATCTGCCAGTCTCTGCCTCCTGGCAGCATTTTTTAAATATAAAAACCTATTAAGCAAAAAAAAAAAATTCATAAAAGCAAGCAAAAAGAATAACCTTTTCTTCAGATTAAGACCATTCTCAGTGATACATTTATGAAAATGTTATCTTTATGAGTGAATTGGTTACAGATGAGAAAGAATGAAGTGCTGCACTATAATTGGCACTTAGAAATTTTGAGAGATTTTAAGATTTTTTTTCCAAATAATAAAATTTTGTTTGTTTGTGTTGGCTGCTAACATAACTTCTCACATATTTCTCAAGTCATTTATCTGTACAGTCCATCCAAACACAGGTCCCTACTGTTATTTCCATTAATAAATAAATAGATGGGGCCCAAGAGGAACTGCCTGACTTTAATTAATTTAATAAGCCCAATTCAGTCAGCGTTCTAGGCGCTTGCCTCCTAACAAGTTCCCACAGCCTCACAGGTGCTGGGAGATAATGGTAAATCAGGCGTGGGCCACAGAACGGGTGTGTGTACGTGCAGTGGGATCGATTGTGGGTTCATTGAGTTATGCTTTGGTTCTTGAAAATGAAAGGAGACCACCCCATAGTAAAATTATGTTGTACTCTTTAGGGAATGGTCTTTTCTGCCTAACAACCGAAACATTGTGGATATTATCTCATTTCCTCCTAAGATTTCTTATCAGTGGTAGGTAAGGGAAAGAGGGAGTCTATGGAGAGGGGGCATCTATTATATTCCCCACTTTATACTAGGATACTAGAAACCGGGAATGAAGCTGGAGCTGAGGCCCCAGCCTCCGCTAGGTCACCGATGGGCTCCTCTTTGGAAGGCAGCCGTGCTCACCACTGCGCCGTCAGCGCTGCGCCACTCACTCGTTGTTAGTGACTGAGCTTCAGAGTGTGCTGATGCTTACAAATATTTGTGGAAACTCTTCAAAATATAGTAGCAGGTAAATTCAAGGCCAGCCTGAGTTATACAGAGTTCCAGGCCAATCTGGCCTACATAGCATGCATTATCAAAACATAAAAGTGGCAAAAAATGAGTCTGTTCAATACTGAGTACATGCATGCCACATTAGCTGAATAAATTTCCACCATGTTAGCAGAGCCCTTCTCTTGACCTGGGTGTGTCACTGTTGCAGCCACATGTTAGTGCGGTGTAGGACAGTTGCTACCTTTTGTACGTACCAGCCATAGCTCTGTATAAAAGGCTTTGGAGAAGACCCTTTGGCTCAGGAAAAAAAAGGTATTAGCTGACTACTGTTAAGAAGGTAAAGCCGGACATGGTGGTTCATGTACTATGAGCACTTGAGGGCAGACAGGCGAGCTTGAGGCCGGTCTCTTCTGCATAGCAAGTTCTAAGATAGCTATGTTTGAGAAGAAAGTAAAATACCAGTTTTCTCAGCTATAGCAGAAGGAAATAGTGGGACTGGTTTGTTCTTTAAATTGGAAACAAAAGACCAACAGCAAAAACTGGAGCCAAGGTGTTGTGGCACTCACCTTTAATCCTACCTCTTGAGAGACAGAGGCAGGAGACTCTCTGTGAATTTAAAGCCAGCCTTTGTTGGTCTACATAGCTAGTTCCAGGATAGCCACAGCATGTATGTAACAGAGACCCTGTCTCTGAAACAAACAAAAAAAAACAGTTTAAATTGGGGTGCTTCTCTTAAAGGAATACTGTCTTGTTTGTTTTAGTTTACTTTGCTCCCCCTCATTCATCCTTAGAAGCTGAAGAGGCTTAGGCAGGGAGAACTAGTCTGGGTAGAGTAAGGACTCCAGTCTCAACCTTTCTAGTCACTGCCTGCCAGCCACCTGCCTCCCAAGTGCTGCGATTAAAGGTGTTCACCATCGTGCCTGGCCTTATTAGTTTCTTTCCTATTTTTCAGACTTTGAGACATAGTTCCATCTGTAGCCCAAGCTGGCCTTGAACTTCTGATCTTCCAACCTCTGTCTCCTGAGTGCAGCCTGGTCTTGCCAATTACTGTTTGCCTCTAAAGACATAAAAAGCATCATGATTCTGAAAAAAGGATTTGAAACTTCAAAATATTCTAAAAGTAAACTCCTTTTTCAAATTCAATTTCCTTGTAAATTTGGATCAGGATTGGGGAAGCTGTTATCATTTTCTCTCAGGTGGGAGAAGCATGGTCCGGTAAGCCTGTAATTCCTAAACTATATCAGAGTACTGACTGATGAAACAGACGATGCCCAGAAAGCTATTTCTAGCTCTGTTGCCAAAAGTACTTTGAGCTCTCTTACCCTAGGAGAGGAACCAAAAGGTTTTGTGCAGATTAGTTCCTTGTAAGAACAAAAGTCCCTTTGGGGCTTTACTAATTCCTTCACCTCCCCTGGTGTGCATGTTCATTCCTTTGCCCTCATTTTAGGACTTTGCTCTAAGGCAGTTTTCCAGGGAAAGAGAGATCCTCTAGCCCCTGCTGACCCCACAGTATGCAGCACTGTGCCTGATTAACTGGGCAAGGTCGGACTTGCCTTTTACAGTCCAACCTCCAATCCCTACCCAGATAGACCCTCTGCTAAGAAATCCCAGAAATGCTCTAATGCTAGACCTAAGTAGATCAGAGCACCAGGCTCACAGCAGTTCTGAGCTTTTGCAGCTTTCTCCCCCTAGAACTGACGGCAGTGCTAACTGCACCGAGAATGTAAATGCTCTATGGATCATGTTTTATGTCCTCCATCCTCCCCCAAACTGCAAGGATTAGGAAGCCTATCCTCTGTTACAAAAACCAAGAAAGAAATACTTTAGACCATCTAGCGAATGATTAGCAAATATGAAGACTAAAAAGATCTCCACTAAGGCTGTGAATTCAGTAGCAGTAACTGCCTGTTGGCCACCACAATCAAGTGTGGCCTTTTACCTTCTAGTGCGTGGTTCTCAACCTATGGATTGTGACCCTTTTGGGGGTCTCCTAAGACCTTCGGAAAAGTATTGACATTACACTTCACAACAGTAGCAAAATTACAGTTACAAAGTAGCAATGAAATAATTTCATGGTTGGGGGTCAGCACACCATGAGGAGCTGGAACTGGTGTTAGGAAGGTTGAGGACACTGCTGCAGTGTGTATTGCTAGTGGATTAGTCTGCAGAAGACTCAGTGTACCGAAAGAGGCTATTCCTTTGCTGCTTTGGGAATCTGAAACACCAAGGACTCCTTCTTACGGAGGCTAGTCAAGGAATCTAACACACTGAGTTGGCAGGGTCTGATTGGGTCCTGCAAGAATAGTTCTGCCTCATCAGAGCCAGTCCTGAGAAACACAGCTCTGTTATGTCAGACGAACTCCTTCTGTGTGGTTCTTAATTACTTTCCCATGAATTCCTTGTTTTTTAGGTCTTGTCAGTGGAGTTATTGTACTACAAAGCAAATTACTTCAGGCATCTAAACAGCAGGTAGAGGGGTGGTTATGAGGCTAGAAACCCATGGGTTAATGACTGGCTTGCTTAGGAACTTTAACCTGTGCCTTTCGTGGGGCAACTTCCCTCTCTTTGCGTATTCAAGTATTATACCTCTCTGTGTTCAAAAGGAAAAGCTAGCACTAGATTCCAAATGAGTGCTACCCAGAGACAATGCCTTTTGCTGCTTTCTGTTTGCCCTCTCAGAACTGTGGAGAGCACCTTGCACAGGCGATGAATGGTACAACTCCATGTTTCATTAAGGAGCTTCCTAGAGGTGTTAATTTGTGTGGCGCTAATTAATGACTAGTGGAGCCCCATGGTTGGAATTTTGGAGGAAGCTAATCTTTTCCCTAATGGGTTTTTTATTTGTGTTCCAGCTGCTTCATATACAGATAGCTCTGATGATGAGACATCCCCTCGGGACAAGCAGCAAAAGAACTCTAAGGGAAGTAGTGACTTCTGTGTCAAGAACATCAAACAGGCGGAGTTTGGACGCAGAGAAATTGAAATTGCTGAACAAGGTAAAGAAGTAAATGCATTTCTACCTGCCTGTGTCATTTTGTTGTGTTAATACATCCTGGGTCAGCAGGCTTGTCAAATTTCAGTGTAACACTAAACCATATTTTTTGTTTATTAATTTATCTGAGACAAGGCCTCAACTCTGTAGCCTAGGCTGACCTTGAAGTTGAGGCAGTTCCCTGCCTCCAACCTCCCAAGTGCTGGGATTTATAGGTATGAGTCGGTATGCCCACCTCCTGAAGAACATTTAAAAGAATCTGAGCTGAGGAAACACTGTGGGGAGGGAGGGAACTCTGGCAGTTCTAGACAAAACGCCTGGATAAGAAGAATTGGCAGGTAGAGATTAAAACGGGGACATTTGTCTCTGAAAGCCTCTCAGAGAACATTCAGGAGCCTCATCTAACAGAAGCTGACCAAGGGGATGATCTTAACTTAAATGAGCAATGTTTCTGTTGGTTTTTTTTTTCTTATCTCTCATTTGCTGTTTCATAATCTGTTTGTATCTGGCCTTTTCAGAGATGCCTGCCCTGATGGCCTTACGGAAGAGAGCCCAAGGAGAAAAGCCTTTGGCTGGAGCCAAAATTGTGGGTTGTACGCACATCACTGCTCAGACCGCTGTGAGTTCTTCTCCTCCTAATAACAGTTCATAGTCATACCAGCCACTGAATGCTTGCAACCTGCCAGCACCAGGCTGACCGTGTCTTTTCATTAATCCACGTGATGCTGTGGAGGCAGGTATTCCTTCTTCCATTTTATAAAGAAGGAAGCTGAGGCCTGGTGTGCTTGAGTAGTTTGCCCAGGGTTGTACGGCTTCGAGCCCAAGCTGCAGCTTGACCATGAGGATGCCAGGTGAGCGAGTGAACGCTTCCACCACTGTACTGCACACCTCCCCTGTTGCCCCTCCAGGGTCCTCTCTCGGCAGTTTTCTAGTGTAGTGACTGTCCTATACTTCAGGGTTACAGATCCCTGGCTCTGCCCACTAACAACAATAGCACTCCCCACAATCATTGTGACAAACTCTCTATCCCTTCTTTTGAAGTGTAGCTGAAGTTGGTCTTGAACTCATGATCCTCTTGTCTCAACCTCCCAGATTCTGGAATTATGGGTTCATACCACCATGTAAAAGGCCAGCTAGTGTGCATGTGCTCTCTTCATCTCTTTGTGTTCTCTCTCTGTGCATGTGCGCGCATGTGTACGTGTGCGTGTGCGTGTGCGTGTGCGTGCACGCCTATAGCTGAAAGTTTTCCTGTGGTCCCACCTGGCCCACAATCAGGACAAATCTCTCTCACCTGCCGGTCCCACAGCCACTCAGACCCAAATAAATACACACAGGCTAATACTATTTTTAAACTACGGCCATGGCAGATTTCTTGTTATCTAGTTTTTTTTTTTTTGGGGGGGGGGGGCGGTTGGTTTGAGACAGGATTTCTCTGTGTAGTTTTGGTGCCTGTCCTAGAACTCACTCTATAGACCAGGCTGGCCTCGAACTCACAGGCTCTGCCTCCCGAGTGCTGGGATTAAAGGTGTGCGCCACTACCACCCAGCTAGTTCTTTTTTGTTTGTTTGTTTTTTATTTTTTGCTGAATGTTGTTTATTGAATGAGGGAGGAGGTCTTAAATACAGGCTTACAGCACAATGGGAGAACCCCAGAGGACAGAAGTTCACTACCGATGTTTTACAATCTTGCATCTAAGCTGTTAAGTCCATTATGCAGGATACATAGACAAGGAACTTCCCTTAAGCATTCAGGAGGGTGGAACCTGGCAGGGAATTAGCATAGGGAGGATATCAAGGTCAAGGTCAGCAAGCAAGACAACAGTTACCCAAAACGGGGGTCAGGGCCCTACAGGTCCCCCTTTTACTAGAAAATGAGCTTCTGACTTCGGTTGTATGGGACGTCAGCAGGTCACCTTACCCATCATGGAGACGCCTGCCCAGGCCACACAGGCGCTTTGTCTTAGGTTGGTGAGCACCCCCCAGGCATTACCCGTCTCTGAATACTTATCATACAGGCTCAATCGTGTGTGAGCTGTAGAGTTAACTGCTGCCAAAGATCTCAAAGTGGCGCTGGGCTTGCAATCTGTGTGTTTGACACAGAAAAGACCAACAGAAGTCCTAACCCACCCATAGCCAGTAGGCTAAAGGCAACTGAGCCATTCCCTTCCTTAATGAGCCTTATTGCAAATTGGAGTCCTTGTAAGATGGTATCCCAAAAGGAAATGGATCTTGAGTTTATAAATTTACAATTTTCAAAGCCAATTGAATTGTATGTAACTATTGAATTAAATTTATCATGCCCAATAGAATGAAAAATTAACTAACTGTGGTAGCTACTTTTGCTGCCAGGGTCTCCACTGTGCCAGCTGTAGTAACCAATTATGAAATGGTAATCCCAGAAACCCCAGGTAGTTCTTATATCTTAAATTAACCCATTTCTATAAATCTATACTTTGTGACGTGGCTCATGGCTTACCAGTACCTTTACATCTTGCTTCTTCTGGCCACAGCTAGCAGCATCTCCTCTGCTCTGTCTTCTTCCTCTCTCTCTAGTTAGAATGTCCCACCTAACCTTATTCTGCCTCACATTGGTCAAACAGCTTTATTTATCAACCAATCAGAGCAACACATTTTCACAGCATACAGAATGACATCATCCATCATGCACCTGCTGTGTAGCAGATGAAGTTGGTATTAGTCAAACACCTGATCTTCCTGCCTCTCTTTCCTGAGTGCTGGGATTTCAGACATGTGCACAGTTAGTTACTTTGTTTGTTTGTTTTTTCAGTGGTGGAGATTGAACCCAGGGCCTTATTTTAGACTAGACAGGTATTCCTATCACTGAGCTATATTGCCAGTACCTCAGTCACCTTTAGAGATTGTCTCTCTTTCAGCTCACTCTTAACATGGTCACCTTGCTAATGAAGGGCAGATAGCAGTTCCTTAGGAACAGGTAGCAGCTGCATTCCTCTGAGACTTTGCTGAGTTACATGTTCTCTGGGGAAAAGGATACCCTGAATTCCTAAAATTAATACAGTAAATTAAAAAGTAATTTCTTTTTGGAGCTACAGATGAATGAATTGAGGCAGAAACATGTTGAAACCTTTCCTGGGCCTCTCATATTGGCATTCAGGTGGTAGCTTACAATAGGATGTGCTTCTCTACTTACTGCCTCATGTTCCTAAGTTAGAGCTAGTTTTCACCCCAGCCTAACTGAGCATCACCACCCTGTGGGCCTCCCTCTTTATTTTTCCTGGTTGAATTAATCATTATTGGTTTACCAAGTTTAGTATAAGTTTATTATTGCCACCTACAAAAATAATATTTTTCTTCATGTTTTTAATCTCTATAATTTTTCTAATTATATGTTCATATTAATTTTATAATATTAAAACATGACCTCTATATAATATATAAGCATATAAAGACTTGGGACTAGAGATGCAGCTTAGTTGTATGGACATGGTGATGCATCCCTGTAATCCCAGCTCTAGGGAGAGTGAGGTAAGACCAGAAGTTCAAGGTCATCCTCCACTACATAGTGAGCTAGCTTGTGACCAGTCTGAGTCACTGGATTATATGAGACCCTGCCCCTCCCAAAAGAAAGAAGGAGGGAGGGAAGGAGTTTGGGAAAGTCTTCTATACCCCCTCTAGTATGTAGTTAATCATTTCTTAATTCAGGTATGTCTCCATAGTTCTTCTAACTTAATTTCATTGATGCTGCTTCTAAATGATAATTAAAGTCAAGTCAAGGGTCTGGAGAAAGATGGCTCAGCAGTTAAGAGCACTGCTTGTTCTTCCAGAGGTCCTGAGTTCAATTCCCAGCAACCACATGGTGGCTCACAACCATCTGTAATGAGATCTGTTTCCCTCTTCTGGCCTGCAGGTGTACATGCAGATACAGCACTGTATACATAATAAATAAACAAATAAGTAAATAAAACTATACACATAAAATAATATTTAAAAAAAAAAAGAGTGCTTGCTGCTCTTATAGAAGACCAGCGTTTGCCTTTCATCACCTGTGTCGGAGAGCTCACAGTGGCCTGTAACTCCAGTTCCAGGATACCCAACACCCTCTTCAGGCTTGGCAGCAAGTGCCTTTACTCTCTGAGGCATCTTGCTGCTGGCCTCTTGCTTTTAATTTTTTTCATTTATTTATTTAAAACTTTTTTTTCATTTTACATACCAATCCTAGTCCCCCCTCCTTCCCTTTTTTTCCTACCCCTCCCCCCCCACTCCTTAGAGCGGGTAAGGCCTCCCTTGGGGAGTCAACAAAGTCTGGCATACTAAGCTGAAGCAGGAGCAAGCCCTTCCCCCTGTGTCTAGGCTGAGCAAGGTATCCTAGGTATCCCTAGGGAATGTGTTCCAAAAAGCCAGTTCATGCACCCGGGATAAGTCCTGGTCCCACTGCTAGGGGCTCCCCAAACAGATCTAGCCACATAACTGTCACCACATTCAGAGGGCCTAGTTCAGTCCCTGTTTGTAATTTTTTAGATGGTCTCACTATGTATGTAACCCAAATTAGCCTGGAATTCTCTATGTAGCCCAGGCTATCCTCAGACTAGTCACCTTCCTGCCCCCTGAGTGCTAGGATAGGAAGTGTACCACAACACACTTGAGAATTTTTGAATGTCATTTCTTAGTTTCCATTATAGTCATAGTTGTGCCAGATTTCCTTGACATGCCTTCAGCATTTCTTCCATGCCCAGCCCATTGTTTTCTGTTCTTATTGAAAATAATCGATTATAACTCATTAAATATTTTGATGCTTATTTTATCCTCAGTTTAGCCAAAATAAGCCCCAAATGTGACTTCTGTGGCTTAATTTTTTAATTTTTAAAAATTTGTCTGCGTGTGTTTGTGTGTGTGTGTGTGTGTGTGTGTGTGTGTGCTTGTGTCTATGTATCTGTGCACATAAGTGTGTGTGTGTACACATGTGTGCTATAGGTCAACCTCAGATGTCTTCCTCAATCACATTTCACCTTATTTTTTGAGGTAGAACCTGGAGCTCACTGATTGGGCTAGACTCGCTGGCTATGTGGCCAGCGAGCCTCAGGGTCCCTCCTGTCCCCACCTCCCAGTGCTGGAATAAGGCACACACCATTGGGGTTACAGGCACACTGTGCCAGTTTTTTACATGTGTGCTCGGCATCCACACTCCAGTCCTCCCTGCATTTCACCTCATGAGACATATGAGTGTGTGTGTGTGTGTGTACACACTTGTGCACATGTGTGTGGGAGCCAGAGAATGTCAGGCATCGTTTTCCTTAGGAGCCATCTACCTTGTATTTAGAAACAGGGTCTAGCCTGGTGCTCTCCAAGTAGGCAAGGTTAGCTGGCCAACAAGCTTCAGGGATCTTCTGTCTTCAGCTTTTTGTTTGTTTGTTTTGTTTTACATGAAGGTTCTGGAGATCAAACTCAGGTCCTCAAGCTTGCAAAGCAAGCACTTTACTGAGTTATCTCCTGGCCTCTCTTTGCTCTGGCCCTTCCCTTTCATTCCTTACTTCTGGTCCATGATGATCCACTCTTACCTTGTATGTTCCATAGCCTTGGAATCAGTCGTTTTTCAAAGGAACTCACGAGGGCTGCTTTCAGTGGATCTTGGCACTAGTCAGAGACTGTTCCTGGATCTTCTTTTATTAATTTTGGAACAAGATTGTCCGTTAATTCTAAGTGGATTCCTTTTGTCCTGTTCTCTCCATCTTTACTTTTGGGAAGTTCAGTGACACAGGTCAGGTCATTTGATAAGGTCCCATTCTTCTTGGATGGTCGGTTCTGGGGGGTTTTTGTTTTGTTTTGTTTTGCTTTGCTTTGTTTTCCCTGCTCTCCGTTTGTATGTTAGTTTGAAATTTCTGTTCTGCTGTCTTTAAGTTGGCTGATGTGTCCTTGAAAGTGCCCAGCCTGGAAAGACTGTTGTAGGAATTCTCAGTACCTTATGTGGTTTTGTTTCTGGCATTTGTATTTGACTTGTTTTTATAGTTTCCATCTCTATCTGCTAAAATTCCCTGTTTGTGAATGCTATGTATCTTTTTTTATTAACATAAACAGTTGTTATATTATGTTTCTGTTTAATCATAGTTTATATTTATTTTGCTTTTTGAAACATTCTCACTTAAACCAAGCTACCCTTGAATGTACCATATAGCTATGGATGACCTTGAACTTCTAGTTCTCCTGCCACTTCTCTTGAGTGCTGGGATTTGGACGTGTGCTACCACACATGATTTCTACAGTGCTGAAAATCAAATCCAGCACTTCAGGCACACTAGGCAAACACACTACAAACCTTTGTTTTCACATCTTGAAAGTCTTTGAGTGATGACTTTGGTTTCCACTGGAGTTGTGAAGTGCCCGGGATTTCAACTGTTCTGTGCACTGTATAGGCTTCACAGTTCTTCAGCAATGGGCTGAAGACTAGAGGTTACTTAGGCTGATTATAGATTACTAAAGGGCTTTCCCTAGTGTTTGCAGCTGCTTGAACACCGGTGTGCCACAGAGGGACTCTCCTCAGGGGCCTGCCCTAGACTGCTACCTTGTCTTGGGGTAGCCTTCTTGGTGAGGGCAAGTGAGAGTCTTGAATCTTCTGATCCAGCCAGTATTAGGCAGGCCTCTGTGAGGGTGGGCTTTCCTAGTGTCCCTGTTGCTTTCTGGAGCAGCCAAATCTTTCTTCTTTTAATTGGTAGGTGTGGAAGAAGATGTTTTCTTGTCTTTTGTGGAGAAAGAGAGAAGTAATAGATCTGTAGATTATAAATAGAGTATAATCTGTATCCACCCTGGGCTCGGATGGTCTGTGTGGCCTTCCTGGTTTTGCTTATGTCTCCCCCATGAGCAGTGGGTCTCTGCATGGCTCTCATGGCAGGCATGGTTTTTAAACTTCTGTTTCTTAAGACTTGTTTCCCATGAGAGACTAGTGTAATGCAATCAGACCCCTGACTCTAGTTCTTGTGAGTACTAGGCAGGTATTCCTGGAAAGGAGCTTGCCTGTGAGTGTGAAATCTTGTGTCTAGTTGGAGCAACACAAAATTCCAAATTATATACTTTCCTAAATTAACCTTTAATTAGAATTTTAGCTGATTTTTCTTACCCTTACATATGCAGCTACCTTTTCCTCCCATGCTTTGCCAAAAATGAAACAAACCCAGTCCGTATCCAAATTGACCTCAGACTTTCAAGGATGACCTTGAATGTCTGGTTATCTTGCCTCTTACCCAGTTCTGAGATTCCAGGCCTGTGCCACTATGCTTGGTTTGGTGAGTTTCTGGGAATCCAACCCAGGGCTTCCTGCAAACACCCTACCATCTAAGCCACATCCCCAGCCCTACCTGGAATTCTCTTGCTTCCTGTATCCTAAACAGAAGTAGAACTGTGTGTCTGTGTTTTGATTAAAAAAAAAAAAAAAACAACCTTTTCTCTGAAATTCTTAATTAAATCTTACTGGGAAAAGTATAGACTTTTACTGCCGCCGACTCCTCTACCCTGTGTTGAAAATACTGAAGAAATTCTATAAAGCACAACTTGAAAACATTGGCCTGGCTTAGTCTTGATGTGTTGTATCGTCAAAGACATAAACTTAGCCAAGAGTGGTGACACGGGCTACTCTTGAGAAGTGGAAGTGGGGAACTGCCTAGTTACATGAGACCTTGTCTCAAAACAAAACTCAATCTCCAGCCATTGTTTGTTACAGGCCTGTTTATCTCCTCGTTCTGTAACACAGGTGCTGATGGAAACTCTGGGTGCTCTGGGAGCACAATGCCGGTGGGCCGCCTGCAACATCTACTCCACGCTCAATGAAGTGGCCGCTGCTCTAGCAGAAAGTGGTAAGAGCTGATTTTTGGTCTGTCTTTGGCTAAGATAAGTTTCAAGAAGTTCCACTGTTTCAGTATAATAAATCTTAAAGAAAGGTTGACAGGATCCTGTTATTGATGCATTTGTTTTCTTCAGGGGCTCCTTTTGTCAGTCATGATCTAGTTAATTCTGTTTTATAGTTGGCAAATAGCTACCTATGTCTAGTGCTCTGGTAATCACACTTCGGTTTGATTCACTAATAGACCACCAGTGAGCATTGCTCACACTCAAGATAGTATGTAATAGGGTTTCTGTACCCTAATAATAGGTTTCTCTGCCAATGCAATAAGCCAGATCAAGCCGAATTGAAAAAGTAAAAGAGCAGGTTTATTTGAGCAAAGCAACTCCCAGGTGAGTTCTCCAGCCCCAGAGATCAAGGCAGAAGTCACATGCCTGAGCTAAAGCAGGGAGCTTATACAGCCCACAGGTGAGAGGTGATGACGTGTCCCCCTCCAGCTGGGTTTGTGCCCAAGTATGGTCAAAGCTGGAATGTTTGGCTAGGGACTTGGGCTGCTGGCAACTTCAGGGGAGGATCTACCTTAGCCTCAGAATGCTGAACTGGGCTTTTTGGTGCCTTCCCTTTGTTCAGAGGTTCTCTGAGAGGGCGAGGTTTGGAGAGAGACAGTAATGGGGCTTTCTGGATCAAGCAGAAGTGAGCTGGAGATTCCAGCCAAACAATATGTAATGCTCCAGCCATAGTTTGTGGCCCTGCAGATTTTCTAGCACATGACTCACCCTGATTTAATGTTCAGCACGTCTGCTTCAGCAGTAAAGAGGACTTGGCCTGGCAGGTTAATTGATCACAATATCCACTAATGCCTGAAGGACAGAAATAGAGATATTTAGATTCTGTCAGCTTTCTGTCTTCCCTATGTGTCGCAATACACATAGATCTGGGTATCAAAACTGCTTCTGAGCTCTTGGGAGACTCCAAGAGAGCCCTACAGAATATACTTATCTCTCCTTTTGCTAACACTCTTGGCATTTCATTAGTTCTTTCATTTATTTATAAAATTGTACTGCTTGTATATAATAGAAAATTATATAAATATTAAATGTATGTATAGTGAATTGTACATAGACATTCATTTTTTCTTTTTTTTTTGGCAAATGATTATTAGCTCTAATCATTATTAAGGACAAGCCTTAATAATCTTCTTCCCAGGGGCCCAGAAGAGAAGCTACGAATGGCGAGAATTATTTTCAGGAAAAGAATCTATATACACCGAGCTCTCAGTCCATCTACTTTATTCCTCTGGGATAAATCCTATCTACACAGCTTCAGTTCTGTTCTCGTGCCTGATTTCTCTCTACCTTTATCTGCTGTCCCCTCTAAGTTCTATCTTAACTCTCTCATCTTAATTCTGCCCCATCTTGGTCTTTCACATCTCATTCCCACCCATCTCGTTCTTTCCCATCTGGCTCTTCCTCATCTTCCATCTCATTCTTCTAGTTCTCCATCTAGTTCCCCAGTCAAAATCCTCTCCAGTCCAAATCCTCAAAAATCCTTCCAAGTCTCTGAGGTTTACAGCTATATATTCATGCAATAGCAGTGCTCTAGCCAAAGCAAGGTCACCCAGCTTGAATTTTTATTTTTTTATTTTTTATTTTTTTGAGACAGGGTTTCTCTTTGTAGTTTTGATGCCTGTCCTGGAGCTCACTCTGTAGACCAGGCTGGCCTCAAACTCACAGAGATCTGCCTGGCTCTGCCTCCCAAGTGCTGGGATGAAAGGTATGCACCATCACTGCCCAGCCCTGCCAGGCTTGAATTCTTACAAGGTCATAAAGGCGGGTAAGAATTTTCCTCCGACAGTGGCTGTCAGGCTTTCTTTTACAACCCAAGAAGGGAGTGGTAAAGGAGGAGGTCAACTGAGAACTAATGATCGGTTAGTATATCAAAAAGGGAATTTATGTGCTCAATCTACGTTCCTAGAAGTGGTTAGGCAAGAAGTTAGGAGTCTATAATGTTAGTAAGGCTGGATCTTGGTTTAAATTGCACAAGAAGTAAAGCTATCCGCATGACTTAGGAGACAGGCATTGTTTCCATAACCTTAGTTCAGGAGATCGTTTGGCCTTGGATGCTTGATAGGTATATTAGATAAATACACTGTTAGGAGTTCTTGGAAACACACATAACACACAAGAAAATCATTGTAGAAATCGGCTAATATATATACAAAAGCTAAAACATCACCAAGACTTCTTAAGCCATGGCTTGACCTTCGGAAAGGTCCTTGACCTTTCCGAGTAGTCGCTTTTGTGATAGTAGCTGGGTTCCATGACATTTTCCTGTGGCCTGCAGCACTCTAATAGGTAATGAGAAATACCTTTGCTCTCAGAATGTTATTTGTGGTAAAGAAGTTAGCATACTTACATAAATGAAGACTCGTTTAACAAAATGCCTCAACTGCTTCTAAACCCATATTCAAGACCAGACATGACATATTCCTATCATCCCAGATATTGGAAGGTTGGGGCCAAAAGATCATAGTTCAGAACCTGCCTGGGAAACTTAGTAAAATCTTGTCTCAAAAAAAAAAAAGAAAGTTGGGGATCATGGCTCACATCTGCAATCCAGCCCTTAGAAGGCTGAGGCATGAGAATGACCACAAGTTTGAGGCTGGCCTGAAGTCTGTGGTGAGATGTTGTCTCAAAACTACCTAAGTGAATAAATAATAAATGAATGAATAACTAAAGCTAGGGATGAAGTTCAATGGTAAGAGCACTTGCTTAGTGTACTCTGTGATTCCTAGCTTCATTCCCCAACGCTGCAAAAATAAATAAATCTATGTTCAGTGATACATAAATGATGACTTTTAAAAAGTTCGCATTCATTTGGTTCTCACCCAGCTAAGTTAACGGACATTCTACTTCATGAGGCTATGGTGTGGAACAAGCACTTTAGTAGATAAAGTATGAGAGTTTCCAGTGAGCACGTGGAATAACTAAGAAGAAGAACAGTGGATTTGGGAGATGAAAAGACGGACAGCTCGACTCTGGATCAAGTGCTGATTTCTGGTTTCTTCTTTTCCTGGTAGTCCTATTTTTAGCAGCTCTTCATTCTTACTGCTTGTCCTTTCTGAGCCAAGAACAGAATAGTCACTACAGGAAAAGGAATGGATAAGGGGACTTGAGGGCAGTATTAACCAGTGAAGGAAGTTAATCCTAAGAATATAGCAAAATGAGAAAGTGAGGAATTGGTGGAAATTGGCACTTTCTTGGTAAAATTGGGGATTGGCCCTTTTATAGCCTTTAATGGCTTCTTTTTGTTCCTTTTATTGTTTTTAGGATTTCCTGTCTTTGCCTGGAAAGGAGAGTCAGAAGACGACTTTTGGTGGTGCATCGACAGATGTGTGAATGTGGAGGGCTGGCAGCCAAACATGGTGGGTCAGATTTCTGTTAATGCAGCTCCTAAGGGCAGGGTGATGGTGGAAAAGACTGACTTGGGTAGAAGCTGAGACAGGCAGATGGTGAGCTTGAGGCCAGCCTGGAAGCATTCACATTTATAAGTAACATGAAAATGCTACCCAGGATTCACACATGACTGACTAAATGCAGAAGTAATGCATTTCTGTCCCCTACTGCTGTTCACGGTTGCTGCAGTAACAGTCACCATCAACACCAGCAAACAAATACACACGGGAAGGCAGACGCCTCGGGGCTCCTGAGGAGGCACTTAGCGTTCATGGGAATCTACACACTGAGTTTTTAATATGCTTGGAGCACTTCCAAGTACAAATTTCTTCTCTTTATTTTGTAAAAGATGACCAGGAAGTTTAGGGGTTTTCCTTTCTACTTCATTTTTTGTTTCATTGTTTAAAAGATCCAGTCTGAGGGGCTGTGGATATAGCTCGGTGGTAGAGCTTTTGCCTGACATGCTCAAAGCCCTAGGTTTAGTCCCCAGCTCTGAAGAAACAAAGAAAAGAAAAAAAATTAAATGTAGGACTGGGGTATAGCGCCCTGGTTTAACATGCTTGAAGCCCTGGATTTACACTGTTTAAATACACACACACACACACACACGCACACGCACACGCACACGCACACGCACACGCACGCACACATGCACGCACGCATGCACACACGCACGCATACACACACAAATTCTTGAAGACTGAAAACACAACATTCATAGAGAAAGAAAAAGGCATAAAAATATGATACATTTCCTGCTTTACCAACATTTCTGCATTATTAAGAAATTAGAGAATCAGCTTTAAAAAAAAAGGAAGGAAAGAAAGGAGGGAGGGAGAGAGAGAGAGAGAGAGAGAGAGAGAGAGAGAGAGAGAGAAAGAGAGAGAGAGGATCCCTTGCTGCTGACGGCTGAAAATTAGGTGCCCCTCTGAGAAGCAGCTTCCACTGAAGCCTGTGGTTCAGGTCACATGGCAAATGCTGGCTTGAGAAGTGGGGGATGCTGGTGGCTCCAAGGTGAGTCAGCTCATCCAGCAATTTTAGGTGACAAGGAGGGAGTCTGACTGACAGCAAGGAAGATAGGGGCGGGGCACATGTCTCTAGGGGCGGGGCACATGTATCTTGGGAATAAAACTAATTTTATAGTCATGAACACAGAGAGGCTGTGGCTTTGTACCCAGAGAGCTTTTACAGTCTGTGGAGCCAACACAGCTGCTAGAAAAGTTAATAAAGACAGGTACAAGGATCAAAATAGTTGTCGCCTCAGAAAATAGAACACATATCTTTGGCCAAGACCCAATGCTTTTCCTTACATTTCAGCCTCAGGAAAAGGAAGATTATCTGAGGTCAGGAACTTTCTGCAGTAAGACAGCACAGGGAATTTATAGGCTGCAGTCATTAAATAAATACTATAAAAAGCAACTCCTGCCTGTGCTGGATGCTTTGTTTAAAGGGGAAAGTAGGTGCTGGGATATAGCTCAGTTGGCAGAGTACTTGTCTGGCGTGTATGAAGCCCTGGATTTGATCCTCAGCACTGTGTAAGCCAGGTGTGGTGATGGGTGCCTATAATCCCAACAGGAGGGTCAGGCTGAGGAGATGGTTCACTGGGTAAAGGCTTGCTGCCCAGCATGAGGGGCTGAGTTAGAAACCAGCACCCATGTAAAAGCCAGGTATGGTAGGAGGCATTCGTTAGCACAGCCCCAATAGGTCTTGGTGATCAGCCAGTCTCGATACATAAATAAAGGGGAAAGTAAATGAGCATAATGGGACATAGTCCACAGAGTTGCCAGTTCCTTGGGTTTTTGTCTATTCTTTCTTTGGCTGGGGATCAGAGGCAGCAAGTGAAAACCTCACAGGATCCATGCCTACAGAACAGCAGAGAGAAACTCTTTAGTTTCTTTTGTATGGGAAGAGTTGGGGGGGAGATGTATGCTTACATATGCATGTGTGTACACATGTTGTGGAGGCCAGAAGACAACCTCAGCTGTCATTGCACAGGAGCTTTCTCCTTGTTTTTTGAGACAGGATCTCCCACTGGGACCAGGGCTCCACAGTTAGACTAGGCTGGTCCCATCCCTGCCTCCCCAGCGCTGGCGGCTTTTCTGCACTGCCATGCCTGGCTTTTTATGTGGCTGCTGGGGTTAAACTCAGGTCCTCATGTTGGTAAGGCAAGCACTTCATTAAATCATCTCCCCAGCCTTTTGGGGTAGGGGTGGGGGCAAAACTGGGATTGAAACTGGGGCTCTCTCCCTTGACCTATGACCTTGGCCCCTCTTTGGGTTCCTTGGGGACATTGGTTCTTAGAGGTTCTATTTATAGTGTGTAGCCAGGCTAAGAGTTCCAATGAGAGTCCTGCCTTGGTCCCTACCCTCCAGCAAGAGTTGATAAAATAGATTAATAGTAGGAGCAGAAGCAAAAGATCAGATGATAGATGTGGGGTTGGGTGTTTTGTTTTCCCTGGGATTCAGTATGGCGCTTTTTATGGCGCTTGTAGTGCTGATATCCTGGAAGTTTAAAAAGAATGCATGCCAGCAGAGGATGACTGAAGTCTGTGGAGACCTTCCAGGACAGGTGTCACAATTTAGAAAAGTCTGCAGGGCTCAAGTGTCACTGCCTTGTGCCTGATTTATAATTCATAAATCTTCCCCTGCTGATGGAAGCTCTTGTGGGCACAGCATTGTATTTATCTTTAATCCCAACCTGAAATAGTGATGAGCTGTTCAGAAGCATGCTTGTACACCTACATGCTGCACGGTTCCCTGGTTATTTTTAATTTGGCTTATACAGAGTGCGAGGTTGAGCTAGGCAAAACCCTCCAGTGCTGCCTGCTACATTGGGTGGGAGAGTGCCTGTGCTTTGTGAGAAGTAAAGGATTAACAACTTCAGTTTTAAAAGCCATTGTTCTGAGAGAGAGACTAATTATCTGTCCTTTTATTTAAACTAAACCTTAGTTGAATTTATTTAAAGTACTAAAATCAGCAGTTAGAAATGAGTTTTCTGAAGATCTGAAGTATATTCAAGAACTAGAGGTCTTGATGGCCTCAAGCTGATTATCCATAAGAAAATTCTTAGCCGGGCAGTGGTGGCGCACGCCTTTAATCCCAGTACTCAGGAGGCAGAGGCAGGTGGATCTTTGTGAGTTCGAGGCCAGCATGGTCTACAGAGCGAGATCCAGGGATGGCACAAAGCTACACAGAGAAACCCTGTCTCGAAAAACAAAAAACAAAAAAAAAAAAAAAAGAAAAAAAGAAAATTCTCATGTTGCAATGTGGCTTCATAAAGTAGATATGTCATGTGGTAGCGACATCTGACTGAGAGAATTATAGTTGGCCTTTCTCCTCTCCTCTTTTCTTTGAGTATAATGACTCTTTCATTTGTTAGATTATTGTATTGACTCTGGCTTTAAGTTACTTTTCATAACTATATGGAAATTTTGAAATATCTGTACATTGGTAATTAGGAACGGGGATATAGGACTCTGAGAAGCCTTTAGCAAGACAAATGACATTCCTGATGCTTCTGTTGCAGATACTGGATGATGGAGGAGATCTTACTCACTGGATTTATAAAAAGTATCCCAACATGTTTAAGAAAATCAAAGGCATAGTCGAGGAGAGTGTTACTGGAGTCCATAGGTAAGAGTGAACGGTCATCCTTAGCTCAGATATAGACTTTATAATCACATCCCTGTAGAACACATTATGGTAAAAATGGGTGCTTTCTCTGAGGTACCATGTCTAAGCCTGGGCACTTATTTTAATTAACAGCACAAATTACAGAACTGAAATGGTAAATAGCCCGGGTGGAGGAGCAAGCAGTTTCCTCATGTTTTTCCTGTCGTTGCGGTACAGTGGCTACTTGCTCCTTTTGGACAAGTTTAATTCATTCACTAGTATTTACCGAACTACTACAATGAGCCAGGCACTGGTCTGTGCTAGAGACCCACAGTAGACAAAACTTGTGCCCTCACAGAGCCCATGTCTCACAGACATCAAAGGCGTTGGGTCCCATCACAAAGGAGTAGTGATTCCTTGGATAAAATTGGAATCATTTCTGTCAGTCTTATTCACCCATAAAGAATTTGAAGTGTCAAATAAACTTTTAGGGGAATTGATTCAAAGCAGGCCACCATGACCACTTTAATGTTTCTAATCCTTTTGAATATAGCTTGGGGCTGGAGAGATGGCTCAGAGTTAGCACTGCTGCTCTTCCAGGAGACCCAGGTTCAATTCCCAGCACCCACATGGTAGCTCACAACTGTCTGTAACTCCAGTTCCAGGAGGTTCAGCTCCCTCACACAGACACACACGCAGGGGAAACACCAGTGCACATAAAACTAAAAAACAAACAGAAAAAAACAACTATAGCTTGCAGCCTACCTTCAGATCCTTAGAAAGGCTGCGATTTTAAAGTGTGTGTGTGTGCGCGCGTGTGTGTGTGTGTGTGCGTGCGTGTGCGTGTGTGTGTGCGCGTGTGTGTGTGTGTGTGTGCACGCGTGTGTGTGCGTGTGTGTGTGCGCGTGTGTGTGTGTGTGCGCGCGTGTGTGTGTGTGTGCGCGCGCTAGCATGTCACAAATGTGGATACCAGGAAGAACAACTTGTATAAGTCAGTTCTTTCTTTCCATCACATTAGCTTCGCAGGCTGAACTCTGATTGTCAGGTTTGACAGGAACCTTTACCCACTGAACCCCCTCACTAGCCCCCGGAGAAGCAAATACTTCTCCTTTTTAACGGACTTCGTTTTTGAACTTTTATATATATATATAGCTGTGCAACTTACGATTTTATATATTATTGTTATGAATTTGAAACTACTGAAAAGTAGAAATTGTTACCTAAAAGTAGTAGGATTATTCTGGATTTTAAAAATATTTAAAAATCAGTTCTTTTAAAGCTATTTTTAAGATTTATTTTTATTTTTATTTATGTGTATGCATATGTGTTTGTGTGAATGTATGCTATGCTTATGAGTGACCACAAAGGCCAGAAGAGGGTGTTAGGTTTAATAAATAAATAAATCAATTTCATGAAGCTGGAGTGACAAGTGGTTGTAAGCCACTTGATGGGATCCCATGTGAACCTTCTGGAGAAGCAAGAAATACACTCTCAACTCCCAAGTCACTTCTCCAGCTCCCAGATTACTTCTTTTATCATTAAAAGGGATATAACATTTATATGCAGGTTGGAGAGACTGCTCAGCGGTTAAGAGCTCTTACTCGGTTTGCAGAGGACTCAGCTTTGGTTCCTAACACCCACCTGGCAGCTTACAACATCTGCAACTAGAGTTCCAGAAGATCCAACACCCTCTTCTGGCCTCCACAGGCACTAGACACCATGTGTCACACATACATACATTCAAGTAAACACTCATACACATAAAAATAATAAATTTTTTTAAGTCTCAGTCTTGGAATGGGCATGGTGGTACACGACTTTGATACCAGTAGAGGCCAGTGGATCTCTGTGAGTTCAAGGCCAGCTTGGTCTATATAGTGAGTTCCAGGCCAGCCAGAACTACACAGTGTCTTAGTCTTAGAAGACTAAAGAAGTCACAAAACAGAAGTCTTAGTCTTTAGAAAAATAAAATTAAAAAGATTTATATGCAATTAAAATTTTTTCAGGGGGCTGGAGAGACGGCTCAGTGGTTAAGAGCACTGACTGCTCTTCCAGGAGACCCAGGTTCAATTCCCAGCTCCCACATGGCAGCTCACAACTGTCTGTAACTCCAGCTCCAGGCAGTCTGACACCCATGTCAAAACACCAGTGCACATTAAAATAAATAAATAAATAAAAACCTTTTTTCTTAAAAAAAAACAGAGTTTTTCATTTAAAATCTTGAAATTTAGTTGGATCAAAGATTTTCTCCACATGATTTTTTTGATTGTGAGCCTTATGTGTACAGCCTCTAAAAGACATTGTCTGTTTCTCAGTATCTGTTTAGTAGGATGAAATTAGTCATGTCTTATGCTCTCATGCTCAGTCTAATCGATATATTTCAGAGATCTGACATAAAACCAACAGTAGATTGTAATGTCTCATTGTTTTATGTTCTTCTTGACTTCTCCCATTCCCAGGCTGTACCAACTGTCCAAAGCTGGGAAGCTGTGTGTTCCAGCCATGAACGTCAATGACTCAGTCACTAAACAGAAATTTGATAACCTCTACTGTTGCCGTGAATCTATTCTTGATGGGTAATGTTTGTTATCTTTGAGATGATCTTGGGTTATTGAGTGAAGGTTCCAGCTTCTTTGGTTTTAGTTATTTCTGGAACTGTTTCATGTTTCACCACATCACACCCAAGACTTTATAACCCAGAGCTCTGTTGCTATCGCTATTACAAGAAAATCTCTTTCACTTAAGAAATGAGACTGGGAGCTGGAGAGTGGCTCAGTGATTAAGAGCCCTGGCTCCTCTTCCAGAGGACCTGTTTGATACCCAGTACAACGTGGCAGCTCACAAGTATCTAGAATTCCAGGCCCAGGGGATCTGGTGCCCTCCTCTGACTTCCACAGGTACCAAGCACACACATTGTACACAAACATATATGCAGACAAAACATTCATACACATAAAAATAAATACAATTTTTAGAAAGAACTGAGATTAGCTTCTGTTGGCAAGCAGAGTTCATATTTTGTGACTTTGTGTCATTAAAATGGCATAAAAGTGATGTTGAAAGAGGTTTCAGGTGACCCTATTTCAGGTCATGGTTCCTGGAACATACCATATAGTTCTTATGTTATTGCTGTCATACACTTTCATGACTATCTAGAAACTTGTGGTAAGCAAAAAACTAATCCCCAGAGGCATTTCTGGTTTCCGTGCCCTCTGAGGATTGCAGGTCTGACAATGCTCAGCTTCCGTCTCCACCCTTGTGTTCACATCCCTTCGTTGCTGCTAGGGAGACCCCAGGTGTAGTCAGCATTCTGTTTCTGTAACTAATACTGGATGCAACAACTTTTGAAAAGAAGAGGTTGATTTTGGCTCTGGGCTTTAGAGGGCTTAGGCTGTGGGCAGACGGCCATACTTGCTTTGGGGTCTGCAGCGAGACAGCATGTGGTTAGTTAGGATCAGGGGATGAAGCAAAACTGGGCACTTTCTGAGTAAGGAAGGAGCTGGGTCCCCTCTACCCCTCCATGAGCATGTTTCCAATTTCTAGAAAAACCTCCCACTAGACTCCACCCCTGGCCTTTATCATGTGAACCTTTGGGAACACTGTAGATCCAAATCATAGCTCCCAAGGAATTTTCTAAGACAAACCATCAAGATGGCTTAGAATATTCCAAATGCAGTGTTTCTATCACATGGGCTAATAGGAAAATGAAGAAAGATTCTGTGGACTGCATTCCTAACCATTCAGGCTGAGTGAGGACACCACAGGCACTGGGTCCAGAAAGGCCTCAGTTTAAATGCTGGATCCAATATTTGTTTACTTGTTACCTATAATCCTTGCTTATCCTTTGCATAGTTCCTTCTCTGTAAAATGGTAACGTGAGTTAAATGAGACAAGACAGGTTGTTCAGTGTTGTTACCTTTCTCCTTTAATAAAAAGTGGGTGGTGTTTCACTATGTAGACCAGCTGACCTGGAACTTGACACATAGCCCAGGCCAGCCTCAGTATCCTCTGCTTCAATCTTTCAAGGGAATACAGGCATGTGCTACCAAACCCAGCACCTTGCCTGTCTTTCTAGAACTCTCTATATAGTAAGTTTTAGGATTGAGTTACATCTTAAGAAAAGTTTTTGCTGGTTGGTTTTTGTTTTGTTTTTATTTGGTGGAATGTTCAATGCACTTATAACTATTGTTACCTACTATATTACTATGGAGTCAGTAGTATCAGATAAACTAAACAATTTAAATAAATTCTTAGCCCAGTGGTCAGTCAGAGTGTCCACATGTAAGGGTCACTGTGACAGATACCTCAGTTCTGACCAAATTGGTAGTAACGTATATATTTCATTAAAATACTTACCTACCCACAACTGTCTTTTAGACTTTTCAAATACCAGATCTGTAAACCTAAAGTTGGCCTATACCAGGATCAGTAAAAGATGCATGAAGATAACTACTAGTTCAGAAAAATGGATAGACTCCCTCCCAACCATAGTTTACTCCTTAGGTAAGAAAGATTCTTAAAGGTGGAAGGGACAAAAGTGACAAAGAAGCAGTTGAGCAGGAGTTAAGGTTTCACAGCGACGACAACGACGACGATGACGCAGGAAAGTGTCAGCTCTTCTGGATTTGCTCAGCGGCAAGAGCATGGGTACCTGCAGACGTGCAGAACTGCAACTGGGTCAAGGGCAGTTGCTCCCTCGGTAGAGAGGAGAGCAAGAGAGATGAAAGGAGAGGTAAGCTGCTCCAGAGAAAAGTGCAGTGGGAGCCGCGCGGCGGCTGGCGCTCATCTGTAACGCAGCACTCAGCGGCTGGGGAGGAGAGCTGAGTGTTAAGGCTGTTCGCTGTTATGTAACAATTTTGAGGTCAGGTTGTGCTGTATAAGATCCTACCTCACAAAGCCAGGAAGAAAAGGGTTGAGGAGAAGGCACGTGGGCTAAGAGAGCGTCCACATGAGGAAGGTGTTAACGTTTAATCTTCTATCATTCTGGGATGGTTACTTGCAATATTGGTTACTTTACATGTTGCTAGGACCGAGTCCCTGACAAGAGCAGCTTAGAGGAGGTTTATCCGGGTACCATCAAATGACAGGGAGTCGTGGCAGCAGAAGCTTGAGGCTGCTGGTCACACTGCATCCATAGTTAGCAAGGAGAGGAATGCCGATGTGCCCTTATCTTTTTTATTTGGTCCAGGACCCCCATCCGTGGAATGGTACTGTCTACATTGAGGGTCTTCCCACATCAGTTAACAATCTAGAAACTCCCTCAGAGACATGTCCAGAGGTTTGGTGCAGTGACTCTAAATCCCATCAAGTTACAGTCAAGATTCACTACCACACACACAGCATCCTAAACAGCAAGGGAGGCCCTGTCGACCGCTCCTGGGTGGTGGTGACTGAGATTCCACTGGAGGAAGGAGGATTGCACAGTGGATTTTCAGATTATAAGCTAGTGTTTCATTTCTTCTGGGCTCTGAGGCTAGAAGAGCCGAAGAGAACGTAAGAGATTAGCATGACTCTTAAGTATCTCCAGACAGCTTATGTTCCACCCAGACTTCCTTTAACGAAGTCTTTTCTGTCCTTTATCCTTGAGGAAGACCCTGAGGTCACAGGAAAATAACTGCCTAACTGGAATCCATCCATGTCTGTAGCCTGGCTGTCATTTGCAGAGGAGCAGTGTGAATGAAGTTTCTACACCGCCACAGCTGTGTGCAGTTACAAAGAGAGGCTTCTCCCTATGGGAGGGACGAGGAAAAGCTTGAGAAAAGTGGTCAGAGGAAAGGCAGTTCAGAAATAGATCCTTTGATTGTCCTTGCTCTGCTAGCCATTTCGGGGCCACTCTGCTAATCCAAGGCTTCTGAGAGTGGTGGTAGCCCACCAGACTCACCTCTGCAGTAAGAAAGAAGTATTAAATGAGCTTCATCAAGGTACATGCAGCTGCATCTGGGGAGTGGAGTTGCCGAGTCACTTTGTAATAGGATTCTTACTTTCCTTTGAGCATTTATAGACCCTTTGCGCCAGAAGGGGTAAGCAGATGGATAAATAAGTAGGAAGTCTTACAAGTATTTGGAGGGGCTGTGTATCTCAAAATAGACTGAATTTTAGTTGAAACCCTTTTGTCTTAATCAAGATTCTCAGAGAATGTAAGCTCGTTGTACCCAAAGAGAAACCAGAACTCATTCCTAGATGTTCTTTCCAGAAATTGTGGAGACGGCTAGGATCAGGTTCACAGAGAACCAGATACAAAGGTAGAAGGTATGCTCCAGGATCAACTCCAGGAAGCTCACTGTCTGTAGTCAGCATCAGCAGGTTTTACTCATGGCCTCTGAATTATTGTCCATTATTTCCCTGTTGAATTGATGCAGAACCAACTGCCCTTCTGATACTGCTAAACGCCTTCCTTATGGTATCTTTCTAAAATAGTAAGCTAGAATAATGTTTCTATAAGCCAGAACTTTGTCACTTCCTAAATTAAAATTATTGTTGCTTTATGTGTATCTTTTCTCTTTTCCCCATATCTATTCACAGTATAAAAGCATCCATTGCCTTTGTGTTTACAAGCTCCTGTGTGATCTACATCTTTTTGCACTACTCCCAAGAAAGAGAGGAAGACTAGTGGGAGGGGAAAACTCATGTATAGCTAGAACTGGTTAGATGGACAAATACGTATTTTATTGTTTTCCTTCAAAAATGAAAAAAAGTCAAAACAAAAGCACAAACCTCAAGTAGAAACAAAAGAACATTTCTTATTTAATGGTTGGACTTTGTTTTTGTTCCCCCAGACTTAAAAGGACAACAGATATGATGTTTGGTGGGAAGCAAGTGGTAGTCTGTGGCTATGGAGAGGTAAAGTTCACCCTTTTACTTGTTGGGTATTTAAAATGTATTTTGATGAAATATTCTAGAATTTTGCATACAGTCATAAGTATAGTCATACCATTTTAGATGGGAAAACATGACTTAGAAGTCCCTAGTTAAGTACCTTGCTTTTCCCTTTGTATTTTTTCTCGAGTTGATTTTTTTACTTGTTCTAGCACCACGGTTTGTGATGTTCTTTTAGCTTGTGTTTTGATTATAAATCGTGAATGTGGGTGTTCTCATGCATATGAATGTGCTAAGCAGGGGCCAGGGGTTGGTTTATGAACTACATTTATTTGTTTTTCTTGATTTCCCCCAAGCACGAATCTATTTAGCAAAATTACTTGGAGGGGAGGAAAGGAGGGTACTCTTCCTTTGCCAGAAGCTTTGAGAAGTGTGTTCTCTCTGACTTTATTGTGTGTGTTCTTTCCCTGTTCAGGTGGGAAAGGGGTGCTGTGCTGCTCTGAAAGCCATGGGTTCCATTGTGTATGTAACTGAGATCGACCCCATCTGTGCCCTGCAAGCCTGGTGAGTGTGCAAAAGGATGCCTGCTCCTCCTTTGCATTGCTCTCTAACATGCCGCATGCTAGACCCGATCCAGGGGCCTGCCAAGAGAACCTAAGCTTCTGTCTTGCAAAGGTCAAGGAGTTCTGCTCCGAGAGAAGTGAAGGTTTAGAACTCCTGTGGAAACAGTAACGGGATGCTTAGGTTTAATGAACAGATATCCCATTAATGTCTCTCTCCATATGTAATCCCTGCCCCTTTGAAAATAATGACGGAAAAAGAAAAGGCTGGCCAGGTGTGGTGAACCATGCCTCTAACCCCAGCACTGGGGAGACAGGGCGCTAGGCCAGGGACTTACTCTGCAATCCCAATGACCTAATTCAGTCTCCAACTTCACAGAGTTGTCCTCTGACCTCCCTACAGGTATACTTTGGCCTGTGTGCATGCTCACACATACATCATGCTTGCATATATACATACATACCCCACACATACAACAGTATTTTTTTTTTAAGGTTCAGGCATATAATCTTAACATTCCAGAAGCTGAGGCAAATAGATTGTGAGTTCCAGGCCAGCTTTGGTTATAGAGTAAGACCTTGTCTCACCAGCCTGGGCTACAGACTGAGACCCTGCTGGGAGGAGAGAGAGAAGGGAGGAGAGATTGGGTGTAGCTTAATGGTAGAGCATGTGCTTAGGTTGGACTTGGGTTCAGTCTTCGGCAGGAAAGAAGAGAGGGGAGGGAAATGCAATAGGCTGTGTCAGAGACCTTCTGATATAACACACTGAAAAGACTTCTGTGGTAACCCTCCCAAAAATGTACTGTGAATCTAACGATGAGAAAATATCAGACAAATCCAAACTAAGGGTGAAATCTGCTAACTCTGTGTGAAGAATATGTGGGCAATTGTTTGTAGTATTCTTACACTTCTTAAGGTTCAAATCTAAATTTAAATTTTTTTTAAAGTTCCTTTTTCCTCTCTGAAATGTGGATCCTAGCAGGGCAAACCTTTAATCCCAGCATTTGGGAGGCAGAGACAAGAAGATCTCTGATTTCAAGACCAGCCTGGTCTACAAACTGAGTTCCAGGCCAGCCAGGGCTACATAGTCAAACCCTGTCTAAAAAATAATAATAATCAAATAAATAAAATAAAATATAGATAATCATCCTTACCTCAAAGTATTGTGAGAATTAAGTCAAATAATTATTATATACTATAATAAATAAGTAATATGTAACAGGGCTCAGAGCTGCTGTCACAAAATGGAGCCTCACTAAGTGGTAACTGTTACTGAAATTATCTCCATCTTCCACGGGATGAGAAATGCCATGGTCACTGAAAGGTACTGCAAAGCCCAGTTTATGTAGTGTGTATCTATAGTTTATAATCTCTGTGCAGTGTTCACCACTAAACCTCTGGAAGAAGGCCTCTAAGATAGAAGAAAGCCATTTCCCTCTTTCTGCTGCTCACAGAGCCCAGCCATATGCTGCCAAAGCAGAGTTCTGCAACAAACAGAGTCACTGGCTTTCTGTCAGCTTCAGAACACAGGGACCATCACCTTCCTAGTACTCTGTTCCCTATAGAAACCCAAACAGGACATTGGTGACAGCACGGTTCAGATGATCTCAGAGCCACAAGCCCCTAACTTACTGTGTTGTGTGTGTTGTGCCAAGCTGTGTGCCTCGGTGATTGAGGTGAACAGACGGAGGGGCAGGCTGCTTTTGAGCACAGATCCCCACTGTGCTGTGCCGTAAGCACTGTAAACAGCGTGCAGTGCTGTAAAAGCACAGGCAGAAGGGTCTTAACTGAAGACAGGCAGTGTAGACAGAAATGTCAGCAGAGCTGCATCAGAACTGATGCAGCATGTGTCCTGTACAAGCAGCAGGTGCATAGCCTCCAAACAAAGGCTAGCATAGCACAGTTAAGGAGCCCACAGATAGGATCAGTTGGGGGAGTAGTGGTATCAAAGGTAAGAAGAATGACATGGCAGTGTGTATAAGAATTGAGGGCTTATCCTGAAGTGTGTAAGTGATATGTTCCAAGTTGCACTTAGGGAAAGCACGCTGCAAAATGATTTGGGGATGTAACCTAGAGACCGTGAGACCTGAACCAAGCATCACTGGCCTGAACTTAGGAATGCCAGCATGTATGGATAAAAGGAGGCAGACCTAGGTACAGTGGACACATAGCTATAAGCCCAGCACCTCAAGAGAACTGCCTCAATTTTAAGGCTACAAAGGCTATAACCTATTCTACAAAGTTCAGACCCAAAAAGGTTGTGTGGGGCCATAAAGTCAAGAGACTTTAATGGAATTAAGAAAGAGGATAAAAAAAGTTATTGGTGTGAGTTCAAGGCCAGCCTGGTCTACAAGTCTACAGAGCGAGATCCAGGAAAGGCACAAACCTACACAGAGAAAGCCTGTCTCGAAAAACAAAAAAAAACAAAACAAAACAAAAAAAAAAGATATTGGTTACAAATTCTTTCTCTCTTTTTTTCTTTTCTTTTTTTTTTTAAGATTTGTTTATTCATTATGTATATAGTATTCTGCCTGCATGTTTGCCTGCAGGCCAGAAGAGGGCACCAGGTCTCATTCTGGGTGGTTGTGAGCCACCATGTGGTTGCTGGGAACCAAACTCCGGTCCTCTGGAAGAGCAGCTGTTGCTCTTAACCTCTGATCCATCTCTCTAGCCCCATTGGTTGCAACTTGAACTGGGAAGAAACGTTTAGTTTCTCTGGCTTATACAGTTGGTTAACAGTAATGCTGCTGCTCAGGGTAGAGAATATAGAAGAGAAACAGATGAGCGTGTGGGGACAAAGTAAGTTTGGAAGCCCTCTGAGGAGTCCTTGAGGAGATGTCTGGGGGAGTATCCTTGGTTATGAAGCACCCCAGAGACGCAAGTTAAAAAAAAATGCAGCTGGAGATGTAGATCGATGGTAGATCTCTGCCCTGTTTGCCCGATGCCTGGGTTCTAATCCCAACTGGGGGGCAAAAGAGGAATGTGCCAGTCAGTCAGTCATCTGTAGGTGATGACTGAGCCAAAGGCAGGGTAAAGATGAGTACTGAAAGAACAGAAGAGCCCAGTGAAGAACCCCACCAAGGGCCACTATTTAAATATGGGGAAAGGCTGAGAATGTAGCCAAATGGGGTACAATTGCCTCACGTGAACAATGTCCTGGATTCAATCTCCAGCACCACAAAGAGGGGGCTAGGTCTTAAGAAGGTAAATTGTGTTTAATGTGGCAGAGAAATCAAGTACTATAAGACACTCAGAAAATATTGGCTTTTTTATTTCAGAAAATAATTGATGATCTTGGGAGAACAGGTTCAGTGAGAATAGATTCAGTGACCAAGTGTAATTTTCTAGAAATCTGGTTTGGGATTCTCACGGCAGCCCTTGCTTGGCTCTCTATTATTAGGAAGAACTAGTTCCTATGATGCAAAGGGAGCTTTTGCATTTCTCCTATGTAAACACAGGAAATGATCTGGACTTTTGACTGAAAAGTAGTCCAGGCCAGATGTGGTGGCACACGCCTGTAATCCCAGCACTTGGGAGGAAGAGGCTAGAGGATCCTGAGTTTGAGGCCAACCTGGGCTACACAGTGACACTGTCTTCAAAACCAAACAAAATGAACATCCTGGCCGCATTCCAGCTATCCAAGAAGTGACACTGTCACTACCTAAAGAACTTGGTGCTAGCTTGTAAGGAAAGACTCCCCATCGGCCGGCTAGTGTAATTGATCCTGCTTTATTTCTACAGTATGGATGGATTCCGACTAGTGAAACTGAATGAAGTCATCCGACAAGTGGACATTGTTATCACCTGTACAGGTATGGCTGTGACATGTATTCAGGGCTAAGTGAACATTGTTATCACTTGTACAGGTATGGTTGTGATGTGTATTCAGGGCTAAGTGGACATTGTTATCACTTGTACAGGTATGGTTGTGATGTGTATTCAGGGCTAAGTGGACATTGTTATCACTTGTACAGGTATGGTTGTGATGTGTATCCAGGGCTAAGTGGACATTGTTATCACCTGTACAGGTATGGTTGCAATGTGTATTCAGGGCTAAGTGGACATTGTTATCACCTGTACAGGTATGGTTGTGATAGGTATCCAGGGGTCGGGGGGAGATTTGGGAATGCTTTCATGGAGCAAGTGCAAGGTGATTGAAGATATTCTGGATAAATCCAAATTATTAAAGCCAGAAATAGGGGTTGAGAGGTAGGGTGACTCACTTGGTAAAATACTTGCCTTCATAAACATGAGGACCTGGATTTGATCCCAGGAGCACATGTAAAAAAGTCAGGTACAGGTGGTGGGAGAGTTGGCTCAGTGGTTAAGAACACTTGTAGCCAGGCAGTGGTGGCACATGCCTTTCAGATCTCTTGAGTTTGAGGCCAGCCTGGTCTACAGAGTGAGTTCCAGAACAGCCAGGGCTACACAGAGAAACTCTGTCTCGAAAAACAACAACAACAAAGAACAGTTGTTGCTCTTGAAGAAGACCTAGGTTCAACTCCCAATACCCACATGGTAGCAACCATCTATAACTCCAGTTCCAGGAGATCTGGCACCCTCTTCTAACCATGGGCACCAGACGTATATATAGTACACATGCATTCATCTAGACAAAACATTCATACACATAAAATAAATCATCTTTTTTAAAAAGCTAGGCATGGTGTCGTGCACTTATAATTTCAGCACTGTGGAGTCAGACAGGAAGATATACACACATGCCAGAGATAGTAACCAAAAAAAGGGTCTTTCTCTCTCCCATTTTTTTTTCCTACCTGTTTAGAGCTCTGGCCAAGCATAGACCTTTAGGTCATCCCTACAGGAGAGTTTCTCTCCATCCTTTATTGCCGCTATGTCTCTGCCTATCCTTAACCTCTTGGGACATAGCTAGAAATTGAAAACTATGTGCCAATGATTATTACCAGGATGTAAGCATGTTCAATATGTACTGTACCATTCTCAGCCCTGCCATCTTTTATTTCACCCTAAAAGCAAATACTCGCCCACTAATCCTAGCACTCAGGATGTAGAGGCAAGGACCTCTGTGAACCTGAGGCCAGCCTGTCCACATAGTGAGTTCCAGGACAGCCAGAGCTACATAGTGAGATCCTGTCTCAAAAAACAAATGAACAAAAAAAATATGCTTCTATATAGTCCCTATAAATTATGACAGGGAAAGAGAAAAATTCATAGTTAGAAAAAGTGAAAGTGGTTATGTTAATTATAAAACAGGTAAACTTTTTTATAAAATTTATTTTTATTTTATGTGCATTGGTGTTTTTCCTGCAGATATGTCTGTTTGAGAGTGTCAGGTCCCTTGGAGCTGGATTTAAAGATAGCTGTGAGCCTCTATGTGAGTGTTGGGAATTGAACCCAGGCCCTCATGGAAGAGCATTCAGTGCTCTTAACCACTGAGCCATCTCTCCAGTCCCAAACAGGTAGATTTTTAATTTTAGGGAGGAATGTCAAAAATGGCTAGTTTCCTTGAGAAACTTATTATAATCGTATGCTAGAGCCATAAATCATAGGAATACTGGTTTTCTTATATAATTCTCTTAGACAAAGGAAATAAAATGTGTTTATAGCCTCTGCAAGAACTGAGGACAGGACAAAGACCATGAGGAGCTGCTCTTACTTCATTCATCAGACCCATGGGTCCTCTCCTCCCCTATAAAAGGGATAGAATGAACTTATTTTTAATAGCTTAGTTGGGATATGAGTCCCATATCATGTGTTTCACCCATATGTATTCAGTGTTGTCTGTAGGTATAGCTCAGAGGGCCTAGGGTTGATCCCCAGCACCAAAATTCACAGGCTTGTATAACTGTTAGGACTTTCTATTCAGATAGAATTCATATAGCCCATTGTTCACCTTTGAAAAGCGTACAGTGTGGTGGTTTTTACTGAAGCTGTAGAACATCCCATTATCCAATTCTAGAACATTTTCATCATACCCACAAGAAGTCCTCTGTCATAAATGTTCACTCTTTATTCCATCCTTCACACTCCTGTAACCCTAAGCAACCACTGATCTTTCTGTCTGTGCATATTTGCTTTTTCTGGACATTCTATGTAAAATGTAGTCATACAATATGTAGTCTTTTATGACTAGCTTCTCAGCACGATGCTTCCAAGTTCCATCCATATAATAACATGTATTAATATTTCATCTCTTTGTTTCTGAATACTATTCCTTTGTGTGGCTATACCATAGTTTATCTATTCTGAAGAATATAGATGGATATTTGGGTTGGTTTCACTTGGGGTCATTATGAATGATGTCACTACAAACATTGAATCTAAGACTTTGTGTGAATGCATTTTCAATTCTCTTATTTGTGTAAACAGCAATAAAATCACTGTATCATAGTAATTCTATTTTTAAGGTTTTAAGGAATTATCAAACTATTTTTCAAAGTGATGGTACTATTGTATAGTTGTACCAACAGTGTTTCTCTACATCCTCAACAACAATTTTTTTTTCAGAACTAAGGATCGAACCCAGGGCCTTGCACTTGCTAGGCAAGCACTCTACCACTGAGCTAAATCCCCAACCCCTCTCAACAACAATTTTATTACTGTGTATTTTATTGTCATCCCAGTGAACATAAAGTAATATATGGTTTTGATGGCTAGTGATGTTCTCCATTCTTTCGGCCATGCCTATCTCTGAAGAAACATCTTTTCAAGTCCTTTATTCATTTTTAAATTAGATTATTTGTCTTTATTACTGAGTTGTAAGACTCCCAAATACATTTTGGATAGAAATCCCATTTTGGTGTTTGATTTACAAAGATTTTGTTTGTTGTCTTTTAAACACTTAGTGGGGTCATTTATAAGACAAGGATGTGTATGTGTATTGATGTAGTCTAGTCTCTATTTTATTCTATTGCTTCTTTTTAAAGTGCTATATGGGAATAGACTGTTGCTCAACCTGAGGTCACAAGGATTCACTTTATGTTCCTCTAAAATTTATTTAAACAACTAAGAATTTTATAGTTTTTGCTCTTAAGAATATGATCTATGAGCCTGGTGATGATGGCACACACCTTTAAACCCAGCACTCAAGAGGCAGAGACAGGCTGATCTCTTTGAGCTCAAGGCCAGCCTGGTCTACAGAGTGAGTTCCAGGACAGCCAGAGCTGCACAGAGAAACCCTGTCTTGAAAAAAAAAAAATCTATGTAGAGTTGATTTTTATATATTTCATTATATATATTGTGTGTGTATACACATACATATGTTGATTTTGTGTGTGTGTGTGTGTGTGTGTGTGTTTGTATTATATGAGGTAGGAGTCTAACTTGATTCCTTTTCATGTGGACATCTCTTCTGTTTTTAAGGTAACAAGAATGTGGTAACCAGAGAGCACTTGGACCGTATGAAGAACAGCTGCATTGTTTGTAACATGGGACATTCCAACACTGAGATTGATGTGGTAAGGTCATTACTGATTATTACTGGGACCTTTTTATTTTTCATTCATTCTCTCCTTCTCAGTGACAAAGTGGAAGAAGAAAAAGCAGGTCATCAGCTACCCTAAACGTGGCCACCCTAGTAGAACAGGCCGTGTCCCTTCACTTACCTGCCCTATGGCCTGTGCTTATGGGGCAAAATAAAGCTTTTCATCTCAGTCATTTCGTATGACTTCTCCTTCCACCCAGGCTTGATTACCTACTCAGACTGTGAAACATTTTCTTCCCATGTTGAGAATTGGGAGCTGCATAAACTCACTGTGAGTCAGAATGGTACTTAGTATTTTGAGGATGTTTAGCTTTACATAGAGATGAGGTAAGTAGGCTAGTCCATGGAAACACTCAAAGCAGAGATCTGTGGGCTAGGACGAGGACATTGCCTTAGAGTGGCTGTGTCTACCAAACACTGTAGTTCCTTCATTCCTCTCCCTCCTCCCTGGGCTAGATCTCCCCTTAACATATTTCTTACATTTTAGTGATTGGGTCTGTAGGTATCACCTTCAATTCAGAGCCACTGTGTAATAGTAGGCATTGCTAAAACCTGGAAAGTCTATCGTTGTGTGTCTCTAATCTGATTATAGTCATCCAAACCTCTAGTAAGCTGTCTGAGTAATAGTTAGTAGAGGTGTTACTTATTTCTTTTCAAACTTACCAAAGTATCTCTCAGTCTGACTTTGACTCTGGCTTTAAGTTTTTGTGACATTTTATACACATCTGTCTTTCTGTCTGGGTAGCTAGTTCAACCATAGCATGCTTTCATCTCCACTGAGGGCTGCTGTGATTGAGCTCCAGCACTACCAGGTAAGGACCAGCTGACACTGAGAGCCTTGTTGGATAATATTTATTTTATATGGTTCCTCTTTTAACCCTATGTTCCATTCTTTTGTTATTAAAAACAGCTGGCTGGGGATGTAGCTCAGTGTTGGTGTTTGCCTCACACACATGAGGCTCCAGGTTTAACCCCTGCACCACAGCACCAGAAAGAAGGAAGGAACAGCTAGCAGGGTAACCTGCAAGCCTGTTTCCAGTCTGGGGTCCGAGTGCCGTGCTTCATTCCTCTGTCCTGTCGCTGTAGCTTGCCTGCAATTACTAGTCAGGTTGATAGTTGGTTCTTTGGCGGGAGGAGGGGCGTCTCTAAGTTTCACTTATGTGCTGTGAGTGAATGGGCACTTTTACTAAATGGTCAAAGATAGAGGAGGAAGGAGAGCCTTTTTCCCTCTAACCGCAGGAAGCTCTAACTAACTAATGCGATCGTATAACTCTCGTACTTTTGCTTTTCTCATCCCATCCCCTTGAGTCCTCTGTGAGGATTTATTCTTAACTTTCAACTGGGAAACATAGATTAAGTACACTGATAAGTCATACAGTTGATTCAAAATGAAACTTAAGTACAAAATTCAGGTATTTGAGCTGGTGTGTGTGTGTGTGGTGGCACACACCTTTAATCTCAGCACTCAGGAGGCAGAGGCAGGGGGATCTCTGTGAGTTTGAGGCTAGCCTGGTCTACAAAGAAAGTTCCCAGACAGCCAAAGCTACACAGAGAGAAACCCTGTCTTGGAAAAAAAAGAAAGAAAGAAAAAAGGCCAGATATGAGTATTTCTCAGAATAAAGATCAAAAGACCATTTACCTTCAATCAAAAATATTATTGTGTGATTGCTATATGCCAGCTGAAGTTCTAGATGCTTGGATAGTGAACATAACAAATTCCTACCCTCATAGAGCTTATGTTTAAGTGAGAAGAAAAACTAAAATATATATAAGTTTGAATTCATAGAATTCAAAGTAAAACCAGAGCAGGAAGAAGAAGTAGAACATGATAGAGGGGATGGAATGCTAGGTTGTTATTTCCAATAGTGATGTCAAACTGTGAGCCTGAGGTTGAAGGGATTAGCCATGTGGATTTTTAGGTAAAGAGCATTTTAAGCAGCAGCAGCAGCAGCTGGTACACATGTCCTGGAGCAGAAGCCAACCTGCTCTGTTTGAGGGGTAACGGGAGGCCAGTGTACTTGGCGCACAGGAAGCACAAGACAGGGAAGAAAGGAAGATGAGGCTGGAGAGGACAGGCCAGACCTCTTAGGCCTAACAGCCCACCCCCAGAACCAATTATATTCTGAGAGAAACAGGGAGCTGTTATAGGGATTCTAATCTGGCTCAGTTTTAATACGATGGCTTTTACTTTAAAAGGAATCACTCTAGATAAGGTGTTGGAACTAGGCCTGGTTCTGGCATCACTGCTAGGCAGACCCCCATATTTGCCGCATCAGGAGCCAAGAGCTGTCACTCTTTTCTTTGAATTCCTCATGGTATACGGTAGATGCTAAATTAAATTGTCCGGAAGAGACGTTGCTCAGAGGGCTTTTGAAAGTTAAATATTAGTGTTTGATGGTAGTGTCACAGAACATGTAAAAACAAAACTTAAAGTAAAAGAAAACTCATGACTGTAATCCCAGCACTTCAGAAAGTTAAGACAGAATTGTTGTGACTTCAGTACCAACCAGAGCTATATAATAAGATCCTATCTCAAAAAAAAAAAAGGAAAGGAAAGAAAAGAAACAAACTCAGTCAATACTTAGAACCAGAATGCTCATTCATTATTTAGCAAGTATATACTGAATACTTGGCCTACCGACTTTTAATTGGATGAAGAAAAAGCATTGAATAACATCTCACCTCTCATGGAGTTTATATTCTTGTGTGGAAGATGGAATAATAAATAAGTCAACATTTATTGTCTGTGTTATATTGAATGAAAAAAAGCAAGATGAGGGTGTTGAGAACAGCCTTTTAATTGAAATGGTCAAAGAGGTATTTTTGTGGATATAATATTGGCGGGGAGCTAAATGAAAGAAAAAGCAAGATCTCTGAGTACTGTATGTGCACAGAGGACGGTCAAGCAGGGATGTGCTCGGTGCAGAGCACTTGGCAGGAGTGAATGCACAGGGCCTGGGCGCAGTCCCCCATTGCAAAGAGGAAAAACAAAACAGAAACGAAACGGTGAGTAAAAGCCCAGGAGGCTGTGGTGGGGCCGACAGCAGGTACAGGCGCCTGCAGCCAAGCCTGCAGACCTGCGTGGAATCCTGGGAACCCACGTGATGGTAAAGAGCCAGTTCCTGTACCAGTCCTCTGACCTCCAGACACACCCCATGCAGGTGCCAGCATACACACAAAGATAAATAAGCAGATCAATAAGTACGTATTTTTATAAAGCCTGGTGACAGTACCAGAATGTACCAGAAAGAGAGTGAGGCTAGAGGAGGCAGCTCAGCAGGTAATGAGTAAGGTGGAGCTTTATGGGTTCTAATAACTAGATAATTATCTAAATAGAAAAGAGGCTCCTGGTCAGTTTTGAACAAATGAGTAACAAAATGTATATGACACACATATACATTTCTTTAACTATCAGCCTGGCTTTTGTATAAAGAAAACCCTTCTGGAGCTCTAGTGGGTGTAAGGACAGCAGGAGGCTCCTCAAGGTGGTGAAGGTGGCGGCTTGGGTACAGCGCACGAGTAAGCAGTAGAGGTGATGAGACTCAATGATGGAACCGATGGGGTTTGCTGAGAGAAAGAAAGGAGATTCTCCACAAATCAACTTAGTGTCACTATGTAGAATTATTTGGTAACTCTTCATCCAGATAATGAACTTTTGTAACCAAAACTTAGAGAAGAAATTCTCTATAAATCAAATTATTGTTACGATGTAATAGTTATCCAGCTGGATTTTGTTGTCATATTGTTTTGTTTTTGAGACAGCTTCTCACTCTGTAGGAAACTCAGAGATCCACCTGATGGCTGGCTAGATAGCTTTGTGATCAAAATTTAGAGTAATTCCTAGTACTTGAGGATTGAGGAAGGAGGAGGAGGTCGAAGCCTGCTTGGGCTACATAGAGAGCTCCAGGTTCTCATGGCCTGTGTGTGTAGTAAGATCCTCCAAACATCTCCCCTCTCCCAAAAACTACTTAGGTTTTTCTTTTCCTCTTTTGGGTAGGAATTTTGGTTTTGCCTAACTCTGAGCTATTGCTTGCTGTATATTTTAGGAAAGAATAGTTCATGAAAAGACGTTAGCCATTCAAGAAGCTGCACTTTTCTTCCTGAAAAATAGGAATTCTATGAATCCCAGAGAACCTGCTATAGGCTCCTTACTGACCAGCTCTCTTTCACACATTTCCTGTCTCACATGGAAGGCCTGTGCGATTGCCACTTCGCAGTTCAAGTGATAAACCATTATGTACACATGCTGTCAAAGCTTTTTCCAACTAAAGAATTGTTTTACCTAAGCCTTGCTGTTGATTCTGCTTTGAAGAACTGGAACCACAGCTGTGTTCCCTGGGTGGGAGGGAGTGCTATGCACTTTTCAAAATCATGTAAGCTCAGTGTGTGCAGGCATGATACACTTACAGGGGCATGTGCCCGCAGTCGGAGATGGTACCTGCATGAGCACTCCTTTCCTGGTAGAGTGATAAGTGAGTGTAAATTCACAGCAAAGCCAGTTTGGTGCCCCTGTCCCTTTGGAGTGGTGGTGCCAGAGATTGAAACCAATAGCATATGTTTCACCACTGACCTCCTCTCCCAGCCCCAGCTGGTTGAATTTAAGAGCTCTTCTTGTGCCGACCATAGAGTAGAAAACACTCTCAGGGAGTGAGATGACCAAGTGGACATCTTCATAGTGAGGACATTGACCTTCCCAGGAAAGTGGTGGAGATAAGTTAACCAAGTCCCTCTTAAGCCTCCTTTAAATTGCCCATCAAGATGTTTGCCTGAATCATAGCCATTCCTGTGCTTTAATATGCTGCCCCTTCTCACCGTTGGCCACTTTCCTTGATTCTACCCGTCTTCCCAAGCAGTACTTCCCAAGATGGTAGAGTCTCAGTATCATATCGTCAGCTCTTGGCTCCCAGTCACCAAGAATGCTTTTCCTCTGGAAGATTGATGATATGAAACAATAAAATTCTGAACTACTTAATATCTCATCTCAATAAAAAATAGTTGCGTTACCAAGGAGCTGTACGTCTTGGCCATAGGTGGTTGTACCTCTATGTGATGTTTTCAAAGGCTAACAGATTTATTTTGTATATATCCTTAACTTCTTCAGTTGTCTGCTCTCTTCAATTATTTTTCATTCTGTTCACCTCATTTGCTTATAATGCTCTAATCTGTGGTGCTCGGGATCAAATCCAGTGTTTTATACATGCTGGGTAAGAATAGTACCACTAAGCTACGTATCAAACCTCTGTTGTTGTTCTTACTATTCTCTCATACAGTAAATACATCCTGTACTCCTCCCAGTTCCCCCAGCTCCCCTCTCCCCATATTATTATTACTACTCTTTCATCTTCTTTTTCTTCCTTTTCCTCTTCTTTCTTGTTTTCTTTTTTATATAGGTGTTATATAACCCCACTGGAGCTGATTTAATTAGTCACTCTTTTACTGGTTTATGTTTCCTTTCTATTATAAATAATGCTAGAATGACTATTCTTTCTTTCTTTTTTTTTTTTTTTTTTCGAGACAGGGTTCCTCTGTGTAGTTTTGTGCCTTTCCTGGATCTTGCTCTGTAGCCCAGGCTGGCCTCGAACTCACAGAGATCCGCCTGCCTCTGCCTCCCCAGTGCTGGGATTGAAGGTGTGCGCTACCACCGCCCGGCTCTTTATTTTTGCTTTTGTTTATTGAGACATAGTTTTATTATAGCCCAGGCTGGACTTGAACTTTTGATTCTCCTGCCTCCCCTTCCCAAGTGCTGGGATTAAGGGCATGCACCACTGTACCTGTCTTAGACTAAACTTTCTTAGGCACTTAAATTCTTGACTTGAATAAGTATTTGTTTTAGGAGTCTAAAAATTAAATCAGTTGATAAAAATTAGGTATCTATAGCCGGGCAGTGGTGGCGCATGCCTTTAATCCCAGCACTCAGGAGGCAGAGCCAGGCGGATCTCTCTGAGTTCAACACCAGCCTGGTCTACAGAGCGAGATCCAGGACAGGCACCAAAACTACACAGAGAAACCCTGTCTTGAAAAAAAAATAGGTTATCTATAACATTTGATAGTTACTGCCTAATTGCTCTTTAGAATGATTGAATTAATTTATGAAACTTATGTCTCAAGACTACATTTCCATAGTACCTAATAAAGAAATGATGATCCTGACAATGAATAAATACAATTCTGAATACACTAAATTATATGTCTTTTTGCACTATTAGATTGTCATTTCCTTAGCGAAAGGGACCATGATTTTCTAAACATTGAGTACCCCATTGTATATGTAGAGAGAATTTGGAGATTTAAAAATGAAAAGATAACTGTCTCTATGCAAAAATTGCTCACATTCTTCTCTGAGTATTTGTCCTTTACTACAGTGCCTAGAATTACTATGTAACTAAAAGTGTTTCTCTTTGTCTGAGGACTAATATTTGGCGAACTTTTCGGTTTCACCAGATGAATTGATGGGGTAGTTTTGGAGTATGGACCCCCTTTCTGTTTCGGCCATTGCTTGTTGAAGAAGGAAGTAGTTGTCCTAAGTCTGCACACCCTGTGACTGTCATTTGATTGCTGCTGATAATAAACTTACCATCTTTTCTTTTGTTCTCTGAATGTACAATATACAGAAGTGGAAAGAGGGTGAGCCACTGAGTGCTTGACTCTACCACTAGCTTCCTCTAAGGCTACCTCACATTCGCACTTAGGACACAGAGCTTCTGTAACTCTAGGATAAAGCAGCCTTTTGAGAAGGTGCAGCCGGGAACATGGGACATGAGGGCAGAATCTTGGTCCCCAGCATGCTCTGTTTAGGACGTTCAGTCTTCTCCAGCTAATCCCACTTGGCTCTGATCTTCTGTTTTTGTCCGTCTCTTCAGCACTTATGTGTTCAGTTTGCACCATATTAATCTGCACTTGTTTGCATGTTGCTTTGTGTTTTCTTCTCACGTATGTATTGTTTTGTGTCCCCGACTAAAATATGAGCTTTTTGAAGGCAGAAACCATGCCTTTGGTTTCTTTTGTATTTCCCATAGCACCTTTTACTGTGCTCAGCAGAGAGTGGGCGTACAGTATATGTTGTGGAATGACATCCTGAGTGATCCCTCCCTGGCTGGGCCTAAGATTAAATTCCCTGAAATGGAACAGTCCTAACCAACCCAGGACAGGTATTCTCCATCTGGCATGTTGGTTGCTTCTTTCGACTTGCTATTTGAAATGGCTCCTTCAACATCTTTCTGTCTCCAGTGTCAGGGACTTGGCGTAGCTAATGATGTTCTTACTGTATGTGTTCCAGGCCAGCCTGCGGACACCAGAACTGACCTGGGAGAGAGTAAGATCCCAAGTTGACCACGTGATATGGCCTGATGGCAAGAGGATAGTGCTGCTGGCAGAGGTGAGACTGACGCTGACAGGGAGCCACTCCCCTGACAGGAGAGACTGCCTTCCTGCTCCCCTCCCTTCGTCTTCCCTGATCCTTTCAACTCTGCCTCCGAAGCACAAGTTTAACTACTTTACCAGTGGATTTTACCTCTGATTGTGAAAGGTCTTTTCATTCAGCAATTAAGAAACTATTTTGGTTCCTCACTTTTCACCAATTACCCTGTCTCTCCATGTCACTCTCCAGGTTGAGTCAGATAATGACTATTACTGTGGAAGGAATTAGCAGCTAGAATCAGTGCCACTTTGAGTGATGCCCACAGAGAGAGAATGTCATTTGTGGGGTGGTTTAATCAGTAAGCAAAGTAGGCTGTAACTCAGACTGTCTTTGGTAAGCTTTGGGACAGTCATGTCTTTGCTGATCGTGTCTCTTTTAGTGTCTTCTGAACTGATGAACGGGGCCAGAGGTGCAGTAGGTACCCAGCTTATTCTGTTGATTGGTTGCTGGATGGACAGTTCCACATCCTGCTTCATCTAGCTCACACATATTCCTTCTTTTTACCTGTGCTAGGAATTGAACTTAAGCCTTCACACATGCACACATGCTAAGCAAGAGCTCCACCACTGAGCGATATTCCCAGTCCTTGTATGTGTGATGGGGTGGGGGTGGGTGTCATTTTCTGACCGCTTTTCCTATAGTAAAGGCTCTGCTCTCATAGCCAGTGTTCCTGGGTGCTGGGAGTGCTTCTTGTTCTTCCCAGGAAGCTTTCTCTTTTAACCAGGGATTTCTGTTTCCTTTGGTATCCTTTCTTACATTAAAGAAACTGAATATGAAAATGTAAACAATTTCATCTCCTTCTGTAGGGGGCACATAGGCCAACTTTGTATGTCCTTAGTCTTTTGACCTTTTGCCCTCACTTAGTTAACATCTTTTAGATGCTTTAGGGTGTATCTGGGAAGGCGTGTGTATGGCTAGGAAAGAGCAGGTTGTTAAGTGTTTATTAATAGCCTTGACGTCAGCCCCCTGTCTGGCAGCATTTCTAAACTGTCCTGGGAGGTCCCTCTTAGCAATTTTGGTGATACAAACCAGCACTAAAGGTGTTTTGGGCTATATAGCTGAGCAAAAACAATACTCAGGCTTCCTAGGAAACAAAGCAAGAAAGGACAGCATGGGGCAGGTGTTAGCTCTTTTTCTGTCTTTACTGTCCACTCAGAATTCAAGGCTACCTGCCTATGGGTCAGAGAATCACACTGAGAAGCACAAGAACCATCACAGCTTCCTAAATCTATAGTTGTCTCCTCCTCAGCCTGGAGACTGCTGCTGGCCTTGACTGTTTCCTTTCCTAAGACAGTCTAAGGAATGCCAACCCTCAGAAGAAGGATAGTTTGCTATAGAGAATGGGAAAGTTACAGTCCTCAGTGTCATATGACTGCCTTTATTCCTTTTTACATACTTCTGGAAATAGTTTGGGATAAACATTTATCAAATTTTTAGTGCTTTCATTTGGATATCAATTAATTCCAAAGAAGACATACAAATGACCAGTAAACAAATGGGGATATGTTCAGCATCACTAATCATCAGGAAAATAAAAAGTAAAGTCACAATGAGGTATTACCTCATTCCAGTAAGAATCACTGTTATCAAAGAGATAAAACATAACAATTTATGAAAAACAGTATGAGTGTCTCAAAAACTGAACAACAGAACTACTGTGTGTTCCAGTAATCCCATTGTTACATATCTAAAGAAAACAGAGTCTAAGGTATGTCAGATACATACACTCCTTCATTGCAGGCTGTTACATCAGCCAGGAAGTGGGACTGACTGAAGGAAATGTGGTGCATACACACAATGTATTCTGTTCTACCATAAAAATAAACTCCTGTCATCTGGTAATGTGAAGTAATGTTAAGTGAAATCAGCCAGACACAGGAAGACAAGTAATGCATAATCTCAATCATGCAGAATCTGAAAACATTGGATATGGGGCCAGAAGTGTTGGTCCATGCCTGTAATCTTAGTATTTAAGAGATGGAGGCCATGGGTAGAGGGAACGGGAAGAGAGAAGGGAGGGGAAACTGTGGTTGGTATGTAAAATTTTAATTAAATGAAATTAATTAAAATGAAAAAAATTAATTGAAAAAAGAGAGATGGAGGCACAAGAATTAGGAGTTCAAGATCAGCCTTGGATACCTAGTAACTTTTAGGTCAGCTTAGGCTTCATAATAAGACTGTCTCCAAAAGAAAAGAAAAGGTTAAATCTAGCATTATTTCTAATAGCAAATAAATATAAATCAACAAGAGAATTCCTAAGTAAATCAGAATAGCTCTATTCAGTGGATTTATGAGCCTTGTGTCCAACTTGTTCTCATTAGCCTTGTGTTCTATTCTCTTTTTTAATAATTTATTTATTTTTATTTTATGTGCATTGGTGTTTTCCCTGCATGTATGTCTGTGTGAGGTTGTCGGGTCCCCTGGAACTGGAGTTATAGAAAGTTGTGAGCTGCTATATGGGTGCTGGGAATTGAACCCGGGTCCTTCTGGAAGAGCAGTGAGTGCTCTTAACCACTGGGCCACCTCTCCAGCCCCGTGTTCTATTCTCATAGAAGTTGTGAGAAGAATAAATGTTGGTAAGCCAGGCATAGTAGCACACTTCTATTGTCCCAACATTCAGGAGGCTGAGGCAGGAGAATTGAGAGTTATAGGCCAGCCTGTGATTACGTAGTGAGTCCCTATCTCAGAATACAAAAACAATGGTTACCAGAGGCTTGGAACTATGCAGTGGTGGGGTTGAGGAGAGGTTGATCAGTGGATATTGTGTTTCAGGTAGCTAGAAGTTTAAATAATTTTGGCATACTATCACCATACTGTAACTATAGGTAACAATTATGTATTGGACATTTAAAAACACTGTAAGAGAAGATTTAAAGAAATAATGAATATTTGAGGAAATAGATAACTGTTCTCATGTATTGAAACATTACATAGTACCCTATAAGTATGTATAAATTTTTGCTTTGATATATCAGCTAAAAAATAAATTTTAGATAAAAATTTTAAGACATTTAAAATATGGTGGCTCATGCCTTTAATCTCAGCACTTGGGAGGCAGAGGCAGGCAGATCTCTGAGTTTGAGGCCAGCCTGGTCAACATAGCAAGTTGGACAGCCAAAGCTATGCAGAGACCCTGTCTCAAAAAGAAAGAAAGAAAGAATTTAGAGGATGTCAATGGATTCCTTTTTGTTGAATGCCTACTGTGTCTGACAATCTCAGGAAAGTGGAACTTGGCAGTCACTCTTCCTCCGCTCTTGAAAGGCCAGCAGCTGTCCTAATGCCCCTCCTCTGCCTTCACTTTTGATCTCTAGGGCCGGCTGCTGAACCTAAGCTGCTCCACAGTGCCTACATTTGTGCTTTCCATCACTGCTACCACTCAGGTAAGCTCTGCAGTGGGACAGTCGTGGGCTGGAGAGGGTTCTTAGACAAGCCAGCTTTCACAGCTTTGAAAGGTATGTCAGCATACATGTCTCTGCTTTTCTAGGCTCTCGCCTTGATAGAACTTTACAATGCTCCTGAGGGTCGCTATAAGCAAGATGTGTACCTGTTGCCCAAGAAAATGGGTAAGCTGCTCTTCCTTCTCCATTCTCACCAAAGTAGTTCACTGTCAGGAGCTAAAGGAAACTTGGAGGCATTAACTTCCTGGAGTAGGTGGGGGGGGAGGGAAGAAAACCTATCTTTATCTTATAAAATAGGAACTAGGATTCCAGACTCTATTTCAAGGTGATTTGTGTAATTTTCCACATAGGTTTTTCTAGGGAGATTTTATATATATATATATATATATATATATATATATATATATATATATATATATATATATATATATATATATATAATTCTTTTCTTTTTTTTTTTTTTTCGTTTTTCGAGACAGGGTTTCTCTGTGTAGCTTTGCGCCTTTCCTGGGACTCACTTGGTAGCCCAGGCTGGCCTCGAACTCACAGAGATCCACCTGGCTCTGCCTCCCGAGTGCTGGGATTAAAGGCGTGCGCCACCACCGCCCGGCCAATAATTCTTTTCTTTTTAAGGATTTATTTATTATGGGTACAGTGTTCTGCCTGCATGTATGCCTGCAGGCCAGAAGAGGGCACCAGATCTCATTATAGATGGTTGTGAGCCACCATGTGGTTGCTGGGAATTGAACTCAGGACCTCTGGAAGATCAACCCGTTCTCTTAACCACTAAGCCATCTCTCCAGCCCTCTAGAGAGGTTCTTGCATTTTGCTGTGATTCAGAATATCTGCCTGAGAATTATTTTATTATGCCTTATTGTGTTACATCACACTGTATGTTTTAAGTCAGAGTCTCAATGTAGTCAAGGCTGGCATTGAACTCACACTTGTTTCCTGTCTGGGATTACAGCATGTACCACCATGCCTGGCCTACCAATTGAATTTTAAAGATTTTCTCTTTTAAAGTATCATGTATGCAAAAATCTCAAAGAAGGAGGAAAATATTCCCCCCAAAAGAGATTATCTCTGGACTTGTGATAATCTGGCTTATTCCACTTCTAAGATGCCTCTTCTTTTAAGGGATACAGGTTTCTGTTAAGAGTTAATTATGGCTGGATGGTGGTGGTGCACACCTTTAATCCCAGCACTCAGGAGGCAGGGGCAGACAGATCTCTGTGATTTCAAGGCCAGGCTGGTCTACAAAGGGCAGTCCAGGATAGCCAGAACTGTTACACAGAGAAACTCTGTCTCAAGAAAATAAAAGAGAGAGAGAGAGAGTTAATTATGTGGGTGATTGGTATAAGAGAAACATTAAACTGTCTTAAATTTTTAAAAAGCCTGTCCCAAGCACCTAGGATGATAGAAACTCATAGAATAAGTTAGCTTCTGGCTTTGCTCCAACTACTGTTACAAGTGTCAGTATTTCCCTTTAATACAGCTTGGATGAGTCTGATATGGTGGGTTAATCCCAGCACTTGGGTGACAGAGGCAGGAGGATCTCTATGAGTTTGAGACCAGGCTGGCCTACAGAATGAGTTTCAGGACAACTGGAGCTACACAGAGAAACCCTGTCTCAAAAAGCAAAACAAAACTACCACAGTTTGGAAGGGTATGGAATGAAGAGAGCAGTTTATATTCCCTTTGGATATATAATGAAACTGGAAGTACAGTGATTCAAAAGATGTAAAATTACTAAAGCAAAGCACACCGTTCTAGGTTGTTGTTTTTAAATTATTTTCCCATGGTTGTTAATTTTTCTAGAATGTATAGTATAGTATCTCTAGTATTTTCATAGTATAGTATAGACATTAAGGCAAAACTAAAGGTAAAGCTCCCCGTTTTTAAGACCTATGCTATCCCATTATTTCTCTCCTTTCTTTTCTGAGGAAAAAGCTTCAGGGTAGAAAGAGGTACTGGAAGAAATATTTGGCTTTTAAAATCACTGGACTTGAAGCTGAAGATAGTCACTCCTTAGATTTGAGGACCTATGAGCAAAAGTCAAGCATTTGTCAATCATCTCCAGGAACTGGAACTTGTCTTCCAACTTTTTAAGGCCTCACTTGAGCACAGCAGACAGGAGACATGAATGCTTATCCCATGACTTCTATGGTCTTTCCAGATGAGTACGTGGCAAGCCTCCACCTGCCCACCTTTGATGCCCACCTGACAGAACTGACAGATGAGCAGGCCAAGTATCTGGGACTCAACAAGAATGGGCCCTTCAAACCTAATTACTACAGGTGCCTCGGGCTCCCCAGGAATCAGAAGGCTGGGTAGTGAAGAGCTTCCTGCGGTGCAGCTGGTCCTTGCCTCTCTACCACATACCTTTGTATGAACTCAGAGAAATAACACATTTCCTCCAGGTCTCCTACCTCTAAATACTCTGAGATCTTCTTTAAATATTGCCATTGTCCTTGCCCCCCATACACACCAGCCTTTTAGACTCACATTTTTATTCATGTATTTTGTGGGTGTGTGTGCGTGTGTATGACGTGTCGCACACGTGGGGGTCGGAGGATAGCCCAGGGGAGTGAGTTCTCCTTCTCCCATGTGGGTCCTGGGGAGATGGTGAGGCTCGGTAGGTAGCAGGTGCTTCTATCCACTGAGCCTTTTTCCCTGATAGGAAGAGAGCCACAGACATCTATCCTCACCATATACACTAGAAAAGCCCTTGTCTCCTGTTACACAGGCGCCTCATGTTCCAGCCCCACCAGCAGATAGCATCAGTTTCAACTTTCTTTTTCCCTCCAGGTATTAAGTTCCTGTAATGCAAGCCAGAAGACGTTTAAGGAAGAGAACCAAGCCTTTATCCAAGGAAGACCCCAGCAAGCTGCTTCTCCAGTCAGAGCTGCCCGCCGTGCTCATCCTATGTGTTAGGTTATTTATTTATTAAAATCTAGAATCCTGTGCCTGTAGCCTTGGCCCAGAGTGTGGTTACTACTCCTGGGGCCTGAGAGCCGCAGAGGACAGGCTGAGGAAGGAAAGAAATGGGCGACCATTCCTAGTGATCATTCGCATCATTGCCCATTGATGGACTCCTCAGTGATGGCCATTTTTCTTCCCAGGCTCAGGAGTTAGTTCAGGGATGCCAGACTCCTTGTTACTTAGGGTTTTCTGGAATAAATTTTCAGCAGCTGCCTTTCTCCAAGCTTTGGTCCTTTCCCAGATGAGGCCTTTTGGAAGCCACTGAATTACCAGGGCCTGAATTCTCAGTCTTGATAGTTACTATCACTGCCTTCTTTATAAAAAGGCTAGTGAGGTAGGAGTGTTAAGGTCTTGTAAGCTACACCAAGAACTCAGCTGTGCCTGTGTCTGTGCCTACTGGGATCTCTTTTCTTACCCAGAACTCCTTTCTGTTCCTTGAATATTATATCCATTTTAATGCTTCCTGGTTCTAAAAGGGTGTGCCTCCATGATCTTAATACCTCTGCTGCTGGCCAGGCATTTGTTTTGCTTTCTAACCCCACCAAACTCTGCTCAGGAAGTAGGGGACCAGCTCCACAGGGACCCATAGTTTTGCTTCCTTGTCACTTAACTGGACCGTTTCCCAGGAAGCCCCCTCTAAACTGGCACTGTCTCAGAAAAGGAGGGCTTTATGTGGATAGTGCTTCCTGAAACTTCTGTTACTGCCTGAAACGACTTCTGGAACTGAGTTGGCAAAGGTGTTTGCTAGAGATTTGAAAGCTTGAGCCTTTGGAATGGGATCCAGCTTGGCATCCTAAAGAAGCCAGTCTGTTTGTTTTCCAGGAGAGACTTCACAGCCTGACTGCAGAAGATGGGTGACTCTGTCATCTGTATCCAGAGGATGGAAACTAGTTTGAGGGCTGGGGGATAGCTCAGTGGTGAAGCACATGGCTGGTGTGCACAGGCCCTAGGCTCAGTCACTGGGTACTAGGGAAGCGGGTGGGGAACTGCTTTGAACCTCATCAGACAGTCATCCCTTTGGCTGCTGCCATTGGTGAGATCTGTAATTTGATATCTCATCTCTCTTTGCTGCTGCTGTATCTTTATGATCTGGCCCCTTCTGTTTAAGGATTCTGTTTCAGAGAGTTTCTTAAGTAGCTCCAGCGTTAGCATAGCTGGTAAATGGTGTGAAATTTCTCAGTCCACTCAAGCTTTAGATTTCCTTTGGAGACGGACTGACTGGTTTCAGGGTTTCCGTTGGGATCAGTTGGTTTCAAAAATTAAAACCTGGAGTGACCCTAGGAATCTTGAGTTAAATGAGTTCCTCTCCTGGCCCATCCTATTTAAAAGTCTCATGCTTGTTTCCCATGTATTTCTTATGTTGTTCTGCTTCAGAGTCTCAAGACCAAGGTCATTCAGACAGAAGACACACAGAATCACTAAAACCTTTATCTAGATCTTCTCCCCTGCCCTACCATCTCCATCATCCCTTGGTCTTTGTGTGTGCCCTGGAAGCTAGTCTGGAAGTGTCCTTATTTTTGAAGATAGGGAAACAGAACTGGTGTAGGTGGCTGTTTGCCTTATTAGGTGGTATACAGGCTCAGCCCAGAAGATGGATTCTTTACAGGGTATCATCTGTCTCTACTCTTTTATAAGGAAGACCGTAGAGGCTGCAGATGCCACAAAGATACTCAATTCTGTTTGCCTCATTCTGATTTTTGTGTTAATAGCTAATTGTATCACTCTCCCACCTTTATTTTGTTTTTGTTGTTGGGTTTTGTTGTTGTTCTGAAATAGTCTCACTCTATAACCTTGACTGGCCTCAAACTCATGGCAGTCCTCCTGCCTCCGCCTCTTGAGGCATATGCTACCATGCCTGGCTGGCTCTTCATTGGCTCTCTTTAGCAAAAGATTCAGCTATCTGCCTCATCTTATGTCCCGGGCAGATTCTGTTAGGCAGGTATCTGGGCCCCAAATCATAACCTGCTGATTTCCAGCAAAGCCTTGCTCTCTACAGAGCTTCCTATAGCTGGTACTTACGGAGTACAGTGTGTCAAAACCAGTGAAGAGATCCATTGGAAATAGAAAGGGAGCCACATGGGTTTCTAAGTTAGGTTGCACTGTGTCTGCCCATGGTGAGGTATTTGACTATGAGTTGCAGATGACATCTATTCTCTTCTCTTCAGAAACTGCTGCGTCATCAACCATTAAGAAAGCAACCAGAAGTAGGGATGTAAGTCAGTGATAGGACACTTGATTAGCATGTGCCCAGCCCTGGGTTGAGTCCCCAGTTCAGGGGGCTTATGGGGAATGTGGAAGGAAGAGAGAAGGTAGTCCAGGACTCCTGTCTAGCTTCTGTCCTGTTAGAGCCAAATCATTGTTTCCTCTAACCTTGGAATCAGAGCAAATCTCTTCTTACTCCATCTCCTCCTCTTAGATGCATCCTAGCTACTAGGAGGCAAGGAAAAGAACACTGACTGTCCCTAGGTATGTGGCCTGGCGGTGGGGATACATACCATTTATCTACAATGAAATGTGTGCTACTTCAAGATCTTCTTGCTTTCTTGGTGGAAATATTTTTTTCCTTTTTCTTGTTAAACAAAATGCCTCCAGTCGGCCTCCCCTCTGCCCCTCCCTCCTCACACTCCCCTCCCATGAGAGCACGGCTCCCCATGGCCACACACTCCTGCAAAGCTTTTCTGCTGCTTGGCTTTTCTCTGAACAGATCTGAAATTGCTGCTCCTGTGGTTTCCTCAGAATTCACTGTCACGGTTTAAAAAATCAGAATGCACTGTTGCATTAAGCTTTTTTAATAAGAGAAAATTATGGAAAGAAAATAGGTAACACCAGCAAATTATATATTGACAAGTCTAAACTATATATATATACATATCTATATAAATAATCATCTAGTTCTTACTGTCATCTTACTGAAAGGAACGAGACCTCTAAGGATCATTAGTTCTGAGAAGCTCTTGGAAATCTTTATGTCTAAGTGATTGTATTAGATCAGCAATAATGACTATGTAATCTCAAAAAATAAATAAAATATTCTTAAAACTGGTCTGTGCCTTGAGAATACCACTTGCTTCTGTGAGCTAGGAATTCAGAAATGAGAGGTGTCTGGGCAACAGACGAACAAGGTTACCTGCGGCTATAGGACGAAGATGGGAAACACTGCTGCCGGAACCACCGGACATGTTTGAATGACCATTGCCCTGAGAGTCTTGTTTTACACTGAGACCCTGATAACAAATGCCTTGTCCCTCCCCACCACCCCACCTTGACACACACCTGCCTGTGTATGAGAAGCACACCTTTTCAGAACCACCGCCTTGAGATGAGGACTGTGAGGTTAATTAAGATTTTAAAAAAATAAATAAAAAACCAAGGGCTGGAAAGATGGCTCAGTGCTTAAGAGCATTGGCTGCTCTTCCAAAGGACCTGGGTTCAATTCCCAGCACCCACATGGCAGCTCACAACTGTCTGTAACTCCAGTTCTAGAAGATCTTTACTAGGCACACACATACATGGTCCACAGACATACAGGCAAGCAAAACACACACATTTTAAAAAAGAAAAAAAATTAAAAAAAACAAACCAAATTAAACCAAAGCATGGATCTAGGTCACCAATACCACTGTGCTGCCCTTCTGTTGGGACCAAAAGATCTAAACACCTAGAATCTGAATGAATCCAGCCAAAGGGGGGTGGGGGATTGAGGGGTTCAATACCCAGCACCCATATGTTGGCTCACAAGAATCTGTAACTCCTGTTCCTGTGGATCCAACACCCTCTGCTGGCACTGTATGCACACGGTACACAGACATTTGCAGGTGATATAGGCATAAAAGAAAAACAATACTGGTTACTTCATAACCTCCAGTTCTGGGTCCCAGACCAGGTCCCTGGAGCCTCTCATGTTACATGCCACATTATCCTGTCTACCAGGTAGCCCCCAGAAACGAGGGAATTGAAGACTTCCTGCATTTTATTTTTAAGCTATCTTAGTGCCAGGTACTATCTATTTAATGAAGTATTTTACTTTTGTGAATTAGAGGGCTTAAATGGAGAAAGGAGTTTGTTTTATCTCTATTCCTGTTTGTACCATCAACCCTCTGTCAGAAGCCTGAGTTTGGAAATAAAGCTTTGGGACAAGGGAACTTGGTAGTATAGTATGGGGGAGGGGGGGTTGTATCTGTGTGTGGGTATGTGATTGTGAGTGCTAGTGCCCGTGAAAGCCAGTTATATACAGGTGGTCGTGAGCCACCTGGTGTGGGTGCTGGAAACTGAATTCAGGTTCTCTGGAAGAGCAGTGAGCCATCTCTAGCCGCAGAATTATAGATTTTAAAATGCTGGCAACATCTCAGCAAATGGAAAGACACATAGACCAGCCTGACAAATTGTCTCGCAGGTACACTTCTGGGTGCTTCTGTGGCCATTGGTATTCCTGATTGTCACTCATTTGTGAATAAGCTGAGTGGCCTACAGTTTCAAAGATTTCAGTGGATTGAAGTTTCTTGTGGCTTCATCTAGTTTTTCCCAGACACTTCATGACAAGGATAGATGTGATCTTTGCTGTTTTCCAGTCCACTAGGAGATCACCTAGTCTTCAAATTTTCAAGTCCCATCTCTGAGAGCCAAGTCAGGTGCTCAGCAGTTGCCTTTAGATGGAAGCGAGAGGAGACCTCCCTCCTCAATCTCACTTCCAATGGCTCAATCTTTGCCCTTTGCCTTGGGGATAAACAGAAAAAGGAAGAAAGCCTCAAAATTAGTGTCTGTGAGGATTTTACAGACTGACTGGGCTCCCTGGAGAATCATTTCTGGGATTGTCAATCCTAGAGCTCTGGCTGCTTAGGAGGAGAGGTACAGGAGAAGTAGACAATGAACTCTCTAGTAAGAAACCCAGTGGGCTGTGCTGTGGTAAGTGTGTCTGTCACACTAAAGCAGGGGTAAACTAGGTGTAGGTTGGAATCTTAATGGAGATTGTACATTTCTAAGAGTTAAACAAATTAGGCCCTAAAAAAAATTCTAAAATCAAAGAGTTTGTGCCTTGAGCCAAAGACCTTCTTGGAAATTCACATGAGTTTATTTGCAAAGTCAAGGTATTGCAAAAGGAGATTTTGCTCCCCAGGGGACATATTGCAATGTTTAAAGACATTTTTGGTTGTCTTAACTAAGGGAAAAGTGCTACTGGCGTATTTCAGGGACAGTCAAAAGTTCTGCTAAACAGCTTAAAATGTGTGGGACACTCCCCCATAATATATAATTTTTTTTTATACAAAATGTCAATGGCGCCGGGCAGTGGTGGCACATGCCTTTAATCCCAGCACTTGGGAGGCAGAGCCAGGCAGATCTCTGTGAGTTCGAGGCCAGCCTGGTCTACAGAGTGAGATCCAGGGCAGACACCAAAACTACACAGAGAAACCCTGTCTCGAAAAACCAAAAAAATAAAAAAATTTAAAAAATGTCAATGGCACATAGATTGTGAGACCCTGTGTTAAACCTACAGAAATGTGTTATGCAAAAGCCAATGAAGAGCCAGGTGTGGTGCACATCTGTAATCCCATTACTTTGAGGACAGGAAGATCAGGAGTTCAAGGTCATCCTCAGTTAAACCATGTTTGAAACCAGCCTGAGCTACATGAGACCTTGACTCAAAAAAAAAAAAACAAAAAACAAAAAACCCACAATGAAGGTTGGCCCTCCGAAGGAGCTGCATCCACAGTGGAGACGGGGTGGGAATAGAAGACGGGTGGTACTAGTGAGATGCTGGGGGCCAGGGAAGTATCCAGAAATCTCCAGTCCCCCCCCCCCCCCCCCGCCCCCGCCACCTTACCAACTCACAGAAAGGTAGGGTATAAAGGCTCACTGGTTCAAGAGCACAGGCTGCTCTTGCAGAGGACCTGAGTTCAATTCCTAGGGTCAAGATGGCAGCTCCCAACTATCTGTAACTCCAGTCCCAGGAAATTGAACTCCCTCCTCTGGCCTCCATGGGCATCAGGAAGGCATGTGGTGCACAGATATAGAACAGGCGAAACACTCATACACATAAATAAGCAATACATTTTTAAAAAGAAATGAGGATAAGATGTGTACAGTGTTTCATGTCTTAATCTCAGTACTCAAGAGGATGAAGCAGGATGACCATGAGTTAAAGGCCAGGTTAGACTACATAGTTCCAGGCTATCCTGGGGTGCACTATGAGACCATGTCTACAAAGAATATAATTGTCCTTAAGATATAGGAAAGGAGGGGTCATTGCATTGTTTCAGGAGAATAAAAATACCACAGTTTGGGATCCCAGCAGAGTTGGTTTGACGGCAACACACCTGAATGAAGTAAGGAGAATTAAACATAAATCAATAAATAAATAGTCTTTCTAGAGGAGAAAGGGTCATAAGTAGGATCTTAAAGAGCAGTAGCTGTTCTGCCTAATTTTCTACGAGCTTGACACAAGTTAGTCATTTTGGAAGATAGAACATCAATTGAGAAAAAGCCCCCGGGCAGACTGACCTGTGGGCAAGCTGATGGGCAATTTTTTGATTGATGGTTGCTGTGGGCATTGACACCACTGAGCAAGCAAGTAGTCCCGAGTTGTACAAAAGAGCAGGCTGAGCAAGCTGGGAGGAACAAGCCAGTAAGCAGCATTCCTCCATGGCTTCTCCTTCAGCTTCCGCCCTGGCTTCCCTCTGTAAGTGGTCAGATGAAATAAATCATCTCCTACCCAAGTTGCTTTTGGTCATGGTGTTTTATCGCAGCAACTGAAACGCCAAAACTGTAGTAAACCGAGAGAGTGGTTTTCTTCCATAGGGCAGCATACTTACTACATTGAGACAAGACGCAATATTTGGGAACCCCACGGCGTTCTCTGCGCTTATGAGTTTCCTAATTAGTAAAAAACTGATTCATGAAAGATTGGCCACGGTGTTTTATTGTGTCAGAAAGGTGTGGTACTTGAAAAACACCTAGTGCAGTGTTTGGCACAACCCCCAACTCAATGATCCCTTCACCAACCACTGTCTTCTTAAAGCAATAGTTTAGGATAGCGATTTGGTCCCTCCCGTTCCCTTCAGATCTGCCAGTCTAATTCAGGACAGGTCAGAACCTTCAACTGTCCGATTATCTGGAGCTCTTAGGGTGCAGTGTTTTGTTGTTGTTGTTGTTGTTGTTTTCTTTCTTAATTTAAATAGTTACTGTTTGTATATGTGGGAATGGGGGAAGACACCGCGGAGTGCTTATGGAGGTCAGAGGTCAGAGGACAATTTTCAGCAGTCCGTTTTCTCCTGCCACCATGTGGGGGACCCGGGGATCGAACTCAAGACTTTAGGCTTAGATTAGAAGCAAGTGCCTTTCCCCACTGAGCCTTCTCGCCCGCCCAGGGATTGCTTTAGAGAGGGGAAGGAAAGAGCAGCGGGTGAGGGTGGGGGCTTGCTATCTATTCGCACCACGAGAAAGGTGCCCACATAGCTGGGGACAGATAACAAGGAGCAACTCCTCGAGGGCGTCGGGGATTTCAGTGACGTCCCTCCCCGCAACTCCCAGTCTCCCTACCAAGAGTTCTCTTCAGATAGCTTCCAGAGAGGGTAGGTTTGTGGTGTGGTGGCTCAGGCTATCCCAAAGGGCCAAGCCCTTCTCTGCGACAAAGCGGGGTATGAGGCTTGCAGCAGCGAGGATTGGGGGTCCTGGTCCGCGGTAACGCAGAAACGTAGACTGCAGTGGCACAGGGGCGGAGACTAGGGCTCGCAGGGAAAGGCCGCTCCGTGGGACAGGACAGCGTTGAAAGGAGCAGGCAGCGCGGAGCTAAGCCGCCTGAGCCCAGGGTCCAGAGAGGTGGAGCGGGAAGCCTAACTAGTCCCCGGCTGCCAGCAACCGTGCAGCGAAAAAGCCGGGGGTGGGTGTGAGGGGGAACGATTCCTTGAAAGAGCCCCCACCTCTGACCGGCTGATCAGCCAATCGCAACACGGGGCGGGGACTCAGAGAGTAGTCACAGCCAATAGGAGCGGAGGGGGCGGAGCCTGGTTCCGGGCGCGCGCTGTGGCTGGGTCGCCCCGGGCAGATCGCGGAGCTGCCTTCGGGAACCGCCGAGGCGAGCTGCTGAAGGGAGCCGGCCCAGCATGGACGACCCCGCGGCGCCCGGGCCCGTCGGCTCGCCCGCTCATGACAACGGCAACGGCAACGGCAACGGCAACGGCGGCAAAGGGAAACCGGGTGCGCCCAAGGGCCGGGAAGCATTCCGCAGCCAGCGGCGGGAGTCGGAGGTGAGGAACCGGGAGACGTCCGCCGGCGGGAAGCGGCGACTGAGGTGACGCGGCCCACAGCCCGGTCCCTTCCCGCTGCGGGTCGCCGGCTTGCTAGCCCAGTGGCCTGCGGTTTCCCTAACCCGCGCGAAGAGCGTAACAGATACTTTCCAGATACTTGATAGCTGTCGCCGGGTGAAGCTGGAATTCGGACCCCCGTTTACCGATGGGGAAGCAGCGCGCAGAGGTGCTGCCCGGAGCGGTGGGAGCCCGAGCTCGGCCGCGGGGAGGGAAGGGTGGGCAGGCGTGCGAGCAGCACACCTCCCGCTGCAGACTGCAGCAACTGGCTCTGGACTGGACCGGACCAGCCTGGAGCCCCTGCTTTCCCTTGCTATCCCCATCCCTGCCCTCGGGGTGATGGAGGTGGCTCGGGGAGCGCCTTCCACGGACACCTCGCCCCTGTCTAGGAGGGTTAAAAGATTAAAGCTGGGGTAGGACCAGAGCGGCATTTGGGGGCAGCTGTCCCAGGTGCAGCTACGGGTTTTTTGACTATTTGGATATCTAACTAGGACAATGAGAGGACTGAATTATTGTCACCCCACCACACACACACACACACACACACACACACACACACACACACACACACACACACACACCTTATCCAACCAATTTCCATCTATTAGTCAAGAGCAAAACTGCACCTGATTGCGCGTGGGGGGGGGGGGGGGGGGGGGGAGATGGTCAGGGGGACACAATGTCGCATATGGAAGGGGGTATGGAGGTCATCTGGTTTCGCCCTTATTTTAACTGATTTCATCTTTGTTTACTTATTTGAGACAGCTCAGGGCAAAAGCCATTGACAACAGAGTTTCATTTGCCCTGGCTGGGCTTGAACTCACTGTGTTAGCTGAGGAGAGCCTTGAGCTCTTTCCTGGTCGTCCTGCTTCCATTTCCCAAGTGTTGGGATTACAGTGTGTGCCACCAAAGTGAACCCAACCCTTTCATTTTCCTACGCAAAAGACACAGGGCTGGAGGATGTGGCTCAGTGATGGAGTGCTTGCCTAGCATGTTCAAGGTGCTAAATTGATCCCCAGCACCAAAAGAGAGGCAGAGGGTGGGGTGGGGGTGGGGGAAAGTCAGCTAGGGAGTAAAAGAAAACCAACCTTCCTGAGATCAGACACCTGGCAAAGCGAGTGCCCAAGACCACCAAGTTCAGTGTCTATCAGGCCAGTTTTTTTTGTTTGTTTTGTTTGTTTTTTTTTTTTATTTATTTCAGCACTACCATTTATTATCTGTGTGGCTTTGGGCAAATTACCTAACCTATCTGAGCTCCAGTTTCTTCTTGTGTAAAATGGGGTTAACACTATAAATAATTGAACATAAAGTGCTTAGCACAGTTCATATAATTAATTGGCCAGTACTTACAACTCATCATTCTCATTAAGTGGCAGAGGGGTCCTACAAATCAAGTCCGTGGTGGTTTGTCTGAACAATACGTCACAGTTTCCAAAGGGACTTGTCTACGTGGTATACGGAGATCGAGCCTCACAAAACCAAGCATGTTTACTACCACTGAGCTTTCCCCCAGACCCCCAGCTCCTGTTTTCTAAAAGGTTAAACTAGAGGGGGAAACATTGCCCCCAAAGTCACCATCTTGCACAGTCAAGGTTTCCCTGCTAGGAGTTTCTTTTAGAAGTGCCTTGTACCTCCTTCCCCAAGAGAAACATGGGTTGTTTGGGTCCCCCACCCCACCCCAGTTCAAGAAAGGATCATGGTTTTAGAGGTCTTTCATGGTGGGAGGCATGCATGGTGGAGGAGAGCTGTTCACATCTTGGCTGCACCAAGTAGAAGAAGTGAGACATTATTCTTGATCAAATATTTTCAGGGGATAACATTGAAGTTAATAGGTGCTAATGATATGTCAGTAAATAAGGCAGAGTCTTTACCCTTCTAGAGCTAGCACCTTCTAGGAAGCGGGGAGACAGACAATATGCAAATAAGTGGCTGCTGAGTGCTATGTTGGATCACCCTTCTGAAGCAGCGTAATGATCCTCACCCATCACAGCTTTCGTCAGGAAAAGGCTCTCATAGTACTCTGCTTTTGCCAGTGAGTTCAGTGTCGATACCCAGAGTTTTCCTGACACTGCTGTTTACCTGCTGAATTTCTGCAGCTGTATTCTTCATGCTTAGAGATGAACAACTGCAGTAACCATCTCTGTCTGGGCTCATTGCCTCCAAAAAGCCTTGCTGGAAAAATTAGCTTTCCTCCACCTTCCAATGCAAAGGATATACTTGTCAGCATGTCCCTACCATCTTTGCAGTGCCCAAATCTGCTTTTCCTTCCCTCTTTGCTTTCCAGTAGAGGGTGGTCCTTAGAGAAGATAGTTTTCTTTGTAGGGCTTCTGAAACAATTGCTAGAAGAGAATTACAAGTGGCACAAATATATTAATGCTCAGGGCCTTTCTTGTACTTAACTCATTAGTCCTTACAATAACCCTCTGAAGAAAGTCTTATTATTGTCCTAATTTTATGGATGAGAAAACTGAGCATTTTCCAACAATACTTACTGATGCCAACCGAATGTCCTACATGTGAATTCCATTTTGACAATAATTACCCAGGGTTAGTGCATACACAGATTGCCCCTACTTCAGATGCCAGTCACAAGTGAGGCTCTGAGATTGTATACATTTCTTCTTAGCAAACTGAAAACTCAGGTTACCATTACCCCTGTCAAGCTGGATTGATAATTTGCTAGAATGACTGAACTCGGGGACGTATATACTTAAGATTCTAATTTTTAAATGAAAGGTACAAATCAGCAACAACCAAATAGAAGAGATTCATAAGACAAGATGTGGGCTTGGATTGGCGCAGAGATTCTATGCCCTCTCTAACTAAGGGTCACCACCCTCTTAGTACAGCCACTGTTTTTTTCATCAACACCTAACTGCAAGTCATTGTTTCAGGGATACTCTCACACACACCCTCTCTTCCTTTCTGTGCAGTTGGATGTGAACATGTGTGTGCACGTGGGTGAAGGCCAAGGAGGTAATCTCAGGTATCCTTCCTGAGCCATTCACCTTGTTTTTTGAGAAAAAAGACTTTTCCCTGGTGAGGAACTAGCCTAAGCTGGCCGGGATGGCTGCCCCAGCACTGAGATTACAAACATGTACTCTGGGTTCAAAGGACTGTCAGCGCTTCGTGCTGGCATAGCAAGTATTTTACTGGCTGACGGAATTAGCTCCTTAGTCCCTGTTCCAGGGTTTCATATGGAGCATGACAGGGAGCAGTTAAACCATTGCCCATGCAACTGAGCTCAGTCTATGGTCCACATCCCACCATCATAAGAGCAATGCTTATTAGCTTCACAACATGCTTATTTTTTCTGGTAGGGTCAGTCCTTACTTAGAACTATATAAGGATCCACCATGAGTTATCAGTAATATTAATTCTGGTATAGTTAATGAGCTCCTGAGTAACAGACAATACCATCAGAATGTTCTAAGGATTTTAGGAACACTATGTTAGGAACCCAGGGCAAAGACCAAATATTTACTTTATACTTTACTGAGGCACAGAGAAGTAAACTTGGCCATGATTACATAGTATGCAACAGAACCACGATCCAAATTTTATTTATTTTTGCTTAGTTGATTTTTGAGACAGGGTCTCACTATGTAGCTCTGGCAGACCTGGAATTCATTATGTAGACCAGCTGACCGCAAATTCACAGAGATCCTCCTGCCTCTACATCCTGAGTACTAGGATTAAAGGCTTGTGCAATCATTCCTAGCAAAATTCAAAATTTCAAAAATTCACATAGGGCTATACACAGTGACTCACAACTGAAATCCTATACTTGGAAGGCTGAAGCAGGATTGCCCTTAGAGTTCAAAGCCAGTCTGGAGTACATAATGAGTTCTGGGGCATCCTGGCCTATAGAATTAGACCCTGTCTCAAAGAAACAAAAAATGAAAATAGCTAGGGATGTAGCACATTTGGTAAGGTGCTTGCCTAGCATGTACAAAGCCCTGGGTTTAATTCCCAGCAACTCATATACTAGGTGGTGGCACATGTCTGCAATCCCAGCATTGTCTAAATAAATAGAGTTCATATAAAAGTATACTAAAAAAATACTCATAAAATCTTAATAGATTTGAGAGTGAAAGTATTAAAATATTTTAAAGTGGATTATACATACAATATCATAGGAAATTTATTATTTGATACAACTTGGAATGTAAATGCTACCTTATTTACACTAACGCTGGATAATTAGTTGTTGAATGTTAGAACTCAAAACCTTTTTCTTTTTCTTTCTTTCTTTTTTTTTTTTTGTATATGAGGAACCTTCAGCATGAGACATATTTAGTGGGCTAATGACAGAACTTGGGCCAGAATTCAGTTCTCCTCTTTTGGTTTTTGCCTATCTTTTTTTCCTAGACATGAGCTAGACGTTCCTCTTGTCTCTGTTTCATGTAGATTAGATATAGACTCAAATCATTGCTTTCTTTTTGTTTGTTTAGTTGGTTATGGTTTTGTGAGGCAAAGTCTTATGTAGTTCAGACTGGCCTCAAGTCACCATGTAACTGAGTGCTGGGACTAGAGGTGTATGCCACCATACCAGTTTATGGGGTACTTGAGATCAAACTCGGGGCTCGGTGCGTGCTAGGCAAACATTCCACCAACTGGGCAACACTCCCAGTCCCTTGGGGTTTATTTGAGACAATATCTCACTATGTAGCCCAGGCTGACCTTAAGCATGGATCCTCCTGCCTCTGCCTCCAGAATGGAGCACCATAGGCCCATGTTACCGGGCCTTGCTTCAGATGGCAGCTTTCATTCTTGTTTATCATTCTGTCCTTTACTTAGACTTTCAGATACTGGATAGGAATCCCCCCAGCCCTCCCCTGCATGGGCCTCAGATTTTGGCTTGAAAGGGGAGGTTGTCTCTCAGATGAAAGAGCCAACTAAGACTTTCTAGATGCTTCTCTGATCTGACTTTGGCCTCCAAGAGAGGGAAAAAGGTGAAACTAGGGTATATTCTTTCTTTGACGACCTCTTTTCCCATTCCTGGAAAATTCTCTCTATTATAGGGCTCTGTGGACTGCCCTACTCTGGAGTTTGAATATGGAGATGCAGACGGGCATGCAGCGGAGTTGTCAGGTATGAATGGATGGGTCAGGGTTGAGTGGAAACACCGTCGAGGAAGCAACAGGGCTGTAATCTCCCCTGGCAGCTTCTCTGGTCTTAACAAGAGCTATTGAACAAGGGCTGTTACCATCATATCATCCCCCCAACCCAATAACAAATATCTCTTTTGCATTTCCTTCTGTGAATTCCCCTTGTTGGTAGTATTCTTCATTTGTTCAGTCTATTCGTCTTTCCTAGTCATTCTTTTTTTAATTAATTTATTTTTTATTTTATGTGCATTTGTGCTTTGCCTGCACATATATCTGTGTGAGGGTGTTGGATCTTGGAGTCACAGACAGTTGTCAGCTGCCATGTGGTTGCTGGGAATTGAACCCGGGTCCTCTGCAAGAACAGCCAGTGCTCTTAACCACTGAGCCATCTCTCCAGCCCACCATTGTTTTTCTTTCGATGCACTCTCAAATCACTTCTCCCCACTTTCCATTATTTGCCTCTCTCATCCTATAATCCATGTGTTTGTGTGCCTGTTCTCTCTGCCATCCTTTCTTTACCCCAGTCTCTCTCTCCTTTGTCTTCCTTCCTTTCCCTAACACTTGTCCCTAGTAACATTCCAGCCGCAGCTGAAGGAGATTATCAGTAATTGGCTGGCTGAGCGAGGCTGGACATATCACCTGCATCAGTCATAAAGTCGAGCTCTGCTGTAGATATTTGTGAGCTGGGGTTAAGTGATCCCATTCCTTTTTCAATTCGGAGCTGCTCCTCCCTGTCTGGAATTTTAGAATAGGGCAAACGTGATCTCCTCACATTAAGGGCCTCCATGTTACACGTGCTGTGAATGCTAGTTATTAATAAATGAGCTTTGGGTGGAGATGGTGTGAAAGTTAAATATTCTGTCACATGGAAATGACACTTTGAGACATGCTTTTTCAGATAAAAAGACAAACATTTTTGCAGAAGTTCTGGTGAATAAGCACAGTGAATAAATTTTGCAGTGAGTGACAGAAATAGCTAGGTTTAATCGTGAACAAAGGATTAGACTCTAGAGTGTGAATATGTGGAGAGAAAGAGAGATGAACAAAGATGAGATGACTAACCTGATAGAGAAGTAGACAAAGGATGTCAACTCTCAGAAAGTCAGTGACTATATGAAGGGCATGCATGAGTCTCTCTGTTTGATCCACAGCACCACAAAAGAAAGAGAGTGTGTGTGCGTGTGTGTGTGTGTGTGTGTGTGTGTGTGTGTGTGTGTGTGTGTCTGAAAATATGTTCAATTAGCTAATGAAGAAAAAACATTTTTTAAAACAGGGTATTATTTCACAGTCATCAGACTGCAAAATTTAAAGGCTGGCAAGATGGCTCAGCAGGTAGGCCACTTGCCACCAAGCCTCATGATCTGAGTTTAAACCTCAGACCCATATGGTGATAGAAGAAGAGAACTAACACCCACAAGTTATCTTCTGGCTTCTCTATGTGCAGTATGGCACTCATATACCCATGCACACAGACACAAAATTAATTAATTAATTCACGTTAAAAAAAAAAAAACCTCAAAGGACTAATGAGCATTTTTCTACACTGCTATGCGTAGCAGTATGAAGGTGCAGGGTATAAAATTGGAAAGCAATTAGGTCATATCTAATAAAGTTGAAGATGTGCACATATTATGACCTAGTAATTTTATCCTAGATGTATAATATAAAGAACTTTATCCTTGGGCACAAAAAAGCATTTATTTCAGCCTTGTTTTTAATTATGAAAAATTAAGAACAACCTAAATTCCCATCTGCAGGGGAATAGATAAACTAGCATATAAGTGTAGTCAGTCTGTATATAGCCATTAACATAATTGGTCCGTATCAACATACTTCACAAATAAATACCCAAAACAAAGTTGAGGCAAAGAAGCAATGGCAAAAAGAATTTATATAATTTATGAAAATGTTATTAAAAATAGAACACTATCACAAATACATTGTTTACATTTAGATTTATTTTACTTGATGTGTATAAGTGTTTTGCCTGCATGCATGCATGTATGTATATTACATGTGTACTCTGGATGTGAGGATATGGATAGTTGTGAACCACCATATGGGTGCTGGGAATTGAACCTGGTCATCTGTAAGAGTTACAAGTGCTCGTAACCACTGAGTCATCTCTCCAGCCCTGGTATATTGTTTATAGACAGATACATAGGTAGTAAAAATCTAAAAATGGGCATGTGAGGAATGCATGCCAAATTCATGATAGTAGTTACTTCCCAAGAAAGGAGTAAGACTGGAGAGTAGTCTGAAGGAAATATGACAAATGTTATATTTGTTTAACCTGAGTAAAAGATACATGGCTATCTTAAATGTATTTTATAATTATCTGTATATGAAATTTCATTATCTAACATTTTAAAATTAAGGACAAAGTTCAGCACTGTTTACCTTCCTGACTGGGCTTTCCTGACTTTCCTGATCAAAATAAATAAAAACACATATACTCACATTTCCATTAATGAGTCAATGATTAATATTTAAGATTCAAAGTTGAGATTTGTTTCTGGCCATCCCCAGATTCTGAGATACAAGATTTAAGAGTTCTAACTTCCAAGTAATTCTCAATCTTTAGCTAGTTGGCTAGAATATAAGTAAATTCCTATTACTTCATGATATAGATGGAATAGGTTTTGAGAGACTTGATTTTTAAATTGTCTTTGTAAAATGAGGGTGCAGAGTCAATATTCTGGTGCTGGAGAGACGGGACATTGTCATCCTGTTTTATAGTCAGAGGATAGGTCATTAAGGTTAGATTTTCCTAAACACAAAACCTTTTGGCAACCCTCGGTTTGCCACATGATTTACCACATCATCAGCTCAGGTGGTCGTATGTAGGAACCTAAATTTCTATACCCTTCCAGGAAACTCAGCATAAAGAAACTGGCTCCCAACCAGCTCCAACAAACTGTTCATTCGTTTGCTTGTTTGTTTGTTTGTTCTCAGCCCTTGTCCTGCCTTCCTAAACAGCACAGAGTCTTGCCTCTAAGATCCCGAGTTGTGTTGCCCTTCTCTTACCTAAAGATAGGATAGTTCTGGCCTGGGTTGACAGAACTGAATGGACTGCAGCCCTAAGAAACAGAAGTGATGACATTAGGCCCTCTGTACTCCAACCCTCCTCCTGGCCCTAACCAAATGTCGAAGGCTGGCTTCCTTCTCTGCTGCCAGCCATCTGGCAGGACAACAGGTTTGATAGTTTAATCACCCAGGGACACACATGGCTATTTTTAACTGTTCTGAAAGGGAGGGAACTGGCTCTAGATTGAATTGGACACAAGAATGTGAATGCGTTGGAACCTTCAGCTCCCTCAAGTGATCCTCTGTACTCTAGATTCCTCATTGGGGCTTCTAAATGTGACTGTTTTGTCTTTCTGCTACAGAATTATATAGCTACACAGAGAACCTGGAATTTACCACTAACAGGAGGTGCTTTGAAGAAGATTTCAAGACTCAAGGTAATGCTACATACATCCCTATTCACAGAAACATGCTATTTCCCTCCATTGATATCCCAGCCTGATCTAGTAAAAGACTAAATCAGAGTTTGATTCTTATCCCCTTCCCAACCACATACCCTTCGTTCCTTGCATATGGAATACAGAGTTCCTTATAGAGAGAAGGTGAAACCAAGGGAAGTAGAGAGATGGCTCAGCAAGGCTGAACTAATGCCCTACTGCCCGATGGAATCCTGTGCCTAACCCAGTCCTTAATGTTTAACTTCTGCCCCCCTAGCAGTAGTAGATTTATATGCCCTTACTGTGATCCCTTCAGATCTGTTACCCTACTTTCTCAGTGGCAATTTAATTTTTAATTTGACAAATATGTGGTGAGTATCTGTTGTGTCAGAGATACAGGAAGCAGATGTGGAAGTAATTTGCAGCTTCTACAAATAAGGTGCAGTCTGATAGCAGCGGGGAGATGTGCATAGCACACAAGGAGCCAAGGCCCAGAGGAAAACTCGAAATGTAAGAGTGTTTAGGGCAGAGCTTTTGGTTTGGGCATTAGTGTGGAAGGGGTCCTCTCGCGGTGGGCCTGTAAGGATGCCCAGGAGCTGGACATGCATGGAGACAGAGGGACTCCTTAAGGAAGGGCAGAGAACAGACTACACCTGTGGACAGAAGTGGGAACGGTGAAGATGTGGGGACAGAGTAGGTTCAGACTAGGACATTTGGGGTCCTTTTCCTATCCCTTATGTTTCCTGGCTAAATAAGGAAAGCTTTGGCTAGCAGTGTAGCTTAGTGTTAGAGCTGCCTAGCATGTGAAAGGCCCAGGGTTCAATCCTCAGTGCCACAAAAAAACCTGTTTTAAGTAAGAAAAGGTTTTGGAGAAAAGAATCTTTTGGGAACTGAGAACAGAGGTGGGTATATTATCAGGGCCCTTTCCAGGAAGAAGTAGCAGTGCCAACTTTAGCTGTACATGGCTTTATATCCCTAGTGCAAGACACTAAGGAATGGCTGGAGTTGGAAGAAGATGCCCAAAAGACGTATGTGATGGGACTTCTGGACCGACTGGAGGTGGTCAGTAGGGAAAAACGGCTTAAGGTGGCCCGGGCTGTTCTCTATCTAGCCCAAGGTAAGGGTCTGTTTTCACTGATTTGATAGGGGTAGAAACTAGGGAGGGAAGTGGATAAAGCAGGGTCTCTTACATCTCAGTGACAAGTCTTGCCACATTAGGAGTAGCCTGTCCTTGTAAGGAGATCAAGAGACAGTATTGGATACTGTTCTGGATCTCTTGGGATCTGCCTCTATCTTACCAAGCACATCAGGTTCTTCCTTTCTTTTTTTCTTTTTAAAAACAGGGTTTCACTCTGTAGCTCTGACTAGTTTCGAACTCACAGAGATTCATCTGCCACTGCCTCACAAATGCTAGGATTAAAGATGTGTGCTATCATGCCTGGCTCTCTTTTCTTTTCTTTCTTTTTCTCTGAGAATGACTGTGAACTCTTGATCCTCCTACCTCTTCTACCTTCTAAGTTAGGATTACAGACATAAGTCATCATACCCTGTGCATGTCGCAACTTCTTACATGGATTTTTTTCTCCTTTAATCTGGGCTCTAAGTGTATATGAAGATTGGCAAAAGAGTCCGTGTAGGGAGGGTTGATGATGTACCACCAAAAGAGTTAGCACAGATACTGCTTTCATCAGCTGTGCCCTGGCACCAGCACTGACGTTTCTCATTGGCATTTTGAAGACTCAAGCCAGCACAGCTGCAGGAGGGGATGCTGGGAGTAATTTGGAGATAACCAGAACTAAATGAGATTAACTGGGGAAAACTTCCCAGAAGAAACGTGTTAGCCAGGTGTTGGAAGGAGCGTTGAGATAGTCTTGCTAGAAAATGAAAATAAGCTCTAAGAGCATGCATGTGAGGATTGCTGGCAACCCAACAGATTGGGAACTAAAAACTGTAAAAACCAACAAACAAAAGAACGACAAATGGGAAGAAGAGATGGGACAGGGAAGAGTGCAGTAGATAAGGTGGTACTTGTGAATCTCTTAGGTCCGATGCTCCAACCAACTTCTAACTGCCAAGACAAAGACCCTTTTCCTTGAGAGCTTTGTCTGCAGCCCATGCTGGGCAGTCAGAAAGCCGGGAGAATTAATAGACTCAGTCCTCATAAAAATGACTAACAAGATTGAGAAGATAATCCTGAGTGAGATAACCCTGAGTTGTGTGTTTTGTGCTATTTCCAGAAAGCCCCCCGAGACTGAACTCTTTCAGCTGCCTCCCTACCCTCTCTCACTCCCCCATTCCTCTTCTGGTGATTCCTGAAGATCCATCCATTCCCAAATAGACTATTTGCACTTGAGTCCTTATCCTAGGATCTACTTCGGGGCGGGGGGCGGGGGGGGGGGATTTAAGGTTGACTTACCCAGGAGACTACCTCTTTTCTCCACTGACTCACTCATTTAAGGCACTGCCCAAATTCTGTGAGCCTCATTAGTCTGTAGAGTATTAGGAAAATTTTAGGATCATGTGGCAGGGTAGGAAGAACCGGGGTAGCTGCCCCCTCTCAACTCCTGCTGTAACTGTCTGATCCTCCAGGCACTTTTGGGGAATGTGACTCAGAGGTCGATGTGCTACACTGGTCCAGATACAACTGCTTCCTGCTCTATCAGATGGGAACCTTCTCAGCCTTCCTGGAGCTACTCCACATGGAAATTGAGTGAGAAGCCCTGGGAGAGGGCTGGCTTAGAAACTTTCTTGAAGAAAGTATTCTCATGTCTGTGGATTTCCTCAGTAGATTTCCCTTTGAGAGCTGAGTCTACTTGTATCTCCACTCAAAGCTCATTGACAGTTTTCCCTACCAGCTTTCTGGATACTATGTTCTTGCTCCCTACGCTTGAACTAAGCACAGCTACAATCCTGAGCTTCACAGGCCCATCCTGGTTTGGTTACCTTTTTAATCTAAGCACCTTCTCAGCTGAGCCCAACTCTGGAACTCATAAAGGAAACTTTTTCCATAATAAACACAACACAAGAGGAACAGACCAATTTCTGTCAACGTGACTAATTCTTTCCCTCATGAGTGGTGACTGTAGCGGTGGCCTTACCTGCTGCTGCTCCTACAGTGAACCCTCTTTCTCTTGTGCCTGCCGTCCAGGAGCTTTAGGTCCACTGAAGTCTGATTACTATGTGTCAGATGTTGCTTAGTATCTGCTCTGTGTCCAGCACAGTGGGAAGCACTGGGTGGAATCGCAAGAGAGGTTGATATCACAGACCCTGTCGTTTGCCTGTCTCTACCTACCATAGATGAGGATTTACTGAGGTAGCAAGGGAATGCTATGGGTTCCTATACCTTAGATCAGTTTCCTTGTGGACCCATACCCAGGGAATGGCAGGTATTTGTTTGTGTGAAGAGTGAGGGAGAGCACAGGGAGGAAGGAGACCTTATGGCTTCCTGTTCTTTGATTCCCCTCCACGGCAGCCACAGCCAGGCCTCTAGTAGTGCCCTTCGGAAGACAGCTGTCTCCATTGCTGACAGCACTGAGCTCAGGTGAGTGACGGGGACCATGGGCTCTGGACAGAGGTGTGGTTAGCATGGGCTACCCTTCTTCCAAATCCCGGATGCGTGAGAAGTTCCCTTTGAACTAATCTTATCTGATTGGACTCGCACTGATGTCATCCTTGAAGTCTGTACCGATAGTCTGGGCACTGCCTTGGGAATCGCTTATGATCCTTTTGTAACTCCAGGGTGCTGCTGAGTGTCATGTACCTAATGGTGGAAAATATCCGCCTGGAGCGAGAAATAGACCCCTGTGGGTGGAGGACAGCCCGAGAGACCTTCCGAACTGAATTAAGTAAGAAGTGGCACTTGAGGAGGGGTGGGTATAGAGTGCTGAGGGTGGACAGGAAGTAGTGTCTGCCCAGCAGAGGAAAGCGGACCTATATTCTCTTTTTCTTTTTAAAATCAGCATCTTTTCTTTTTTAAGACAGATGTTTCATGGTACACAAGGGCTGGGTTTAATTGCATCCCTGTGTGTCTTAGTTCCCCTGGTTAGAAATGAGGATAACCGTTCTTCTCCCATTTCATCATGAATCCCATATTGTGGGGAAAAGAGTTGAAGTTCCTTAAAAACTGGACTTTGTTCTAATGTAAGTTGAAGTGGTCATCTGAAAGGGGTAGAATGTGAAAGCATTTTAAAAATATATTTATTAATGTAAATAAGTAAAGAATGAAGTATGGCCCATGAAATACCTTGATTCCTTTAGCTAGAAAGTCACATCATTATTGTTACTTCTTATTTGTTATGACCCTGAAAGCATTATCTTAATAACCTCTGGGGTGGGGGCACACTATTTTACCATAATAGCCCCAATCCTGTCCTTTAAGGGAATTCCCTCTGGGGTCTCACTATGCCTCCTTCTCAAGACAAGTGCTCTGGAAGTTCTCAGGGGAGGTGAGTGCCTTCCTCAGGGCACCCAGACTCAGGGATCTTAGGGTAGGATGTCAGCTGCTTCATCTCTCTTTCTCTTGATTCTCTTTATACCTCAGGCTTTTCCACACATAATGAAGAGCCTTTTGCCCTCCTGCTCTTTTCCATGGTTACCAAATTCTGCAGTGGCCTGGCCCCTCACTTTCCAATAAAGAAGGTTCTGCTTCTGCTCTGGAAGGTGGTTATGGTGAGTGGCTGATCTCCATTCCCATCTCTCCTGGTCAGAGCTAGGCAGCAGAATAGGCCAGCTGTTAGCCCCAGCTAACTGAGAGGAGCAAGAGGCCCACCTGGAGTCATCAAAGTTTTTGTACTGTCAGGTTTCTGTTTCTATTGGATGAATCTGTTGGATGCCACCCCATGAGCTGAAGATGTCAGAGAACTCATGTTTCATAGAAAGAACCGTAGCTGACCATTGGAATCTGACTGTTTATACCAATGAACCTTGGACAATTCTGTACCTGTTTCTGTAGCCATGAAATGTTAAGATTAATGCATGCCTTTTCTTCTAATAGAGGATGGGTGTCCTTACAAGTATATAGTTAATCATTTATTTATTATTTAATCTGACCTTTCATCCTATAGTCTCCCATCCTATAGGGCTGGAGGAACAGCATACCCTCTCAGTGGGCCTCCTAGGGTGAACCACCTCTTGATTACAGAGGAAACTGTGACTCTAGGACATCATAGCATCTGAATGTGCTCCTTAAAATTGATTGTGCCGAGGATAGTGGCACGTGGTTGTAAAACTAGCACTCAACAGACTGAGGCATGAAGATTGAAGGTTTAAGGCCATCTTGGGCTACACATTGAGACCCTGCTCAAAAAACAAAACAAAGGGAGGATTGTCTCCTATTTTTTAAATGGTTTCAGTGGTGTCCCCTCCCCTCCTAATGTTTAGTGCTGTTTCCAACCCTGGGTCAGTAAATCATGCTGTGTTTTGTTCTGACCCTAGAGGTCCTCAGACTGAAGTGGTGACAATGTTTGTTTCTTCATGTTCAAGAGGCAGTGTGAGGAATCGGCAGCTGGGGTTCTTTCCTTCTGCCCATGTTTCTCTGACTTTGTTCTCTATGACTGCCCTCCCTTCCCCTCTCTTCTCTTCTTTTTTTATAACAGTTTTTTTTTAAATTACAATATAATTACATCATTTTCCCCTTTCCTTTTCCTCTCTCTAACACCTTTCATGCCCCCATCCCTGCTCCTTGTTCCCTCTGAAATCCATGGCCTCTTTTTCTTTAGTTATTGTCACACACACACACACACACACACACACACACACACACACACACAGACACACACATATATATATATATCCAAATACATAAATGCAGCATGCTCAGGACTGACCAGATGATATTAGATAACCTCCCTTTTCCTTTTTACTCTCTAGTTTACACTTGGTGGATTTGAGCATCTGCAGGCTCTCAAAATACAGAAGCGTGCAGAGTTGGGCCTGCCTCCATTAGCTGAGGACAGTATCCAGGTCGTAAAGAGCATGCGTGCTGCCTCCCCGCCTTCTTACACTCTTGATCTGGGGGAATCTCAGCTGGCCCCTCCACCCTCCAAGCTGCGGGGCCGCCGTGGTTCTCGAAGGGTATGGACCAAGCATATGGTAGTATTGGGGTATGGACTGGTCAAAAATCAGCATTCTAAGATGCTATGGATGTGGTAGGAAAAGGCAGTAAATGGCCATCCCAGGTTGGGCCTGTAGTTAACATGAATCCTTAGAGTTTATACTTGGGCCCCTGGCCATGTATTATTATTCATCTGGACCTCAGTGACTAGAGTTGCTTAGCCTCCTAAATATGTGTGTTAGAATTCTGAGAGTAGGGACCCTGAAAAGAGCACCTAGCAAATCTGCATGTCTATCATGAATCACTTAACATTTTCTTGGCAGTAAGAAGTTTTATTTTGAGCTACCATACTCTGTCTGGCTTTGGACCACAAGCTTACATTTGTGAGCTGGCTGGTTAGGTTTCTAGATAGTGTATATTACTGAGAAGTTCTAAATAAGTTACATTGAGCCATGACCACATTTTCATGAACTCACCTGCCTGACCTACCAGAGTTTACCAATGAAAGGTGACAGGGCCACACAATCCAGTCTAAATTGTAGGCAGTATGACTTTGAAAAAAAAGAAAAAAAAAACTTTCTTTTTTGTTTCATAAAGTAATGCTTACTCATTGTAGAAAATTTGGAACAAATATAAAAATGTGATGAAGAGAGAAAAATCACCCACAAGCTTAACAACTAGAGGCAGTCACTGTTAACTTTTTGGCCTATTTCTGTCCAATCTCTTTTTCTTTATGCAATAAGATTTAACATTCTAAACTCACTTTCCTCTGCCTGGCAGCAAGCTTCTGTCATCTTCTTCCTCAGTCAGCCAGCTGGTGTATGCTGGCAGCAAGCAAACTAATTGAATGTTCACCTAAGCAGAGCATAATTAGGAGGGAAAGTTGCTGGGGAGCACCAGTGCTTTCGGGAAGCTAGCTAGCTAGCACACTGGTACTCTGTGCTCTGTTTCCTGGCCATGGCCCTTCTTCCTAAGAGCTGAGTCCAGTGAGTTATAAGATTGAGATGAATAATGGAATGTTCTCGTAGCAAATGGGTTTCAACCTCATGTTTCCTGAAGTCTAGAGAGAGTGACTTCAGACAAGGTTGCCATAAGCTCTATCTAATTTCCTCTCTTCCACCACCACCAGCAACTCCTCACCAAGCAAGACAGCCTGGACATCTATAATGAAAGGGATCTCTTCAAGACTGAGGAACCAACCACAGAGGAAGACGAAGAGTCTGCAGGTGATGGAGAACGAACCTTGGATACAGAGTTAGACCTACTAGAACAGGATCCGCTCGTGCCACCTCCACCCTCACAGACACCTCTCTCTATTGACCGGGTAGCCTTTCCCAAGGGCCTTCCCTGGGCCCCAAAGGTCAGGTAGGTTTAATGGCACCAATATCCTGAGCTTTGGGATTTTGATCACTGAAGAGCCAGGGTGGAATAGCATACATATTCAGTATTCATTAACCTGGTGTGGTAATCAGAACTCCTGGGTTTGAAGTTACTTCTGTTGATTTCTGTGTTCTTCCACTGCTCTAGTCCTTCCAAATGAAAGATCAAGAACTCGGAAAAGTTCTCTTTCTCAAGGTTGTTTTGTTTTCTTCCTCTCTCTGGTGTTGGTCTCTTCACCATCATCTCAGACAGAAGGACATTGAACACTTCTTGGAGATGAGCAGAAATAAGTTCATCGGATTCACCCTGGGGCAGTAAGTGACTAGATATTCAAAACCAAATATAAAGTATATATATATATGTGTGTGTGTGTGTGTGTGTGTGTGTGTGTATATGTTTGTATGTATATGTGTGTATGTATATATGTGTATATATGTATGTGTATGTGTATATGTATATATATGTATATGTATATGTGTGTGTGTGTGTGTGTGTGTGTGTGTGTATATATATATATATAAAGCTAGAAGGTATTTCACTGCCAAAGGTGTCATTAGGCTACATAGTCCTTTAAGTGGGAATCTGTCACCTGCAGGCCAAGTGAATAAGAGACTATATGATATAAATCTAATTTTCAGAAATGCTTCTGTGTGTCATTGTTATTTTTGTGACCTTAAGCAAGATGATGAACCTGGAACCTTATATAAGAAGGTATAGAATACCGGGGGTAGATGCTGAAGTGTGTGGGCCCTGGGATTCCACAGTATATGGGTAGTTTTCTCTTCTGTTGAGCTTATGGTTTGGTGTTTTGGGCCTCTTACAGGGACACAGATACCTTGGTTGGATTACCTCGACCCATCCACGAGAGTGTGAAGACTCTAAAGCAGGTGACCAGGGTGGACTTTCATTACTCAGGGATAGGGAGCCATCAGTTAAGTCAGATTACCACTACCTTGCATACTGGGAAGATGTTTTCTTCCAGATACACCCAGGACCTTCTGCATCCCCACTGCAGGCCTTTTGGCCAAATAGGAAAAGTCAGGTCTCTCTCTACTTCCCCATTTTCCTACATTCAGATCAACGAGAAAACAATTCCTTTCTCTTATTTCTTTTCCCTCCTTCTATCCTTCTCTCTCCTTTCCTATTCTGTTTCCTTTCTTTATCTCCCCATAAGTCTACTAGCTTCTAAAGGCCAAAGATTAGGTAGGAATCATCTTTATATCCAGTTATGTTAAACACAAAGAATGTGGAGTTATCACTCTATACATACATGCATGCACATCAAACCTGTCTGGGCAATGGTCTATTCTTGGCTTCCCCCTACATTTTAAAGATAAATGACTAGGTATTTGCTAATATCCAACAAATATAGAAATGTAATACACAGAAACATTGTTTATGAAATCCTCCTTAGTGCTAATTATGCAGGAGAGAATAAGGTTCTTGTTTCCAAAGGTCTTGTGTCTGTTTGGGATGATAAACCCATGGACTATTTCCTTATGAACAAGGAAGGATAGGGAAGAGATTGGGACAATGTAAATGAGGTTCTCAACCCTTGTTGATGTTTTCTTATCTTTGCCAGCACAAGTATATCTCCATTGCAGATATACAGATCAAGAATGAAGAGGAGCTAGAGAAATGCCCCATGTCTTTGGTAAGTCAAGGGCTCTGGCACACAGAAGGGAAAAATGAACTCTGTCTGTGGTGCTGACACAGAGCATGCATTGTACATGCACTCATTCAGCTTGTTGGCTCTTACCGTGTGTCATATAACACAAAGGCCACACACTGTATCAAAGTTGGAGAACAAGACCATCCCAGAATGGTAGATCCTGTGAAGATAATTTAAACAGGATAACATCATGCAACTATCTGTCGGCCATTTTTGGTTGGGCAGTTGGGATAGATGAGCTATCTAAGAAGATAACATTTAACCAAGATCTGAAGTACAGAAAGGAGCCAGCCATAGAAACATCCAAGGAGAAAAAATTCCAAGTAGAATCAGAGTAGAAGAGGCAGGCACAGAGAACAAGAGGCAGCAAAAGAAGGCAATCCATGGGTTAAGAGGTGGGATTGTGGAGATGACGTCAGACAAGTGGCCTGGGGACACATTATGTAGGACCTATTAGCAGAGGTAGGGAGCTTCCTGATTCACTGCACAAAGGGAAACCTTTGGAGATTTTTAGCAGAGGAAAGACATTGTTCTGGTTTAAAAAACAAAACAAAACACCGTCTGCTAAGCAAGGATTGGGCCAAACATAGAGGGGAGGCATTGACTCATTTCGGCTAAGGTGAGAGCCGATGTGACCCAGGGTCATAAAGTAGGTGAGTTTGGGTTATATTTTGAGAGCTGATGTGACCCAGGGTCATAAAGTAGGTGAGTTTGGGTTATATTTTGAGAGCTGATGTGACCCAGGGTCATAAAGTAGGTGAGTTTGGGTTATATTTTGGAAGCATTGCTGACAGGATTTGCAGCTCAATTAGACATATATCAAGAGGCAAAGAGAAGAATCAAGAATAATTGTCGGCAGGGCAGTGGTGGCGCACACCTTTAACCCCAGCACTCAGGAGGCAGAGGCAGGGGGATCTCTGTGAGTTTGAGTCCAGCCTGGTCTACAGATCTAGATCCAGAACAGGCACTAAAATTACACAGAGAAACCCTGTCTCAAAAAAAAAAAAAAAAAAAAAAAGAATAAGTGACACCCGCAAAATAGGAGGAGTACAAAATATCGTGTTCGGTCATATTGAGGTTTAGGTGTCCGTCAAATACTCAGGAAGAGCTGCTGGGAAGCTAGATACATAGGTCTAGAGTTCTAGGGAGAGGACTGGCTTAAAAATTTGAGAGTCCCCGGGTGGCGGTGATGCACGCCTTTAATCCCAGCACTCAGGAGACAGAGCCAGGCGGATCTCTGTGAGTTCGAGGCCAACCTGGTCTACAGAGTGAGGTCCAGGACAGGCACCAAAGCTACACAGAGAAACCCTGTCTCGAAAAACAAAACAAAACAAACAAAACAAATGAGAGTCATTGATTTATTACAATGTTAAGAACTACAGACAAGGCTAAGAGAACCCAAGGGAGAAGGCAGAGACAGAAGGGGATGGAACCCAGCAAAGTCTCTAGAACACACCCATGGATTGAGGATGGGATGAGTCAGGAAAGAAACCACAAAAAAGTAAGGAAAACACTCAATGAAGTGGAAGAAAATCTAGAAGTCTGATACCATAAAAACAGTCTTTAAAGAAGGAAGTGACTGACTGGGCCAAAAGCTGCTGAGAGATGATGGCCCATGATAAGAACAGAAGTGTGTATTGATTGGGCAGTATTAAGATAGTTGGTGATGGTGAAGAGTGATCACAGAGAAATGGCTAAAAGCCTGATATGAGTACATTGAAAAGGAATGTGAAGAAAAGAAGTAGACAACCAACAAGTGTGGTAAAGAAGGGGAGAAAAATGGGATGGTAACTACAGGAAGATGTGAGATAAAGGAGAGTATCATGCTAAAACATAAAATGTACGGTGTTTGTTAATCCCAGTACTTGAGATAGAGAGGCAGAAGGGTCATCAGATCAAGGTCATCCTCAGCTACTTATTAAGCTGGAGGCCAGCCTGGGCCATTTGAGACCTTGTTTGGATAAAAAAAGAAATGAAATGATCCAACAGAGCAACTAACTAAAGGTCTGATAGATTCTATCAAGAGAAAGGAAAGAGTATGTGGGTCGGAGAGATGGCTCAGTGATTAAGAGTACTTTCTGTTATTCCTGTGGATCAATTTCCAGCACCCACATGGCAGCTTACAACCATCTGTAACTCTAGTTCCAGGGAAATCTGTGGTGGTTTGAAAGAAAATGGTCCCCAAAGAGAGTGGCACTATTAAGAGATGTGGCCTTATTGAAGTAGGTGTGGCCTTGTTGAAGAAAGTGTGTTACTGTGGGGGCAGGCTTTGAGGTCTCTTTTGCTCAGGCTTTGCTCAATGTGATACTCAGTCCACTTCCTGTTGCCTTCTGATCAAGATGTCACCAGCAGCATGTCTGCCTACACATTGCCATGCTCCCCACCATGATGTTAATAATGGACTAAACCTCTAAAACTATAAGCTTCCACTTCAATTAAATGTTTTCCTTTATAAGAGCTGCCGTGGTCATGGTGTCTTTTCACAGTAATAGAAACCGTAGCTAAGATAGGATCCAATGCCTCTGGCTTCCACAGGCACCTGCACTCATATTCACATACTCATGTACACACTTATGCATAATTTAAAATAATGAAAATAAATCTTGAGAAGAAAGATTATGGGCTCCCAAGCACAAGTACAGACTTGGTTTATGTTTGAAATACAGAAAGTCATCTTGCCTATCAGAAAGCAAGTAGAGACTGTCAGATCTGATATTCCAAAGATGTAGTATGTTTGTCTGATAAGTCTATCTTTATGTGAGTCAGAGCCAGCAACTTGAAGGGGTTTGCTGAAAAGAGAGAAGGTAGTAAGCCTTGTGGGGATCACCAGGCTCTCTTGAATGCCTACTCAAGACTTGTATTCATTGGGCCAATTATTCCCCTTTGCCTCCAAGTCTTGTGACAGTGACGCTTGCCTTGTAATAGGGGCTCTCAAGGGAAAAAGGACTGCATTGACCAAGATTCCAGTGAGCCTGGATTGCCTCTTGAGCATCTGAGACCCCTGCTTCCCCCATTCTGATAAAGGGATTCACTGGGGTCATAAAGAAGACAGTGATATACATGGTTCTCTTAGAAAAAAGAAAGTGATGTTGATGAGGATAATGGAGAGAGGGGGAAAATTAGTTTCCAACCCTTTACAATAAAAGCTGCCTTGCTAATACTCATCTTGTTTCTCTGACCATGAGGTACTTAGTTCTATCACTAACCCTCCTACTGAATCGCCTACCTTTTCCTTCCTCCTTCCTAGATGGTAGAAAACCTCTGGAGTTCTTGGTTAACCTCTAAGTAACGCCATGGGAAATGCCTCTATATCGGGTATCTCAACGTGTCAGGTGTATTTATAGCCTAAGTTAACCCCATGTGAATCTAGGGGTGTGTGTGTGTGTGTGTGTGTGTGTGTGTGTGTGTGTGTGTGTGTGTGTGTGCCGAAGCAGTGGGCTGAGCTGACTCCTAGCTTGGAGTTGACTCCTGATGGAGTATGTGACATGGAAAGAGTGATTAACTTCAGATAACAGGGAAACTAGACTCAGCAATTGTTTGGGACTGGAAAAAGACATCAAAGATCATCTAAACCAGCTCAAAGAAAAAAGCCTGGTCAACTGTGTTTTTGACCGTAGGGAGAAGAGGTGGTACCAGAAACACCATGTGAAATCCTCTACCAGGGCATGCTGTACAGCCTCCCTCAGTACATGGTAAGGAGCAGCCTGGGCCAGAGCGGCCCTCTACTTCCAAGAGGAATGTCGAATTCTGAACTTTCCTTGTGGCTCCTCTGGAGGTGCCATTCTCCCTAGCCTTTCTACTGGGGTCAGGTCGCAGAATGAAGTAAGGTCCACATCCGATGCATCAGGGCCCTTTCTTCTAACTAATTACCACCATCATGAGTTCTGCCGCTGCCTGCCATGTCTTCGGCAGCCTCTGGTTAGGAGTGGTGTTGATATGTTAGAGGAAGGAAACGAGGGGAGAATGCTGGCCTTATCTCTCCCACTTATTTCTCTGCATTGCTCCCCGCCCCCCCCCCCCCCACTTTGTTCTTTCTGTGCTCCCTTTAAAAGGAGCAGTCCTGAAACAAAACAGCCAGGAAGCTTGCTTTGGCCTCCCTCCTTGGCCTCATAGACAAGCCTCAGAATAAACACTTGTTTGCATTCCTATATCATGGTAAGGCTTAGTCACTGAAGGGAAATCTAAGATGAAGGCTTTGAAATACTTGCTGAGTGGGATAGACAAGGGTGGCTTTCTTCTTTTTCTATCTCCCAGATTGCTCTGCTTAAGATTCTGCTGGCTGCAGCCCCCACCTCCAAGGCTAAGACAGACTCTATCAATATCCTAGCAGATGTCCTGCCTGAAGAGATGCCGTGAGTGCTTGCACTGGGGCAGCTGCTAGACACTAGTGTCTTGTCTTCAGGGCCTCTCTGTCCCACCTCACTTGGTTAACACTTACAGGAATTGTCTTCAAAGAAATCTCTCCTTATCTGTGCCCTGTCCCCTGCAGGGCCTTCTACTGAGCTCTGTGTAACTCAGAACTAGGGTCCAACAGATAACCTCAGTGCTAGTGACTAGCTCCCAAATATATTGGTAGACAGTGCCAATGAATAAGTTTGCCAGAGAGAGGACACGTCAACAAAGAGATCATGGAAGCTTTTTCCTGGACAGATTCCTAAATGGGAACTCTGGAGGTTTCCCTAGCACAGAAGTTCAAGTTTCCTAAGTTCTGACCCTCATGTATATATATATACACACACACACACATATATATATCATATCTAGCCCAAATACTTGGGTCTTTCCTTTTAGGCCTCCCTCCTCACCACCTTTATACTGATGCTTCCTCTCTCCCTTGTAGCATAACTGTTCTCCAGAGCATGAAGCTGGGCATTGACGTGAACAGACACAAGGAGATCATTGTAAAGAGTATCTCTGCCCTGCTCCTTCTCCTTCTCAAACACTTCAAACTCAACCATATCTACCAGGTGAGCAGGTAGGAGTGCTGTGTCACAAGCTTAAGTGTTCCTCATGCCCTAGAGAGGCAACACAAGAATCCTTGTACTGCTAAGCTTTATTTGGCCTTTCCTTTGCCCTCTAGAGAGTCCAGCTATTTGTTGCATGAGTGTATGGTGAGGATATGAAGTGGGATGTGGGAGCCATCCTAGAAAGATACAAAAATCTATGGTCTTTGTAAGTTAGCTAGGGATTCTTAAGAATACTCCTAGTCAGTTAGAATCAGTTCAACCATCCCAGAAAGGTCACTGGGCATATTGACCATGCTTTTCTGTATGTGAAGCACTTTTCTGACATTTGAGATATAATTCTAAATGAGACACAATTCAGGCTCTTACAGGTCTTACAGTCTTGTAACAGATACATAAATGTCCAATTGTAGAGTGGTGTGATACAGGTAGGCACAGGATGCTGTAGAAATACCAATTCCAGGGAAGAGGTGACTTTTAACCTGAGTCCCAGAGAAAAAGATCTTAGTCTGGAAATGGGAGTTATCAGGGAATAATAAGAACCAATTCAAGCAGAAAAGCTAATACGTGAAAGCTCAGAGGAGAAAGAGCAGAGTATTTTTGGAAACTAATTAAATGTTGCTAGAGTTCTGGCTTAGAGTGAGGATGATAGAGATGTTCTGGTTAATACATGAAGCCACAGGGGTTAGCAGGTATCATATATCTGATAGCATACAATTATGGAATGTCTGTGATGTGCTTGATATCCTACAAAGCTTTTGTGAGCTTCTCACCCCTAGGAGGCCTTATTTTATCCCAGGTTTTTTTTTTTGGCAGGGAGGGGGTTGTTTGCTTGCTTGCTTGCTTGCTTTTAGTTTTGTTGTTGTTGTTCTTTTGAGACAGGGTCTCACTGTGTAGCTCTGGCTGTCCTGGAACTCACTGTGTAGACCAGGCTGGCCTTGAACTCAGAGATCTGCCTGCCTCCACCTCCTGAGTGCTCCAGCTTATCTCTATAAGTGAGGAGACTAGAGTTAAAAGTCAAGACCTTGCTTTGCTTCCCCACAGAGGTATTGTTTGCCTAGAGCCTGTGGACCTTACCAAGATACAGGAACAAGATGAGGACAAGTAAATGGATGCTTCTTCTTTAGGGAGAGTTTGGCAATGTGGAAGCCTTCTCATTTCTGCCCTGAGGCTTTACCCCATTTTCCACCTAGGCACTCAAAATAAAGCCTGATATAAGAGTGACTCATCAGCGTACAGGGAAGGCCCCTGCAAGGCCTGTGGCCATGTGTTTGCTGGCAGTGTTTGCTGAGACAGGATTGGAAGGAGCAAAGTGGCTAGAGATGGCTTCCTCTTTCCACTAGAATGTGTGTTTCTCAATGTTTCTCTTGGTGGGCAGGAGGTCGATCTATAGCCAGACCAACATATGTCCTGATGGGCCTTGCCACAGTGTATGGAAGTGTGGGTCAGTCCTGAAAGAGCCTGGGCATGGCTCAAATTTTAAAAACTTGCCATCTTTTGATAGTAGGTATGTACTGGCTCCTTTGTCTGGGGCTTCAGAAAGTACCTCTGGTTGACTTCTAGGGAGAAAATATTGAGCAGAAGAGAGAGGTGGTTATGGCGCAAGCTGACTCCCTACCTTTAACCACATATTCAGAATCAGAAAGCGGCTTACCCTTCTGACATGGCTACTTCTTGCTGATGACACCGAGATAGGGTTTAAAACACCATAGTTCTCTGCCTTTTCAGCCTTATTTCTGTACTGTGCCAGCATTCTAAGTTCCTAATTTGGAAGCAATTTTTTCTTGGTGCTTCTCAGTGCATAATAAACAAAATCCAGGGTGACTAACTCTATAATGTTGCTTCTTTCTTCCTGGACACAAGCCCCATATGGATTTAAGAGAGCCAAATGGAACTATGGTGTCTATCTCATCAAGGACATCCTGGACTTCTCAGTGCAAAGTCTACGGGTTGCAGAGGCTCTTGTTCACTCATTTATTGATATTCTAAGTATTAGAGATGACAACATATTCTGGACAGACTACTGAAACCACATTCCAGTGGTTTCTGTGTACTGTCTCCAGCTTAATGCCAGCAGTTGCTAAGAGTTAGTTGCACCTGTCCCTGCTATATCAATCACAGTTGAAACATGAGCCAGAGATTTGGTGTGGAAACCAGCTCCCTCAGGGAGACTTTCTTTCCCATTGAGCTTAGGTACAAAACTCACAGCAATTCTTGCTATTTATTTGAGATATGTTGTTCTTTCTAATGTGTTTACTATGTGGCTTTGATCAAGAGCTTGTAGTATCCACTGCAGATTGTCCTGCATGTAAGATAGGACAGCTGAAGATGAGTGTCCCCATTTCAGAGACCGACAGACTGATCACACAGTAGACAGTAGATATTCTTGGGAATGGATGTTGTATTTGTATTTCACTGTCTCTTTTTTTTTCATACATGTTTTATATCTTCCCCCAAATAAGCAAAATTTTCTGCTTTTATCTTTTAATTCAGTTTGAATATGTGTCACAACATTTAGTGTTTGCCAACTGTATTCCCTTGATTCTGAAGTTCTTCAATCAAAATATCCTGTCCTATATCACTGCCAAAAACAGGTATGGACTCTGGACAGATTTCTAGGGGCGACTTAGAGATGATTAAGAAAATCCCATCCCTGCACCTTTCATTTCTTCTGGTGTTCCTAGTCCCTCCTTTCTTAGAGCTTTCCCTGTTAGATTTCAGTTTTCTTGGAGTATTAACTGATGGGAATGTGTGAATTTTCCTCGTTGTGTAGATTTTATATATTGATAATTTCAAACTTGGAAAATACTTTGAAAGGAACCTAGATTTTTGTGTTGTGCAACAGCCCTTTGGTCTGAACAGTTCAGCTCTTAGTAGAAATCATAAGCTGCAGGAACTGGATACACTGCTTTGTAAACAAAAGTATGATACAAAATTCATGATGCTGAGAGCACTGAATCCTAACCACAGACCACCAGGGGAGGTTCAAAATCTGTAATCAAAGGTAAACAGTAGACCTCTACTTGGGTAGATCAATTTGTAGTTTAAAATATATTTTTTAAATGTGTTACTTTTTAAACGTTTACATTTATGCCAGGCAGTGGTGGCACATGCCTTTAATCCCAGCACTCGGGAGGCAGAGGCAGGTGGATCTCTGTGAGTTCAAGGCCAGCCTGGGCTACAGAGTGAATTCCCGGAAAGGCACAAAGCTACACAGAGAAACCCTGTCTTGGGAAAAAAAATGTACGTTTATGCATGTGTATTGGTACACACATGCCAAGGCATGGATGTGGCGGTCAGAAGACAACTTGCAGGAATAGATTCTCTTCTTCACTAAAGTGTCCTGGGGATCAAACTCGGGTTGTCAGTGTTGCAATTAGGAGCTGAACTATCTTGTCAGCCCAAAATATGATAATTTTACATTCATAATTCCACTTACTCTTGGCAATGCTATGAGATAGTACAAGTTTTGTCCTCATCTTGCTGGTTAGGAGACAAGTCAGAGAGGTGAATTGGCTTTATCAAGAATAACAAGATTGTGAACCTTCAAAAATAGATCAGTCGATAAAGGACCATACAAGCGTGAGGATTTGAGTTCTGATCCCTATAACCCATATAAAAAGTTGGGTGTGGCAGTATACATCTATAATCCCAGCCCTTGGAAGATGGAGACAAATAGATCCATGGATCTCACTGGTCAACCAGCATAGACAAATCATTGAGCTCCATGTTTAATGAGAGGCCCTATCTCAAAAAATTAAGTAGAGAGAAATTGAGGAAAATACCTGACATCAACCTCTGGCCTCCACATGCTTGCATACACATCTGCACACATACGTGTGCACACCTACATAATATATACCACACATACAAGATTAACATGAACAAAAAAAAAAACAAAAACCACAGCACTTGGGAGGCAGAGCCAGGCAGATCTCTGTGAGTTCGAGGCCAGCCTGGTCTACAGAGCGAGATCTAGGACAGGCACCAAAACTACACTGAGGAAACCCTGTCTGGAAAAACAAAAACAAAACAAAACAAAGATTAACATGATTAACCATTTAAATAAAAACATAGGCTTTTCTGTGAATACAAATTGCTTTCTGTTCTTCCAGCCAGTCTGGGACTGGGGAATTGTAGGGTAGATCCTTATTCCTTAATTTGCTTCCACAAGGACTGGAATAGCATGTTAGTCAGGAGAGTTTGCCAGAATTCCCTACCAGAGTTTCTAAAGTAGACAAAGACTGATGTCTTACTTGGGGTGACTGGAGAGAGTGAGGGGAAATCTCATGGGTCAGTCAGTACTGCTTGAAATTCCACCATGGAGTGACAGCCTTGCATGTACATTGGTGTGAAAAGCCTGAAGCCGAGAGAGCTGGACGTGTGATTTCCTAACCAGGTAATGTCAAGGAAGATGGTGTCTCTGGGCCACAGTACTTGCACTCTTAAAATAAACGAGACTACCTCTTTGAACTATATCACAGAGCTAATATTCAGTTCATTGAGCATTAGAACGAATTCCAGCCTTGATTTTCTGCCACTATTTCCTAGTTGTAGCACCTGTTTTTTATAAGTGGAAGATAGATAGATAAGTGGATGAATGAACCAAGAATATTTATCCTAACAGAGCAATCCAGAGAATCCAGAAGAGCTAGTTAGGATGATGAGCAATGTTATAGGTAAATTCACTTCCCTTTTCTGAGTTGACCTTTCTCTCCTACCCTGGTTCATCTAAGTTATCTTGACCTGGGTTTCTTGAACAGTGGTAATACTTGTAGCTAAATAAGTGATTTGCTTTTAGAAATTTTGACTTTCAAAATGTAGAGACAGGTCCAAGAACGCTCATACTCACTTTATAGCCCTGGTTTTGCCAACATCCTTTGCCTATCTCCAACCACACTAGTTCATAGATTAGTGCTGCAGTTTCGTTGGCTATTAGAAACAGAAGGAACACTAGAAATTAGCTAGCCTACATTCTGCATTGTACTAGTAAAGGGGAGAGGAAAGAAAAACAGCCACTTATTGACTATGTCCCCATTTTTATGTGGTGCCTTATTTCCTTTCCTGACCCAACCCCTATTGCCTGGGCTCACTGCAAAGCGTGTGGCTTCCCTGTAATTCCCACGGTGTAGGGACAGACGTTATTATATATCATTCTTGAGCTACTGTTTGATTAGCCGTGCTATAAGACATTGCCCTGTGCCTCAAGCTTCCTCTAGGGTGGCATTGGCAGTTACCCCCAGAGTTCCTGACTTTCAGAAAGATCAGGTGAGAAACACAAGAGATCTTTTTATCTTCATATCCACAGATTATCTATTATAGTAGAATGTGTTTGGGCAGCATCTCTGGAAATAATATTATATTCACATATACTCTTAAACGCAGAGGCAGAGGCACTTAAGTTTACATATTCCCTGAAGAACCTAAGAGAGTTAAAAGAAGGAAAGGGGCTGTCTCTCTGCTTTAACTCTTTTTGCATCTACCAAGTAGAACAGCTTAAAAGAACTCCATGGTTCCTCTGTGATCGGTCAGACTGGAGTTGGAGTTGCCCAGTACCAGTGCCCTCAATTTCAGCTGAGGTCACTAAGCAATTTGAGAGACACATGGAGTCTGCTCGGGAGGAATAATCTCTGCCCTTTTCAAGGCAGCCGTTTTCCTGGTGTTGCCACTTACCTAAAGCTTGCCCTTATCTCTGCTCTTGCAGCATTTCGGTGCTGGATTACCCATGCTGTACCATCCAGGATTTGCCAGAGCTTACTACTGAGAGTCTGGTAAGCAGATGGGGTTTGTGGTCTTTGAAGCTGGCTGATGGCAGAGGCTGGAATTTGCTTTTGCATGTCTTCTCCAGTCCCATGATGCTATGATTTAGGAGTATCAGATCAATGAAGGCATATTGGCAAGGACACAAAGGTGATCAGGGTTTAAAGTTGCTAAAGGATTTGGAAAAGCTAAGCATAGCATCTTACACAGAAGAAGAAAATGTCAGTGAAAATAACCGAGGAGGGGGGATTTAGAAAGATAGAAACAATATCTATGCGACATAGCAGGAGATTCTCTTCTGATGTCTCTCTCTTTCTTTCTCTCCCTCTCCCTCTCTCTCTCTCTCTCTCTCTCTCTCTCTCTCTCTCTCTCTCTCTCTCTCTCTCTCTCACACACACACACACACACACACACACACACACACACACACACACGTGCATCTTTATGTTGTGCTATAGGCAATTTACTTCTCACTTTCATGTTAGTTATCAAGCCCAGGAGTATGTATTTTAGAAAACCCCTTGCCTCTTTGAGGCAAATTCAGTATAACTACTGAAGGATAGCCCTGGAAGAGCTTCAACCTGAAGCAGGTCTAGGCAAATCAGAAAAGTTCTTCTGAATTATTCTGAATTCCCTGAAACTGCCTGACCAAAAGCATGTTTAAGGTAAGGTATCTACTTTATCCAGTATTGCCACAGCTCTTTCATCCTTTTATACTGTAACAACTCCTCTTGGCCCGCGCCTTTAACCCCAGCACTCGGGAGACAGAGGCAGGCGGATCTCTGTGAGTTCGAGGCCAGCCTGGTCTACAGAGCGAGATCCAGGAAAGGCGCAAAGCTACACAGAGAAACCCTGTCTCGAAAAACCAAAAAAAAAAAAAAATGAAGTGGAACATTGTAACAACTTTTCTGTAACTTCTTCAATTTGCAATTTGACTAAATTCTTTGATAGGAGAGATAGTACCATCTCTAATTTTATAGCCCTAAAGCCTAACACTGTGTCTGGTGCTACAGCACTTTGTCTCCCAACTTTAATACCTGCAAAGTGCTAGATCAGGAAAGCACACTATGTAAAACTAGAAAAATTTCTCCTCTGGTGCAGGTTTTATAAACCCATAGTAGGTTTTTTTGGGGGGAAGGGGGTACACAGCAGGGGGAGATCAGGGGCTTGTCAAGAACCATTTGACCCAACACCCTTTTATTTCAAAGATGAGAAATGTGGGAGCTCAGTGGATGAACTGAATTGTCACAGTCTACTTCTCATAGGTGACAGACCCCATGTCCTGAAGTATTACCTCTAGCACATTCTTTCTACTGGAAGAGTCCCTGTCTTATTTAAATATGGTCTCAGCAGCCAAGGAAGCTGGAGGTTTTCACTCCTACAAAAATGTAATAATTTGCCAGGCGGTGGTGGCACGCGCCTTTAATCCCAGCACTCGGGAGGCAGAGGCAGGCGGATCTCTGTGAGTTCGAGGCCAGCCTGGGCTACCAAGTGAGTTCCAGGAAAGGCACAAAGCTACACAGAGAAACCCTGTCTTGAAAAACCAAAAAAAAAAAAAAAAAAAAAAAGTAATAATTTATCTAACCTTTGTTATTATCATGGTAATATTGAATCTGTAAAACAACTCTATGAAGTTAATATTACAATTTTGTTTTTGTTTTGTTTGAGACAGTGTCTCTATATAGCCCCTGGATGTCCTAGAACTTGCTATGTAGGCCAGTTTGGCCTTGAACTCAGAGAGAACTGCCTGCCTCTGCCTCCTTAGTGCTGGTATTAAAGGCGTGCACCACCACATTCTGTCCAGTATTACTATTTTATACCTGGGGAAATTAACTGCTAAGACTTTGCAGTTGGAAGTAGCAAAGTTGGGGCTGGAGAGATGGCTCAGTGGTTAAGTGCACTGGCTACTTGTCCAGAGCACCCGACTTCAATTCCCAGCACCTACATGGCAGCTCACAGCCATCTGTAATTCTAGTTTCAGAAGATCTGATGCCTTCTTCTGGCCTCTAAGGGTATTGTATGCACATGGTACACAGACATACATAGGCAGACCAACACCCATACACATAAAATAAGTTAAAAGAGAGAGAGAGAGAGAGAGAGAGAGAGAGAGAGAGAGAGAGAGAGAGAGAGAGAAGGAAAGTAAGTATATCCCTGAGGTTAAAATTTGGAAAGAAGAATATATTTTAACCCATAAATAGTGGTACATAATAGCATTAAAATTCTACTATTGGCTGGGCATAGTGGCACACACCTTTAATCTCAGCAATCAGGAGGCAGAGGTAGGTGGATCTCTGAGTTGGAGGCCAGCCTAGTCTACAGAGCAAGTTCCAGGACAGCCAGAGCTACACAGAGAAACCCTGTCACACACCAAAAAATAAATAAATAAAACAAAACAAACAAAAATTCTACTATTAATAGAATATTGAAAAATATAAATTCAGCTTTTGTGGCCTGAATCTATTACTTTTTAAATTAAAAAAAAAAAGTTTTACTGCATTCTTGTGTGTGTTCTTTTGTTTAGTATACTGAGTGCATGTGTCCTACAGCACAGGTGCAGAGGTCAGAGGACAACTTAGGGGGTGACTCTCTTCTTCCACCATGGGGTCCCAGAAATCGAACTCAGGTTGTCAGGTTTGGCAACACGTGCCTTAACCCACTGAGCCATCTTGCCAGCCCCTAATTTTTTCCTTGATAACAATGTATGCCTTGACTCCACTCCAACTCCATTTAGTTCCTGTATAGGATTGGTGGGAACTACACTTTGACATCACTTCCAGTTGACCTTTTGGGATATAAGCATATAATTGTCTATGTGGTTATGCCTTCTGTTAAAACTTTATTATTATCAAGAAAAGGCTAAAGCATGTATCAAGTTAATTAAGTCATGGTGGCTATTTTAGTCTTCTTGGTGAAACAATAGTGGCATCTGGTGGTTTTCTTTAGTAACCACAGACTTTTTTCTCAATACAAGGGCTTCAAGCCCAGTGTGATTTTGGTACCTAGCAGATTTATTCCACAAAGGTTCTCAGCATAGTGAATTATTTACCTAAATGAATAACTTCTGTAGCCAGAAAAAAGATAGTAAGATTTGTTTCTTTTCAGGCTCACCAAATTGCAAATGCAAGAAATATACTGCCTTTAGTATATGTTATTTACTTTCAATAACTTTAAGGGTTTTTTCCTGGCTACAAAATTAATAATATACTTACGGTAGAAAAATAGAAAAACAGAAAAGTATGGGGAATAAAATAAAATATCTCCTATCACCTACATATAAATATTGCTTATATTTTACTTAAGTTAGACTATACATATTCATTTACATAGAAACATTAGTAACAAACTTTATATTTGCATATATATCTGTTACATATATATGTGTACATGTTTTGCTTAACGTAGTTAAATTTACATGTTCACAGAAGGATTTTATTTTTTTATTTTTTATTTCTTGGTTTTTCGAGACAGGGTTTCTCTGTGTATCTTTGGAGCTTTTCCTGGAACTTGCTCTGTAGCCCAGGCAGGCCTTGAACTCACAGAGATGTGCCTGCCTCTGTCTCCCAAGTGCTGAGATTAAAGGCATGAGCCACCACCGCCCAGCTTACAGTAGGACTTTATTAAACAACTTCTTTTCTAGGGGTATTGAATATAAACCCAAGTACATGCTAAGCAGATACAATACACTACAATTGAGCTCAGCCCTATGAAACGTTTTTGTTTTTGTTTTTGTTTTTGTTTTTGTTTTTTGTCGGAGCTGAGGACCGAACCCAGGGCCTTGCACTGGCTAGGCAAGTGCTCTACCACTGAGCTAAATCCCCAACCCAAAACTTTTTTTTTTTTTTTTTTTTTGGTTTTTCGAGACAGGGTTTCTTTGTGTAGCTTTGCACCTTTCCTGGAACTCACTTGGTAGTCCAGGCTGGCCTCAAACTCACAGAGATCCGCCTGCCTCTGCCTCCCAAGTGCTGGGATTAAAGGCGTAGGGCACCACCGCCCAGCTCCGCTACTTTATTTATTTAGTTACTTTTGTTCTGCTTTGTTCTTTGATACAGAGTTTCATGTTATAGCCCAGGCTGGCCTCAAATTTACTATTTAGCCAGGATTGCCTTGAATTTGGGGTAATCTTCCTGAATTAGCCTCCTAAACAATGGGATTACAGGCATGTGCCACCATGCCTGACTCTTATGACTTGATTATTTTTTAAATTTTTTAATTATATTCTTATTTTACTTACATACATGTGGAGGTCAAAGGGCAACTTGTGGAGGTCAAAGGGCAACTTGTGGAAGTCAGTTCTCTCCTTCCTTCATGTGGGTCATGGGGTTTGAATTCAGGTATCAAACTTAGTGGCGGGCATATTTACTTGATGAACCATCTTGCCAGTCTCATTAGTGGGTTAAGATTCTCTTCTGTCAGGTATTAGTGCATTCATCTGTAATCCTAATACTCTTGAGGCAGAGGCAAGAAGATTGCTAATTCAAGACCAATCTGAGCTATATAATGAGACTATGTCTCCAAAGAAAATGAACTAAGGGTTAAGGGTTAGGGATAAAACTGAGTTGGTAGGGTGCTAGCCTGGCAAGCAGGAAGCCCTGAGTTTGATCCCCAACACTGGTGGCATGCACCTGTAATCCCAGCACTCAGAAAGTGGAAACAGGCCAATCATATGTTCAAGATCATCTTTGGCTGCATAGTGAGCCCAAGAGCATCCTGGGATATATGAGTCCTTGTCTTTAAATAAATGGAGATTGTTTTCTAGTATTAGACATTTATCTTAGTATATAACTAAAAAACATTTTTTCACTTCATCTCTAATCATTTCCTTCAGACTGAGTCCTAGAAGTTAAAAGTATAGTTTCTAGGCTAAGGTTTTCTTGGTTTGTCTGTTTCTATTTTCTGGATTTGAACAGAATTCAATTCTGCTTCATTTGGAACTCTAGCTAAAAAACATAGTGGGCATGAAATAAAAAAGTTAATAGCTCCTTTTTTTTTTTTTTTTTTTTTTTTTGGA